AGGCTAAGTAATAAACTTAATTTTAAAAAACTTAAACTTTATAAAGTTATAAAGAAAATTAAACTTATTAATTATAAAATAAATCTTCTACTTACCTTAAGGAAATAAAAAAAAATTATATATTTAAATTTTTATATTTTACTATTAAAAAAAGTATTAGTAAATAAAAAAATAAGTAAAGTTATATAAAATAAAATTATTATTTAAGGTAAAAAACTTAAATATAAAATTAAGAAACTTAAAATAATAAAATTTAATAAAAATACCTAATAAACTAAATACTTAGTAAAATAAAAAAGCTATAATAAAATAAAAAACTTATAGTAAATTATTAAAAACCTTAAATATTTAAAAAACTTTATAAATAACTTTTACTAAAGTTTAAATTTAATAAAAAAAAGTTAAAAGCGTCTTAATTAATAATATTAACTATAAAATCTATAGTTATAAAATTAGTTAAATTAAGTAATAATATTATAGCTTAATAAATAGCCTTTACTTCCTTATACTTAACCTTATTTAACTCCTCTAAGTTATTAATACCCTATGTAATTATATAAGTTATTTTTTTTTAATTATAAATATTTTTATTTATAAAAATATTTAATCTTTATATTAACTATTTTATATTCCTCTTTAGCTTTTTTAAAAGTATTTTTATACTAAGTATAAAATAAAGTAATTTTTTAAAGCTAAGCTAATAATAATAAATATATATTATATAAAGATTAATTATTTTTTATATATTTAGTATAATAAGTAAAATCTTCTTTAAATATTTAATATTTTAAAAAGCTTTACTTTTTTTTATTAAAATAATATATATAGTTTTTTATTTTAATAAAATAAAATAAGATAATTTTTAAAAAAATATTATAATACTTTATTTTAGGATAAGATTTTTTATAAATATTTAATATAATAATTAATAAAAACATATAAAAATAAAAATAAAATAAAAATATTAATAAAAATAAGGAAAAGTAGCTATTTATATTAAATATAGTAAAGTCTTAAGGATAAAACTAATAAAAAGGGGATATTATATTATAACCTAGCTCTTAAGGTTATAATAATAGGCTAATAGGTTAATTTAAACTAAATTAACTTTAATCCTTTAATTAATTAAAGAAGGATTAAAATATAACTTCTTAATCTAATAGTAAATTAATAAATTATTTATTAATTTAAAGAAGAATTAATATTTTATATATTAATTTAGTTTAGGTTAATTAAATATATAAGTTTACTTTATATTACTTATTAAAATACTTAAATAGTTAGTTATTATTACTATAGTAATTAAATTAAATATTTAAATACTTTACTTTATAGTTAATAATAAGATTGCCTATTTACTAACTTAACTACTTTACTAATATAAACTATAGAATCACTTTAAGGTTTATCCCTTAGAAATAGCTAACCTATATTAACTTATAGGACCTGGTTTATTATACTTTAATATATATAAAGTTATAAAATACTAGATATTAAAATAAATTAATTAAATAATAAACTTAATTTTAAAAAAATTAACTTATTTAAGATTTTAAAAAAGATTAATAACATTAATTATAAATTAAAAATATTAAAAAGTATATAATTAAAATACTTTATATTTTATATATGACTTTTAAAAAAAGTATAAATTAATAAAGCTATAGAAAAATTAATTTTAAATAAAATTATTATTTTAAAAAATTAAAAAAAATTAAAAAAAATAAAAAGTTAAAAAAGTTTTAATAATATAAAGAAATTAAAAAAAAAATAATAAAATTAAATACTAAATTAAATAAAAAAATTATAATTTAATTTATAATATATAAAAACTTATTAAAAGCTTTAATATAATAAAAATTAATTTAAAATTTTTAAAAATATTTAAAATTATATTTAAAATTTTTAAAAATATTTAAAATTATATTTAAAATTTTTAAAAATATTTAAAATTATATTTAAAATTTTTAATATTAATTATTTAAAAATAAACTTAAAATACTAAATTTAAAAAAAATTATATAAGTTTCTTTTTATATTATAAAAAGATTTAAAACTTTATATTTTAAATTAAAAATTAAAAAGAAAAAAGATTAATAATAACTTTAAAAAAATTTAAGAAAATATTACTAAAAACTATATTTTAATTAATAATATTTATTACTTTTATTACTTAAATATTAATTATTACCTTAGACTTTACTTTTTTAATATTATTTAACTTATTTAAGCTTTTTAAACCTTAATTAACTATTTTTATATTATAATATATTAAGAAGTTTCTTTAAAAATAAATATATAATAAATAAACTAAGGTTTTTATAATTTTTTATTAATATTTAATTAATTACTCTTTAGCTTTTTTTTATATATATAACTATTTATATTTAAATATTATTTAATTTATTATAATTATTAAAAAACCTTTTAAAAAAAGTAAAAATAAAAAATATTTATATATATTAATAAAAACCTTACTTTTATTATAAAAATAACTATAATAAATATATTTTTTATAATAAATTACTTTATTTATTATTTTATAAAAATTATTTATATTATATTTTTTATAAAAAAAATACTATTATTAAAAACCTTAATTTTTTAATAATATTTACTAAAGAAAAATATTTATAAAATTTATATTATAATTTTTTTAAAATTTAATTAAATATATTATTATATTATTAAGTAAAAAAAAAGGAAAATAATAAATTAATAATAAAAAAAAAATAATATTTATTTATACTAACCTTTAGGATAAAATTAGTAAAAAAAAAGTATTATATTATAACTTAGTTTAGTAAAAGTATATACTTTAAATAAAGTATAAACTAAAGGGCTAATTAAAAAAGGATTACTTATATGATATATTTTTAATAAATTATAATTATAAGCTATTATAATTTAAAAAAATTATAATTTAATAATAATTTAAGAAAATAATTAAATATATAAAATTTAATTTTTTATATTTTTTAAATAACTTAAATAAATAGTTATTAATAAAGTATTAAAATTAAATATAAATTAAATTTTTATTATATTTTACTTACTTTATAATTATATTTACTTAAAAATATTTTTTATTTTTTTTATTAATATAAATTAATTAACCTTAGTTTATTACCTTAGGAACTTACTTTATACTTTATAAATCAATGGCTAAGGTATAGCCTTCCTCTGACCTAGCTACTGCAGCTTTACTAACTCTCTTAATAATAAATATAACCTCTATACTTTATAAATATTAAGTTAGGATATGATACTTATTAATCTATTATTATTACCTTAAGAGCTAAGTTAATACTAATAACAGAAAGTATTTTATTATAATTTAATTTAATAAAAATATAAAAAAAAAATATTTAAAACAATTATTAATTAAGTAATTAATAATAATAAAAAGTAATAAAACTTAGTATTTTTATAATTAAAATAACTTATATAAATACTTTAAATACTTTAAAAAGTAATAAATTATAATACTTTTTATAATATAACTAAATATATAAAATTTAATTTTTTATACTTTTTAAATAATTTAAATAAATAATTATTAATAAAATATTAAAATTAAATATAAATTAAATCTTTATTATATTTTACTTACTTTATAATTATATTTATTTAAAGGTACTTTTTATCCTTTTTACTAATATAAACTAATTAACTTTAGCTTATTACTTTAGGAACTTACCCTATACTCTAAAGTATTAGGTTAGGATATTATATATAGTAAGTACTTAACGCTAATTAATACTTACGGTCTTTTATTAATCTATGTCCTACCCTATAGGCCTTGTTTAACGACTATGAGGTATTGGGTCATAGAATATCGCCTGGTAGTTAACTCTGAAAGAGTAGATTATTCTGAATGTAACTTCGAAACTAGCGCCCAGCTGGCTTCCTAGTCTTAATCCTCGCCAAGGTGCCCTCTCTTCAGGTGCTGAGATAGGATGGCTTATAGAGCGGAAGTGGCAGTGTGAGCACGCGCGTCGGAAACGTGCATCAGATCGGAAGTTAGATCGGAATTTGGATCGGAATGGGATCGGAATTTCGGGGTTGACGGTACGCCCCATGCGGAGACAGTACCAGTTTCCTAAGCATCCTTTTTCATCGCCTTACATTGCCGGTTAGGCTAATCCCCTGATACTAATGGTAAGTGTGTATAAATTAGTATATATAGATATAGTAGGTTCATATCTAATATACGTTTTTCTTAAATATCTCTAAAAGGTAATTATCTATTTTATTGCTTCTTGCTGCCATTTCTACGCCTGCTATAATTGAAAAATTGACAAGACTCATTTTATAGGTAAATTCATACCGCGGCAATATGTTGAGAGCGCGGAACTAAGCATGATTTGCAGCTTCAGTATGTCTACATCCACCGAGCTCTTCGAACAGACACGAAACACCGGTCAATTTGTAAAAAGAGCCTATATTATCAGAAGTGAATTCGTCAACCCTAGCCTTTTCGACGACGTCATCAAGGAACACCGAGACTACTTGGAAGAACTGGCCGCCAAAGGCAAGCTTTTGGCTGCTGGACCCTTTGTACCTGGCGGGTTGGAGAGTAAATATAGTGGAGTGGGCATGATTGTCGTGTATGCCGATTCTGAAGACGATGCTAGGTTCATAGCAGAGGAAGACCCGATGCATCGAAAAGGCGTGCGCAAGTTCACAATTGATTTCTGGCTTATTAAACATGTTGCTCAGTCTCATAAGGAAATCCTGCAGCATTGAGGAAGTATGCTTAGTCGGTCATACGCTGCGCCTATGGCCACGAGCAGAGTCGGACGTCTTAACGTCGTCGGTAGTCTGACCGAGAATGGGGGGTCATTTCACTTCTAGCATATATAGTGGGGATACAAATATAAGAAAATCAAGGCTCATAGCCTTCACAAAGCCAACAAAGCTACCGCTCCCGATGAAGATGACGGAGTTCGCACCCTGCGTGACAAGCTGAGCTCCTATAGGGTTAGTATAGAAGGGATTCCTAAGGGATAAACCTTATGCTAGGTTTATGTTAGCAGATAGGCTAGGCTAGACTAGTAGGTAATTAATAAGGATAAAAAAGGTTTATTTATATAACTAATAAATAATACTTTATAAGTATAATAAGTATTATTTTATATTTATAACTAGCTATTTAAACTATTTTAAATAAATATTATAAAATAAATATATAATATAATATTTACCTAGTGTTTATATTACCTAAGTCAATGTTTTCCTTATTAAGTTTCCGTTTACTAAGTGTTTACTTAATATATTGTAAATACTTACGTAATTAAATAAGACGGTCCGTCCTTTATCTAAGGTGCTTATCCTGTAGGCCTATTGTTGCAACTATAAATGTATTGGCTCGTAACACCCTGTGCTTTCGCATATTTAAGAGCTTCATCGGTAATATACGTACGTAGAGTGTGCAAGCCCGGACGCGGCATACAACTTTGGACAAGCAGCGGGCACCATATGCTATGTTCCTACAAGATGCTTTAATGGAACTGTATCCTGTGCTATCACACCATTGGGGAGGTCATATTCATACTTGACTAGTACACATAAATTGTGGTGCGTATTATCGACTGCGTGCTCACGAATGCAGTGCGACCATCGAATTGTATGTTTTAGAGCGTAAGGATCAAGATTCTCTTAAAGGATGCGCTCGATGTGGCCTTGGTGAATGGTGACCTCGAACGGGAAGCGAGTGGTACGTCAACATCGGGGACGAAGCTAGTGAGCTTGGTACCGTTCCAAAAAGAGCATTATGAACCGCTCTTTCATAAGTAGCTTTTACCCCGGAAGTGCCAACCTTGCATCCCATTCGCGTCTCCTGCTTCCGGCCACAAATTCCGGTATTTCCGGCTTCGGCCCGGACCTTTAATATCTGTGGTCGAAAGATGGATCACAGCCTCTTGGATGCGGGGAAGTTTCAGTGCCTGTATTTCTTAATAATGCTTACAACTTATTATCCATTTCCACGGTTCCAAAATGTAGGCAGAGGCTCTTGGCATTTCAAAAGTTCCATCTTCCGGTCCCTGCCTTTGGCATGAATGTTTCAAGCAATTGAAAGAATGTCATCCACATCTACTATTTGTCTCATAAGCACATACAACTAGCCCGCGTTATCAGGCATGGAAGAGTCAACACAGCGTCCGTCGCAGCCGTTGCAAAGCCGCCGTACCCTACCACGCGCATCTCATGCGTGCCAGCGATGTCGTGTTAAAAAGGCAAAATGTGATCAGCAACAGCCGTGCGCCAATTGCGTTACGCACTTCCATCAGTGCACGTATGGACTTCGAAGAAGGACTGACCGGAACAGGGACAGCAGCCTCCTGAGTCCAGGCCATAGGAATACAGAAAATGGGTCCATCCTTACTATTAACCCGAGTTGATGAAAGTGACTACCGGAGGCGGGGTGAGACTGGAGAACACGCTCACGGCTCAGACCCCACAGGTATGTTCGGCCATGCTCCCGTTTCCCGAGCAATAGGAACGAAGGTTACTAACATCTAGTCCAAGGCTTTGCGCCACAGTCTCTACCTGTCACCAACACGGATGTAGTAGGCAATTTCAACCAGCACACGCATGGCACTGAATTCTATAGCACCTCATCCAACTTTGTGCTCCTCAACCAGTTCTTTGCATATGCCCAGCGAAACCTCCCTCCCGTACATGCAAACTCTATACAGCGCAAAGAATCGTTAAATCTATCCCCTCCTAATGGTGGGACTAGCCAGCCAGCGTCCTTTCGGGACCAAAACAGCCCAATGGCATCTGCTGGGATTGTTCTAACGCCTAGTCTAACAGATCGGTCTCCCGTTTCCATTGTCAACGTCCACTCCAACGAAGAAGCATTAGAGCCACCGTTGAGACCAAAATCACCCTTCTATGCAACGGAGAACCAACAGAATGTGTCTAGGAGCCCCTCTCTTTCTACGAGTCGGACAGGAGATGGCAATCATTTAGAAGGAATGCAGAATCTTGTTCACACGTTAGCTCCTCAACCCACTCCAAATGGAGAGCAATCGATTCATCCTTGTTCTTCTGAGCATCTTGCCACAAAAGAACGGACCTCACCTGAAATTCCACTTCAATTGGGTAAGAAGAGGCTAGAGCGAGAGTACGTCCGTATATTCATGAGTAACTTACATCATATCCACCCCGTGCTCGATCCCATTGCGTTTACAGCACGATGCGAGGACGTAATATGGGTTTTATATACACCACCGGAAAGGACCAAGGATCCTAGGCATTTCTTTGCCCTGTACAATATTGTGGTAGCGGTTGGGGCACTTATTGCGGACCCCAGTATAACTCATAACTTCGAGGAAGAAATTAGCCTGTGCATGAAACAACCAACTCAACATCCAAACACCAACGTCCTTCCATCTAGCCGGGCACTTTCGAAAGAATATTTCCGAAAGTCCAGGGCTTTACTCGGAGATGTTTTCGAGGCTTGTTCATTAGTAAGTGCCCAAACGCTTCTCCTCATAGTGAGCTACCTTGTAACCATTTATTTGCATAACACGTTATGCTAATCTCGAAAAAGTCGCTTTACTGTCAAAACTCTCTAAACTCACATGTTTGCTACATGTACTGTGGTTACGCTGTCCGCACTGCTCTTGCCATAGGAATTGCGAGAGAGTCGATGTCGAATTCAATTGAAGACCGCAAAGCCGCACGACGAATCTTTTGGTGCATCTACTCTCACGAGATAGAGATGAGCTGTAGTGCAGGCCGCCGAGACAGTCTTGGAAAGCCTCGAAACTATCAAATTGAATTGCCTCGCATTCAAGCCGAAATTTCCAATGTGCCTAAGAGATCCGAACTGGAGCACTGCAGCTTCGCCATGATTAACGAGATGGTCCATTTAGCTGCCATTTTGCGACGAATCTCAAAAGAATTGTATCACGACTCAAAGGGTCTCACTTTGCTGCAAAAGTCGACAGTTGCAAAGGAGCTTGATACTCTGCTTGACGACTGGAAGACTCGGCTACCAGAGTATCTCGATTTCAGCCAAGTATCTTTTCGTGAAGCAGAGTGGGTGGCGAAGCAGAAACTCGTTTTACACCTGAGATACTTGAATGCGAGGATTGTTCTGCATCGACTCTTCTTAGGGGCACCAATGAGCACAACGCCGTCACAACTCTCACGACACGTCGGCTCGTGTCTTGATGCGGCCCGCGATACAATACGCATCATGTATGATGCGTATACTAACCGACACTACTTTCGCACTTGGTGGTACAATTCCACATATACTTTGTATGCTGGCATGGTTGTTCTCTACATCATCATGCTTGGCCATACTACCGTGCCCAGCAACGAACTGCTCAAGGACGTCATGAAAGCACATGACATTTTGCAATCAATGGACGAGGCTATCGTAGCTCGACGAAGTGCAAATTTAATACGAGAAGGATTGGAGGTGGAGCAGGTTTGTGTTCAGAACCAGCAGAGGCAATCTGCACAACCTGAAGGAAACAATGCAGAGCAAGAGTATGACGGAGCACAAGGTCAACTACCCTTGGGTAATATGACGAAACATCTTGAAAACGATTTCTCTGCGGCTTTATTCTCTCACGCTGTTCCTAGGCAAGACCCTGCCTTGTTGGCCTCCATCATAGATCCTAACTTGCTGCAAGACTTTACAGCAGCAGACAAAAACATATCGGGTTTGGAATTTTTAACGTTTCAAGTCGATGGATTATATCCCGAAGGGCCAGATATCGATCTGTCATCAATAATGCTATAAAGAAAGTTTAAAGTGCTAAAGAAGTGCAAGGTAGCCGCAAATTTGTACTATATGACCGGTACTAGATCGACTATTGATGTATTTGTTGTTGGGCAATATATATACACTATTTTAGTCTACATCAGGGACAGGCAGATCGTCAATAAATCTGATTTTGCGACCTAATTTAGCCATTGCTTCCTCGGCCTTTTGTCTGCGCAACTCCGCGGCAGCTTGCTCCTTAACTAGGACGAAGTCATAGGTAAGAAGGGCAGAGCGCAATTTGACGCCATATTTCTTTGCCATTTCCTCATCCTCGACCTTTTTAATCTGGACTACAAGAGAGTCCTTAACGCCAAAGACGGCATCGGCAGATTCATAAGGGTCATCTTTGAGATATAATGCACTATAAATACATGTTAGTTTGTGATCATATTCAGGAGTTTGAGCGTTAAGATAGACTTGCGTGACTAATGGGTCGTAGCCGTCCTTTTTAAATATGAAGTGCATGTGGCCTGGCCGGTACGGATGGCGATTCAGCACATTGAGGAGCTGTCCTACCGGCCCATCGTGCGGGATAGGGTATGGTACGGGCACAATAGCCTTGAACCAAAAGTTGCCTATCTCATCGCTTGTCAAGATAGCCCTGCCATCCGGACCGCTTCTGTCTTGGTGCTGCACATCGTAGAACCCCTTTGAGTCGGTCTCCCACGTATCGATCTTGGCCCCAGAGATGGGCTGCCCGTTGGTGTCCTTCAGCGTACAAAGGACGAGAAGTGGCTCGCCATCTGGGTCATGTGATATCAGAGAGCCTGCAATTGCATCGTGGGCTTCATGAGTATGAAAGGGCCCCAAGACTGTGCCTTCAGTGCTGCCTTTTGGCTTGGGATGATCGATTGAGTCTACTAGAAGGGAGAGTCCCAAGACGTCCGATAACAAAATAAATTCCTGGGTCGTGGTAAGTTTTTGCATATTTACGTACGCAGAGAGAGTATGCATACCTGCCTGACATCTGACGAAATCTGACCTACTCGGGTCAGGAATTGAATAGCCGCCATCCACTCGTCTGTGGTGAGTCTAGTTTCTCTCGCAAGATCGTGCAGATGTGTAACGGTCCGCTCTAGAATATACTTTATCCGCAGATTGCTGCACTGAGAGTTGATGACGTGAACATTTTCAGTGATGTTATCAACCGTCAGATCTTTCAAGCTGATAGGCGTGGCCATGGTGTAAGGCGTGTGTATATTTTTAATGGGATGTTGAAATGTACGGCTTAATCATGTAATTTAGTGTGATTGACTGCTCGACTTTGTATTTAAGTGGTAGGTTTATAGGCTTCAGGAATCTTGAATACCAATTTCGGGATGCTTCCTGCTTTGACTGTTAAATACAGTTGTTTATAAACAGTGGAGAAACATGCGATTGGAGAGCTCGAACCGGAAAACTCCAAGCCGGCTTTCGAGAAGAAGCGCCACATCCGGAACTTGGTGGGGACACTTTTCCGGACTTCCGGCTTGCTTCAACGGCCAATGAACCAACGAGCATGAGTGCATCCATTAACTTGACTGGCATATTACGGTCCTTCACCGGGTCTAGCGTGACAAACTGCTAGAGGCCAACTAGACACGTCATTTCTCAATTATCAATAGCGCGGGACGCAGACTTGAAATAACACTCCAGCTACCTATCCTCCGACCTCATGTTTCACTTTGAGAAGAGCATGAAAATTCTCACTGTCAACAAAATTCGCCCACCATGATGAAAGAATTCGAATACAATGTCCTCCAAACCGAGTCGTCTTTGGTTCCGGCAGTGTCAAGAAGCTCCCGGGCGAGATGGAGCGTCTCAAGGTTTCTCGGCCACTCCTACTCTCAACGCCTGGAAAGAGCCATTGGACAAATCAGCTCTCCGATCTCATACCAGGCGCTTCTATGACTGCAGCCGGTACCTTTGCGCAGGCAAAGGCACACACGCCAATCCCGGTGACTGAAGAAGCAACAGCCTTGCTCAACTCAGTAGCAGCAGACTGCGTGATTTCCATTGGCGGCGGCTCAGTAGTTGGTCTAGGTAAAGCTATCTCTATTCGCACGGGAGTGCCTCATATCAGCATACCCACGACTTATGCCGGCTCTGAAATGACGCCCCACCTCGGCGAAACCCAAGATGGCATCAAGACCACACAATCGGATCCCAAGATTCTGCCTGAAGTGGTTATATATGACGTCGACTTTACAATGACGCTGCCGCCCGCAATCTGCAGTTCATCAGGGATCAATGCAATTGCTCATGCCATAGAGGCTCTCTACGCGACGAATGTCAGCCCCATTATTTCAATGCTTGCGCTGGAAGGTATAAAGGCGCTAGCAGAGTCTCTACCTCAGATCGTTCAGGACTCCAGCGCTAAAAGCCCGAGGGAAAAGGCGCTGTACGGCTCTTGGCTTTGTGGTACTGTACTGGGCAGCTCGTCGATGGGATTGCACCATAAACTCTGTCATGTTCTTGGAGGATCGATATGACTCCCTCATGCCGAGACACACACCATCGTTCTGCCACATGCGTTGTCTTATAATGCACCTGCCATCCCTGAGCAGATGGCCAAATTGGCTGCTGTTCTTCCCGGAAGCAGTGGAGATGCCTCGGGTGGCCTAGACCTGCTAATAGGAAAGTTGCCAGTGCCTCGGGCATTACGAGACTTGGGAATGAAGGAGAGCGATGTTGATAAAGCGACTGAAATAGCCACTCGTAATCAATATCCAAATCCGCGGGCATTGGAGCCAGAATGGATACACGAGCTAATTCGACGGGCTTGGGCAGGGGAAACTGCTAAGGCAGATTTATGCAGTAAATAAATGCCAAACAAGATCGTGGTTCCTTTATAAAGAATCTCCCCGCAAGTTCGTAGTCCACTGCGTGGGCAAAATAAGTTGACTCGTACCGAAAAGTCTAGCTCACATTCATGCTTAGATCCTTTGCCAACATGACTACCCATCGATATACTTGTCCCCAAATAAGTCGTACCGAGGTAACGAAAGTTTTCATAAAGAGTGCAATTCAGACTACTTTCATTGGCTAGAATTGCATCTGGCTGGGCAAAGAAATGTCTACCACAGGTTTGCTGAGATACCCCTCAATGCCCTCCTTTCTCGGTTTCTGCGGCCTTCCATGCATCAAGACTAAATTGCATCACATTATGGCGTGGGTTATAACAACACAAACAGCGCTGACTATGTCTTCACTGCATTTAAATTTGATAGTTGACTGGGAATTCTCCATCGAGAGAACTGACACTGACGAAAGACCGAACGAAGTTAAGATTTTAAATATCATGGAAAAGGGATATAGTTCGCTCAGTTTTACAATGCAGGCTACTATACAAACTTGATCATTTCCCCCCCGCTCTTTTAGCCCTGGGAGGCTTACGGCGCGACGTGATAACAGTGTTGGTCATATGGCCATGGCAACGCTTCTCGGACTAGCCCAAGTCTTTATCGAGGAGCCCCTGACTGGAACATTCCGGAAGAGGTGTCAAACTCAACATGAGCGAGGGGTTATTCCAGTTCCGATCCCATCCGGTCACGTAGAATTCAAGGGCCTATCTCGGAACATTCCGCCCCACTTGGCTGCGATGGTAGACGCGGTTTCGAAGGGTATGGGTGACATGCTACTCAGCCTGTGCGCCGCCAAAGATCTGGAAACCGGAAACTATTCCGTAGTTCAACAATTGACTCCGATGGAACTTGTCATCGTTCCGCTGTCTGAAGCTTTTGGGTGAAGACTTGAGAGTGCAAATAAGGATAAATCTACTCTCTATGGTCCCGCAAGATGTGAGAGAAAATTCCACTATCAGTCCAATCATTTATCTGGCATTGAGTCTGATATCGTATTGGAGAATCTTTTGGAAAAACGCTAAAATTTCATACTTTTTAAGGTGGTTCATTTCATAACAACCACTATGGACGCATCCCAGAAACCTCATGTTATTATTATCGGTTCGGGCGCCTCGGGCTGCCTCATCGCCCAAGGCCTAAAGAAGGTGAGTATATTGGCTTCTAGTTTCCTAGTTTCGTTGATATGCTGATTTAAACCTACAGAGAGGAATATCGTTTAGCATTCATGATGTAGTGGACCCAGCAAAGCGTCCTCGAAATTGGAGCATGAGCATCTATTGGGCCTTCCCATATTTCGAGAAACTGCTTCCCAAGCATTTGTACGAACGATTGCAGGAGGCACTGGTCAGACCTCACTATCATGCTACCGCCAATGAAAAACTTGTTATTAGCAATATTCAAACAGGTGACATCGTGAAGGAGTTTACATACCCATACGCGATCAGGACGAATAGAATGGGAATTAGAAAGCTAGCGGTTGAGGGAATTGATGTCGTGGTATGTTGTCCCTTTCGTTTTTAGAAAGGAGGCACAGTGGCCTCTTACTGAGGAGCACCGCTGATCTGATTTGAGTGCAGTACGACCATGAACTGAGTGGCATCGAATACACTGAAACTGGCGTGATCGCACACTTCGCTGATGGGACTTCTGAGGCCGGAACAACTTTAGTCGGTGCAGATGGGGGAGGCTCATTTGTTCGACGTCAGCTACTCGGGCCGCGTGGGGAAGCGCAAAGTTTTCCCGATTACGAGATGGTTAACATGAACGTCAGATATCCCTTGGAGCATGCCAAGTATATTGCAGAGCATGTTGCTGGCTACGTCGATTATGGAGTTCATCCAAAGGGCGTTTTTATGATGTTGCTCTGTAAGACTACGGTAAATCCTAAGACATGCGCGAAACAGCAGCTGACCTAATTTCCAGACTGCACGGCCCCTGATGCGAATGATCATTCGACGTGGACATTTCACATCGCATTGACTTTCCCTAGGGGCCTTCTCGGAAAGTCCCTCGAGGGCTTAAGCAATAGCGAGCGCGTCCGCCTACTAAAGACCCTCGCTGACGACATGACTGAACCAAGGCGAACGATCTTGAAGCATTTGCCTGACGACCAGGTGGTACCTTATGATCCTATCAGATATTGGGTACCAACACCATGGGATAACCATGACGGTCGGGTTACACTAGCTGGGGATGCGTCGCACGCCATTTCTTTTCGTACGTGGTTTCAGTGCCATAATCCTCATACAAAAGACTGACTCCTCAATCATGCAGATCGAGGCCAAGGGTTTAATAATGCTGTCACGGACTGCGCTCACTTCGTCTCAGCTATGGAGAATGTGGCAACAGGAAAAGCAAACCTTGTTGATGCCATAAATGGCTATGAGAAAGAAGTGATTGAGCGAGGCATTCGCGAGGTAACCCTGTCTAAGGAGCTCACGTTGAGTATCCACGAATGGAATCGCTTTTTAGAGAGTCCAGAAATCAAATACGGCGGCAACGACTTACGGGGGCTTAAGCAGGCCAATGCCACAGGAGAGGCTATTGTCAGCAATTGAGCCAGCTCTAATGTCAATTTAACAATTCAAGTAAGTTAAGTTTGCAAGTTCAACTTGATTTTGAAGTTGTTCATAAAAAGCTTGCTTGACTCAACTTGTATCCTTGATATATTAGTTATCAGTATTAACTAAGTTATTATTATTATGGTTACAATACGAGATTTATTTCCATTTTAGTTGTAACGAGCACTGTAAAATAGGTCCAGTAGATATTAGGCAGCATATTCACTCGCAACTATTAACAAAAAAGCCATAACTTTCTAGCCTTCTATAATTAGCAAATAAGTTCCCTCTCCCTGCCTAGTTGCTTATTATACAGCATACAGGCCGAGTTTATAACACCACGCTAGGATTGCGTCACGTAATGAATAACATCCATTTTGGAGAAATAGCGGTATTATAGCGTTATACATGTGTATATACAAACACGCTCATAATTAATGAGCAATATTTAGCGATACTGAGAGGGTGGGGGCTCTTATACTTTAGCCCTTGTTCGTATCTTAAGAAGAGCGCAATACAGGCTAGAAAACAAATTAAATCCGCTAAAGGCTGTTAACAAAAGAGCCACCAAAAAACCATCCGAAGTCCTGGATTGGATCTGACTCCGACAGGGACGGCGCCCTAGTTAACGGCGATACGTCTAAGTCTTGCAAACCGGGAGGTATCACGTTGTCCACACTTTCAAATACATATGATTCCGCCATCCTTATCAGCTCCGTCGTGGCGTTTCTGGCACTTCGAATTTGTTCTCCCAGGGCTTCATTCTGTAACCTTGAATCATCTGTGCCAAATGATCCAGGGACCAAGCGGTCCAAGATTTTGAGACGACGTGCCAGGCCTCGCACGTGCTCTAACCAAAACTGGAAGTGATGTGAAGTCTTGGCTAAAGTGTAAAGAAGATTCAATGCAATCACGGAATTCTGCTGAGCCTTGAGGTATGTGGTTTGTGCCATTGGTATTCGCTGTTCTCCTAATGACATTGAATCCGGATTTGATGATCCCCGGGAGATGGCCAGAAGGAGTGTACCTAATGCGGCGATGAGGAAGTGGTTGTACTTGGACTGGTGAAAGCGGAATGACCTTGTGGAGCATTCTAGATGAGATAAGTGTTGAATGGTATCCGCAGCTGCACCGACGGAAGAAGCCCAAATATCCAATGGTGCTGCAGAACACCGATTGTCACATATAAAAGAGCGGGCGACGATCATGTGAAGATGATCCTTCCACAGATGCAGTAATATGCGGAGCTGTTCATTCCGTATATCAGTTTCAGCATCATGGGATAAGAATTGAAAGTCTGTGCTGATTCTTTTGCCCCATTCGTCGAGTCGATATTGAAAGAAGGCAAAATGTTCTTTCCTATCACTGATCCGGGTGCAGTCGTCACTCTTGTCACTCATGAGAACATCGATGGCCTGGGTCCCAATTCGGTCGAAATCGATCATAGCCTCCAAATAAGGTGCATCTACCTGATGGAGAGATTATCAGTAAATTGGGAGGCTTCTCGTTAGGGTTAGATACATACTGGACCTGGAAAGGTCGGATCGAGGTGAAGATTCTGCATGGCCACTGTCACACCCAATAGATAGCTGAGAAGGCGATTTAGGAGAAAAGTTGTCCATATGGCGTTGATAGCCTGGGTACGGTCTGCCATGTCGGGGAATGATCGCTCCAAGACGATTTGGCGATTCAGCCCTAGCTCAAGGACTATCCGCGCTACGTTGCCCAAAAATCGCCAGGCAAGGCGCCATTTGCTCTGGTGGATATAAAACAAGCTCTATGAAAATCCTGCATCAGCTCTGACTGGCAACAATATAATGAGTGACGGTGGGTCTTACCACCAGAGGTAAAAGCATCAGGCCCTTGAGATCCAGCTTCGTGCTCCATACTATAGCTTCCACTTCTGGTAAAATACTGTGATACAGGCTCAACGCCAAGTCATTACGGCCTTCACCCTCTGCCAAGAGCGCGATCGCTGCCACAATTTTTAGGATGGCAACATCTTTGCTCCCAACATCCACGCCATCATTCGAGGGTGTAAGTTCCGCCGGCTTTACAGCCCACGTCTGTCTTGCTTGTTGTACTAGAAACGGAATGTTCAAGAAAGGGTACAAGGTGCCAGCTAGGTTCTGGTAAATATAAACTAGCGAGATGAGGTCGTCGCAGCTTAGGTCAATATGAGTCTGTGTTTCAATCGATTGGGACCTTGTCCCCGCAGCGCGAGGTAAGACGATCGGCCTACTCTCGGATTCCCCGTCTGCCGCCTCTTTGGACAACTCATCAATGATTTGGCCGTGGACAATGGAAAAAGTTGTTTGAGCGCGTGGTGAATCACTATCATCTGAGATTGGTGGACTAGTGCCGTCGGGTTCTAGCACTTTTAAATTCGTGTCGGCGACGATGATGGAGAAAACAGAACTTGTAGAACCTTGGAATATCGGCAACGGCTGCTTCGGCGAGGTAGGTGTCACCTCTCTGGCTTTGCATTGGACTCTTTGGGCCAAGAGAGCCTTTTCCAGCGCCGTGACCCGGTCAATCAGGAGATCCAGCTTTGTCGACATCAAAGTTTGGGAGTCACCGGCCGTCCCCCTGCCGCATAGTTAGCTTGCAGGTATTCATCTCCGCTCTCGATTGAAGTATCTTACGGAACCGTTGACGCAGCGCGAACACGATCGTTCTGGAAGCTTGGTAGACGCGTTGCACTGTAGCAACAGGCGTTTGGAGTTCGGGCAACACAGAAGCCGCAAGGAAGTCCACCATCACAGCGAACTTTGGCGGCCCTACATGGATTACATGCATGTGGTATATACCGACTTCTCTTTCGTTTATGTACCCTATTGGGATTAGTTTGTTCCATATTGGTTATCACGAGTGTTGCGTGCCCTGACAGCCTTGGAGGAGCAAATGTTACAGAGACGGAGAAGATGAGTTGGACGGAAGACCAGGGTATAAATAGAAGGCCTCTGCTGGATAGCCGTCCTAGAATGACCAGGGCCTGTTTTTGGCTCGGGAACGATGGCCAACCCCGCAAACTTCCCCCTAGTGAGCCCGCGGCACCTGGCTCTTCCGATGAGTCCGCCAGTTCAGCCAGACCGCACCACAGCCACCCCCAACCGATGTGCCGGTCCGCTGTTGATCCAGTTTGCGATTTTCTCCGATCCCAGCATTCTGCTTTGGTGCTTTCAATTAGCTTGAACTTAATTGGACCCAGCGCCTGCCCGAGCCTATTCATCATTGCGCGTTCAGGCGGGGACTCAATACATGTAGGTGCTATGCATTCGGGACCAGACGGTCGAGAAAAACGCCCAATGGCAGGCAACAAGTTGTCTTCAACTGTGACCGTGGTGCAGGCCGCACTCCAGATGACTTAATTGTAAGACAGCGGCTCACTACAACAAAGCGTACAGGATGCCCATTCTCCGTTCTTGCGAAGGAGAGTCTTGATAAGGCTTCTTGGAAACTTACGCATCGTCTTAGTAGCGAATGTGCTATCCACAACCATGAACCCAAGTATACAGAGGTCTGCGCATCCAGTCCATCGCAAACTATCAGATGCCGATAAATTAACTGTGCACAAACTTGCCAACGCAGGCGTGGCGCTAAAAGCAATTGGATCTTACCTACGCAACTACTCGGAGACTCTTGCGTTTAATTGAGATTTACGACCGTAGTTAAATTGGAATTGCTAATAGCTCAGTGTGAGTTATAGCCGGGATCAACCATTATACGCATCACACACTAAATATGTGACGGTTTAGGCAGATTCCTCTTTGAAAAGAAAACGACTAGCGTGCGCATAGTAGGGGCAAACTGTATGTAGCCTTTATATTAATAGAATCGACGCTTTAACAGGTGATACGTATGAATATACGTTGAATGCTACAATGACCTTTGGAGACGAAACACAGCCGAATTCGGAGAAAGTTCCAGACAAGTTGCCTTACAACGAGACATTGACAGTGATTAAGCAACTGGCCACAAGTGCTATTCTATCTCTCCACCTTCTTCTCAACCCTGCAATTACTCTCTATATATCTCCTATCAGTATTTCCATATAAAGATGATAGAGGAACGGACTCGTGGAGGCGTTGGAAAGTTCTCCGTAGTCAATGTACTCAGAAGTGCCCTGGCGCTTTATTGATGTCCTAGTTCCTTACTACAAGATCTCGCTTCATCACCAAATCCAGATAAAGTTATCAATTAGCCATAACCAGAGCAACCTAACGATTGCACCTATAAGTTCTTTACTTAGATATGGAGGACGTAAAACTCAAAAAACGAGCTTGACAGAATTCCAATGGATATAATCGTATATGACAGATGACAGAGGGAAGTGATTTACAACGGACAGTTCAAATTAATATAGTTAAAAAGCAAAACAAAAAATAAAGACATACAACAGCCGGTGTTCGCTAGTGGTCACCCACCTGACTACTAATCTGCCGGTTAGAGGCTTGTCTTGGGGGAGCTGACGGAACCCCGAATTCTCCTCTACCTATGATCGTATATACCTGTAAATCAGTAGCGCAAGCATATAACTATGGTGCATTGTCTTGAGTAGACATCAACAAACATGTAGACGACAAATGTCAATTACATGTATCATCTCCCCTGCACTACTTTGCCTATCTCTAAATATATAAATAGTACATGTAGCGATCCGTTATACCAGTGAGCCAATTGGATAAAATGCCAAACATCGCAATTATCGCAACTGTTGTAAAGGAACCAGCTATTACAAGGGATCAACTCGTCACGGGGGGGGGGATAGTTTACAGGGAATTTACGCCCTCCCTCTACTCCAAATCCCGCTTGTTCAGCTTTGTAGCAGACGTCCTTTTCTTTTCAAGAGATTAGTAGTCGTGATTGCAATATTACTACTTGGACAAGACCTTTTTGAAGATCTCAAACGTTGCCTGATCCCTCACAGGGTCGTCAATTACACGCATTGTCGAATAAGACCAGTACGGCACGAGGCATACCAGCCATACCAGCACCCAAAGATATCCTAAGGCTCGCTCGATGCGTCGAGGGAGCTGTATGGGGCTGAGACTATAGGCTTGTAGACTGCATCTTCCAACATGATGCCAAGTGCCTGACTACTGAAGAAGATCAATTGTCCAGTTTCAGATCTCTCAGCCTAGTGGTGTAGCAATACGGATAAAATGAATGCTAAAGCGAGCCTCGAGTAACGGGAGATCAGGCTACCACGGGGGAGAGCCGAGTCAATAATCCAGTCAGCCGGTCCACTAAGAGCCTTGCGCAGACCTTGGTGGTGGTAATTGCTGGATAAACTCAATCAGCGGCCACTAATACGACTGGAAGGAGCGAAGACATACCTCCAGAATCTTCTCACGGAATAAGCCTAACTCGGCCAGCCCTGCCAGATGTGAGGCCAGCTCTGTGGCTGGTCACCGCGGAGGACGGCAACAATTGCTAGAAGGCTGTGGGCTCCGATCACGCCAAGAGCTGCGTTGATAAGGAAGACGATGGTTGTGATCACCCGAAATCCGACGTCTTCTGAGGTTGAAGCAAGCAGATACGAGATAGTTTGCTTCTCTCTCGCAATCATATTTGGGTCCGGCGGAGGACCCGCGGCACAGAGATCTATGACGAGATAGCAGACGGCTAGAACGCTCAGTCTCTTGAAAAGGAAACGCGCGCGCCCAGTTATGGAGGCATCTTCCGTCGAAGCTGGGACCTTAATCTGCCACTTGGTTCCGACGCGCCGCCAGTTGAATGGTAATGTAGCTGCCCGAAATGCCTGGAAGATTGAGTTTCCAGGATTGTCCAACTGAAGGCCGGGGTCTTGAGGGCTGACGTTTGACACAATCAGGATCTCAAAGGCGTTTAAGAACGTAGTCCAGGTTGCGCCTAAGGCGAGAGATATAAAGGCGCGATTTGGGAAGTATTCTAGGAGGCTGAGCTGGAAGCTAAGGTCACGACCGCGAGCAGAGCGATAGCTGCGGCGCGGTAGAGGGAACGCGGCGGTAGACAGAAAAGGGAGGCTTTGAGGATGGAAACGGCAAAGAGCAGAAGATGCAGGGGCCGTGGGTAGGTGTATTTATCTATTTTAAATGGTTATGAAGTGCGCCTTTGGGAATTTCGCGTAGCGAAAGTGCAAGTTGACTTTCATGCTGGTCGTGGATTGAATCACTAAAGTCGGAGCTAATTGATAAAAACTTCAGCCCCTGGCATAGTCCTTAGTGTTTACTCTACGAGATACGGGATCGTGCGACTCCAGATTTTTAGTCTTGAAGTCCAAAAATTGAAAGACAACTAACTCAACACGAAAACTTGGCGAGACCTTCAATTCTCTACTAACAATGGTCGTATGTGCTTGACTCAGTGGCTAAAGTCTTGTATATTCGGAGATGCGCTTCGTGGACAGCTCTTTTTTGCATATTGACCGCGCCACTCTCTCACATAGCGATCAACCATCAACCTTTATCAAGTGCGCAAAGCGATTTCATTTTGATCACAGGTCATTAAGCCATGCGAGACTGGCTGTGTAGCATTGTCAGATACAGATATGCAATTATGCATGTATACATGTATCTTGATACAGCTGCTCACGCACATTCTAAACGTCAATTCCGCTACATAATCTTGTTGGCTATGATGTACAAATAGTTAGAAAAATCACTTTGTCTATATAATCTAAAACCTTGTTTAGTAAAGGTAGCCAAGTTGTGGTCATATGTTATGAATCTCCATCTTTGATGCATGCCTTACTACAATGGCTCGGGCAGGCAGTAAGTCGAGAACACCACGGAGCTCTACGTCATTGATATAAATGGTTAATGTGTCACACAAAGCTGAAAAAGAATACGTAGCAGAGGCATCTAGGCCTGTTCTAGAACGGTCGTGGCAAATACCATGGTAAGATGGCGGCCATCCTGTTGGGCGGCTATACATACCTCCAAGACATTTAGCTAATTTTCAGACAACACCCAAACACGACAGCCGCGCAAATCAGCTCACCAGCATTACTGACATATCAAGATGCTTAATAGATAATTAATAGTGAAATAAATGAATAAAAACAAAATAACTAAATAACACTTGGCAGCCTCATGTTAATGAGCATCTAGTCTACGATTAAGATAATACCTGCTCTACAGTTACTGGAATCCCATTGCCAACATTGAACACATATGACTGCATGCTACTTCGACATTGAAGCTGAAGAAACAAACAAGGTTGTCTTGTAGAATTGGAGGCTTATTTTTTTTCTCCAATGAAATGTCTTGTATCTCGCACGCTGTCAAATAATCCTGGTATTTAAACTCGGCAGTCAAGTCATCAGGCTCCCGGGGTCTGTTATCAAATGCCTGCTTGATGCCCCCGTTTAGCGTGAGATATACGGTAAGGCGACAATAAGCATGTAATTCAGTTCCCATGTCCACCATTGGGCAGCACTCACTTGCGACCAATAAGGATCTCCAACCTGCCTCACAAATAGGTCACATCAAGCTGAGAGTAGGGATGTGCCACTACCCTACCCAAGCAAGTTGATGTCCAGGAACCTGAAATCACTGATCAACTGATGGGGTAACTGAGTCTAGGTGTCTCCGGATGGTGATTCTAACTTCATGATTGGCCCATCATACGATGGCGGAATGGTAGATGGATGCCGCCCTTGGTAATGATGTGAGTAATGCAAGCTGAAAACTGAAGCTGAAAGCTGAACGTGATATAAGCAATGCTTGGACAATGTGATCAAAATAGGCACCTGAATGGACATTTCTCTGTGTAAAGTGGTCCGATTTCCATCTGGGCCGGGCATGAGACACCGAAAGTAACGTCAACTGGCTCATGTTCCTCTGTGCCATTACTGAACAAATTATGTTGAAGCGAGTTTTCACACGGAATTGAAGCTTTAGATAGAAACTGTTGAGTAACAGAGGCTATGGCGGCTTTTGTTAGCTGTAAAAAGGGGACAGTGTTGAGTAGGCCCAAAAATAGAAGACTTTGATGTCAAGGCAAAAACCATTAAAGCCAGCGCCTGGCCGTGAAGAAACGAACTTCTGATACATATCTTTCCATAATTGACATGAATTTTACTCTTTCACAATCCAGCATCATGACACAGCCAGTGGCCACCAAGGAAATGGTCAGCGATGAGAAGACGAGCAGCAGTAGCAGGTCAACCGAGGTTATCGATGCAGCCAACGTTGATGGGGCTCAAGATATTGTCTTGAATACCGTTAATGCTGAGTACACTGAAACTGATTATAAGCGCGTTGTCCGAAAGATTGATCGTATTCTGCTGCCATTCATGTGGCTCTGTGCCGGCATTCAACAGGCCGACAAGGCGTCCATCTCTACGCAAGCAACATTTGGCCTTCCACAGGACACCAATCTTGTTGGTCAGCAATTTTCGTGTAAGCATTTCCCGCAACAGATGCTACTGTGTAATAACATCTGATGTCATGGAGTATACAGAAGCTGACAGTTCACCTTGCAGGGCTTACCACCGCGTTCTACATTTCCTATCTCATCGGCGAAGCTCCCTCAAACTATCTCATGCAACGCTTTGGTGTAAACAAGCCTTTGTTCGTCTCTTTATTCCTCTGGGGTGTTGTCGTTCTTTGCATCGCATTTGCCCAGAACTTCACCCAGCTCGTGGCATTACGTTCCCTGCAGGGTTTACTTGAGTGTACTATGGCTCCTGCTTTAGTTCTCCTCACGGCGTCTTTCTATGTCAGTCGGGAACATCCCATGAAATCCGTTATCTGGAGCACTTCAAATAGCGGTTTAGATATCATAACGCAACTCGTCATGTACGGCATTGGCAGTGCTGCTCAGAAACACACAAGCAGCTTTGGTCCATGGCGATGGATTAGTGTTTTCCTAGGGTCATGGACAATAGTCATGTCCTTTTTTTCGCTGCTGTTTCTGGGAACGCTCAGTGAAGTCCGATGGCTATCGAAGGAAGAGAAACGCATTGTAGCAGCCAGAGTCGCCAGCAGCTAGATCGGGTCTGACAGAGGTCAGAAGTATGAATGGCATTGGGACCAGGTTGTGGATGCGTTCCGGGATCCGCAAACATACTTCTTCTTCTTTGCATATATTGCCAATTCTCTACCTAATAGCGGCACAGCAGCATTTGGCAAGCTTGTCTTTGTCTCGTTTGGCTTTACCAACTTGGAGACTATAGTGAAGTGCATTATCCCACTAGACCTCGTGACCATAGCCTGGTTGCTGGCCGTTGGAATCTTGACATTAAAGTGGCCTCATACCAGATGTAAGGATGCAGTATCTTGGCTTACTCTTATTGTTTGTGCTAACTGTAAGCACTTTAGTTCTTTTCATGATCATCTCAACTATTCCGGGCTTTGTTGGTATGTTAGCTTTGGGCCTACTACCAACGGAAGGTAAACGTATGCTCTGGATTCGATGGGGTCTTTACCTTATGACCGCTACTAGTCGCCTAACTGGATTGATGATGTGGACACTGTTCCCGTCTAATGTAGCTGGGCGAACGAAGAAGTCTGTTATCGGCACGGTCATGTTTATTGCGTACTGTGTAGGAGGTGCTGTTGGTGTCCGGACTTTCCGAGCTGAGTGGGCGCCCAGATATATTCCTGCAATCATTTTACGCGGAATTATGTATGGGGTGGTTATTGCTCTATTCATGGCATGGCGATTTTACTGTGAGTTTCCCGGATGGCATGTACCTTTACCACCACGGTTTCAGGCTGACAACGCAACAAGATATTATGGAAAACAAGCGGAGGGCTAAGATTATTGAAGAGATGGGAATGACGCCGGAACAATCAGCACATCAAGGGAAAATCAATGGCGAGTCCGATATGGCGGATCGGCAAAATATTCATTTCAAATATGGTATGTAAGAGAGATATCGGGTTCTGAATTCGGATGTTGGGAAATGTTGGAGATGGTTTGAGATGCAGGAAAGGGCAAATAGTGAGAGAGTTACGTGCACTTAAATAATCGTGATGAAGAACTTGACTGGACGCTGAACTTTCCACCATATAGTTGTATGTGCTGAATCGTGGTGCGGATCAGCAAATAAGTGCTGCTGTGTTTCTCAGGTGGGCTGCTAATCTAGAGGGTTTGAATCCATTTTAATTTATTTTAGATGAATTTTCATTTATCGGTCGTATATCTTGCATGAGGCTGCGCTGCAGTTATTGATGTAAGGGATCGCGACGCAAGGGGCCGCACAAACCACCGGCCTGGATTGTTGATACATCAGAATGAAACAACGGTGCTGCGAAGATCTGGTGAAAAGAGTCTCGCACAAGTGAATCATCAGGCTATTAGACGACTGTAATGAACGGCATTTAGAATAGGACAATTGTCTTCCACACATATACTCTAAAGCTCAATGGTGCTGTGATTCTCATATATGATAACGCGCTGCATCCGCTAAGCAGAGGGCACCGCATTAATAATAAATGAATTTGTTTTTTTCCCAATTGAAGACAATCTGCCAGAAGGTACCTGTAATCACTGAACTGTGCTCTGCTTACTGCATACTAAGTCTTATGGCGAATCAGTATAGATATAAGTTCGGTGTAAGTGTAATCTCAGGAAGGAAAAAATGGTTCAACCAATTTAAAAGAGTACGATTAATATATTTACTAAATTTGGTTAAGCTTACCTTTAGTTTTTATTACACGTTTGATAAATATTGGGGGCGTATTCCGTACACCTAGCCATCTCTGTAGCCATACTGAAGGTAAGGCTTTCGTCAGCACAGGGTTATATCCTTGAGTTCCAGGATATTCACCGTTATGATTGTTTGTATCTTCATGTAAACCGCCTTTTTTTACATTTGATTCATGCAGACCATAGCTTATTTCAGCCAAACATTCACACATGTGCTCTAATGGAGGTGATTTATTGGATGTTTCCATCCTTTTTGGTAAAATCTTACTTGCAGTATCCTTCGCAGCATTGATTCCCAATGGGGCCCAAAGCTGTCTTATACGTCTACTGGCTGACTTTATATACTCCATGAACTGAAAATTGAAACCTTGATCCAATATGTCTAATATTGAGTTCTCTTGGTCTTAATATCACTCTATCGTGAGCAATGAGCTAGCCAACGTCTCACCCGCGCTCTCTCAATCATAATAGTTTTGGAAACAATGCCACCATCAACCAGGGAGACATCCATTACAATGTGACCCCTGGTCCTCTATTACCCGGGGTTGATAAGCCGACATATGTTATTCCATATCCTCGCAACAAGGATGTGATTCGCCGCAAAAAGTTGGTAGATCAACTGGATCAACTTCTTCCACGGGGATCGAAGTTCCACAGTGCTGCGCTTTGGGGACTAGGAGGGTCGGGGTAAGTTTTGGTTGAAGTAAATACATGGATATTTCTAACCAATTAATTAACCCAGAAAAACTCAGATCGCCTTGGACTATGCGTACCGACGATACGAATATAAAACATGCAGCGTATTCTGGGTGCATGCAGATAGCAAGGCGACGTTTATACACGATTACAAGACAATTGCGAACAAACTTGGCATCGAACAAGCTGCCGCGGCCGACGGGAAGGATCTACTTAGATCTGTACGTAACGGTATCGAGGCATGCCCATCGTGGGTACTTATCCTTGATAATGTGGATATTCTCGAATTATTCGGCGTTGGATTATCCACAGATGAAGCTACGAACAGCCTATACAAGTATGTCCCAAACGGGCCTACAGGGACAATACTGTGGACAAGTCGTGACGCCCGTATTGCGGGCACTCTGGTTGGCGCACAAAGAGGTGTTGAGGTTCCATCTATGGAACGTGACGAAGCCATCGAGCTTCTTAACAAAATGAGAAGTGAGGAAGCTCGCGTTGAAGAATTTGATGATGATATCGAAATCCTTCTTGAAGAACTACAGAGGTTTCCGCTAGCTATCTCTCAAGCTGGTGCATATATGCGGCGAATGCGGATGACTGCCGCCGGGTACCTGTCTTTGCTTCGAGAGAGCAAACGCCGATGGGATACCCTTAAGACTACTGAATTCGATCGACATCGAAGGCCCGAAATGCCCAATAGTGTACTTGACACGTGGACTGTCTCAATGGAGCGAATCCAAAGTGAGAACAGAACGGCATACCAAGTTCTTCATATCGTCGCTTATCTAGACAACCAAAATTACCGCACGAGTTAAAGATCAGCAAGTGTAGCAACGAGGACCCGACCAAGGAACTTGAGCTGGAGGTGACGTCTGTAATCATGCGGCTGCAAGAATTCTCGTTCCTCAGGACGCGCCATATTGAGGATGGTGGTCCAAGCTATGAGATGCATAAGCTTGTGCAAGAAGCAGCAAGATACAGGCTAGCTATGCGAGGCCTTCAAAATGTACCTGGACAAGAGATTCCGATGAAAACAGAAGCAAGCGACGAGGTATATTACACAAGAATTGCCTTGCAGGCATTGTCAGAGCTCTTCCCAGCTTCAAAGCCAGAGTCATGGGGGCAGTGCGAGAGGTATTTGGCTCATGCTGTAGGAATGGGCGACTGGGCAGAAATCAGCCATAGGGAAGCCGATACGTCTGAACTTTTAAGCAGAGCGTCTGGGTACTTATATGACCGAGGACGGTGGAGAGAGAAAGAGGCCGTGGATCAGAGAACGCTAGAACTAAGGCAAAAAGTTCTCGGGGAGCGACATCCACATACACTTAAAAGTATAGCTTCACTTGCAGCAGCATACTATTACCAGGGTCAGCATGAAAAAGCCAAAGATTGCTACAAAAAAGGGATGGAACTTCGGCGACAGACACTTGGAGAGAAACATCCAGATACCCTTCGAGCTATGAATTTACTTGGTTAAGTATACTAGAGCTATGGTTAGTATAAAGAGGCCGAAGCTCTTTATAAAAAGGCTCTACCACTTTAGCGGGGAGTACTTGGAGAGAAGCACACACACACGCTTGAGAGTTTGGCTTCAATCTCAGCCGTCTATCACTACCAGGGTGATTGTGCCAAAGCCAAACCTCTCAAGATGGAAGCTTTAGCTATCCAACGAGAGGTACTCGGCGAGAAGCATCCATCTGTGCTTTGGAATATAGGATCACTTGCAGCAACATGTCAGGGCCTGGGTGAGTATAAAGAAGCCAAAGCTCTCTATCAGGAGACTCTGGACCTCCGTCGGGAGACGCTTGGCGAGAATCACCCAGACACGCCTCGGAGCATAACCCAACTCGGGGCAATATACCACGATCTGCGCAAATATAAACTGGCAGAATCTCTTGCAAGGGAAGCGTTAAAACTTGAGCAGAAGATGCTGGGAGAGGAACACCCCTATACGCTTCAATCTAAGCATAACCTAGCCATTGCATTGCGCAGTCGCGGTGATTCGGGCAACGCTCTTTCTTTTATGCAAGAGTGCGTGCAGGGGAGATGTGCTGTCCTGGGCCCAGATCATCCATTTACACAGGATTCTAAAAAAGTCTTGGAAAAGTGGGAATCTCCCAGTGGGTGCTTAAAGGGAATTAGAAGGTTGTTGAGAATATTGAAGAGGTACTTTTGCTCACCACAGTTTAATAAAAGGTGATAGATCAAGCTATGGAGGAAGTAAGCGATAATATATACGAGCTAGAACGATATACGTGTTAATACCTATTAGCTAATTATAACTAATGAGGCATTGCAGGTCTCTATAACTAAATTAAGCCCATGTTCATATTAGACTGGGTTAGATGATGGTGCAGCCTCGGTGTCTGTCTTTGGCGAGATGATGGCTTCCTTCTTGTCTTCTACACCAAAATTGTTGTTGAGTTCCTTCCGTAGTTCAATCTCCTTCGCTATAAAGCTGACCAAGAATCCCAATGCAGCAAACGCAATCCCAACAAGCCAAACCGTCCGCATCGCTCCGGTAAAGACCTCGACCACCTCTGCACGAAGTGCCAGGTCTTGAATGCTGGATAGAAAGGCACCCGTGGCATGCTGATACGCACTGTCTCCCGACAGATTAGCAGCGATATCCGCGTCGGTAATGCTGCTCGAGAGACGCCTGCATTCGTTGTTAAAAATGGCACTCGGAATAGTGACACCCCAGATGCAGCCGAAGTAGCGAGCAAAGCTCCAAATGCCGGTAGCCGTAGCGACATAACTTTCATCCAGAGGTGCCTGAACAGCAGGCAGAAGCACGCCGCCAAGCATGCCACTGCCGGCAGCGTTCAGAAGCTGTATGCATACCCACGCGGCGTCGCTTGAGTTGGCATCAAGGATGCTAAACAGCCCAAAGGAGACAGTGGTCACAGCAAATCCGACCAAGTGAAGAGGCTTATAGCGGCCAAACTTGGAGAGTAGGACGCCTCCCGCAACTGCAAAGACTAGCCCGCCGGCAACATTGGGCAATGTGTTCACTCCGGAGCGCAGAGGTGACAAGCCTTTAATGGCTTGGAAGTATATCGGTAGAAAGTAGTATACCCAATAGGCGACGACTGCGTGAATGAAGGTCAGACCGAGAGCGGCTGCTGAGGTGCGATTCGATACGATCTGCCGTGGGAATGAAGGCTCTGGACAGAGTCTCGGGGTCCATTCGAAAGCGGCGAAGAGCAACACGCCTACAAGACCCAGAACAAGAGGCACAATGATGTGATAGGTGCTCCAACTGTAGATGGTGCCGCCCCAAGTGAGTGCAATTAGAGCAGAGACGATTGCAGCCACGAAGATGGCATTGCCAGAGATGTCAATGCGCTTGAGGCGAGCTGACCAGCTCAGGTCACGCTCGTACTTGACGCGGAGGAAAACAAACAGGATCACGAAAGAAGCTAGATCATGGTCAGTAAAGAGAAGCGAGAACTGTTGTCGCATTTACTGAGAAATGGGGAAGAGGACTGGAGCTATTCTTACCAACGCCGATGGGCACATTGATGTAGAAACACCATCGCCAGGAAGCATGATCAGTGATCAAGCCGCCCAGAAAGGGACCCACGGTAGCTCCTACAATGGCGCCGATGCCCACAATACCCATGTATTGGCCACGCTCCCGGAGCGGGACAATGTCGGTCACGATAGTCTCCATCAGGAGGTTAATCCCTCCGCCGCCGAGCCCCTGGATGGTGCGAGCCGCTATCAGCATGGCCATCGAGGAGGCACCGCCGCTGAGGCCGCCTCCCAGCGTGAAGAGGGCAACAGATCCCAGGAGGAGATGGCGACGACCAAAGATGTTGCTTGCTTGCCCGGCAAGGGGAAGTATGGCGACCTGTGCCAGGAGATAGGCGTTGGGGACCCAGATGTAGGCATCACCACCACCCAGAGCATCGGTGATGGTGGGTAGCGCGCTCGTAATGATGGTCCCCTCGATTGCGGACATGAGCCCCGTGATGCTCAATGCCACGATGATAGCCCAGAATCTCCATGTTTTTGGGCCTGTCGACCGAGGCTCAGCGTCTTGTACTGGTGTGGGCGTCGTCGGAACGCGGTTGGGCCCTTCGCTGTTAGTTAACTCATGAGTAGAGGTATTTTGGGGCCGGTCTGGAGGCTGCAGATTGTCCAGCTCGCGGATTTCATCCATGATGAGCTTGGATTAGTCGAGTTGTCCACAGACACTGCAGTCTTTGGATGCAGAATTGTGTGCTGTAGCCAGAACAGACTAAGGTTGGAGGCAGCTACTCGATGGATATATACAACTCCAGCACTGCACTGCTTTGCGCCAGTTATAACATCATTTCACAAAAACCAATCCTCATGTTCTTTAATGAGGTCTTTTTTTTTTAGCCAAGACATTGATCGTCCAAAGGATTTGCGATTGGAATCGATGGATCTACGTGTCGGACCTGCAGTAACACAAGTGGATCCGGTGTGTGACTCCATCCCGGTGAGTGACTCAAACCCCCGGCTGAATCCTACTTGTACTCTCTGCAATGAGAGAGTTTAGGGGTAACCTCATTTTCAACTCCAGTCCTCAGAGTATGACAACCTGTAGGATGCAGAATTGTCGCTGACCAACAACAGTGATTTATTCCCACACAGTCAGTGTTTCTGCCGTATGAGGCACCCGCCGTGTAACATTAATTTCGTCAGGTCTTTTGCCTTTGCTTTGCGAATCATTCCAAACCCGTAGATATTTTATTTAAAAATATTGCATGTAATCTCTCATGTCGCTCTCTTACCAACATCCTCATCTGAACAAATCATCAAAGTGTCTCGCGGCTTGCATATACATTTGCACAGTTAATTTGCCATTGACTTCTTCTGGCTACTGTCTATCATGGGTGACACATTCAGAATGGACCAGCCACCATGGACCGTTGAACAAATCCTCGCCACTGGCATCATGGACCCAGAGTTCGAAGCTGCTTGGAAAGCCAACGGCTCGCCGCCAGGCCACATTCCCGGCGGCATTCCCACATTTCAGAAAACCGTCCAGGAAACTCTACCCGATGCTCAGCAAATGCTCGCAGCTAGCCGACCGACGAACATTGTTGAGAGAGAGTATCATATTCCAATCGACGACACATTCTCATCTCGCATAGCCGTCTGCCAGTCCGCCATCTCCAGTACCACTCCATCCCCTATCGTGATTCTCGTTCATGGCGGCGGCCACTGTGTTGGCTACCCGGAGCTGGAGCTTGCCACCGCGCGGGAACTAGTATTGGCACATAACGCTACTTGCATTCTACCGTCTTATCGCCTTGCACCAGAATATCCGTTCCCTACCGACGTCAACGATGTATTCGCAGTAGTGCAGTATATTGCCCGCAAGGCAGCTGAGAAAGATGGGGGAATTCTGCCTGCCAATGCCGACCCGAAGAAGGGTTTCATCATTGGAGGGCTCTCAGCCGGGGCAGCCATCAGCAACATGGTGGCACAACTTGCCCGAGATCTACAGCCTCCGCTTACTGGGCAGTTCCTAGCGTGTGGAGTTTATATTGACCCTGGTCGTGTCCCTGACCGTTACAAGGAGCTCTATCTCTCCATGGAACAGAACAAGTTTGCCCCAATCCTCGACACAGAAGCTCTAAACCAGTACATGAGTGCGTATAAAGGGGACAAGCCGTCACCGCCATTCTCCATTAGCCAACAGCCTCACTCCGATGCCATTACAAGTAGACATAAACTTCTGCCCCCTGTCTATTTCCAGGTCGCTGGGATGGACCCTGCACGGGATGACAGTCTCATTTACGAGCGCATTCTGCGAGAAGAGTGCGGAGTGCCTACGAGAATAGATGTGTATCGCGGCGTTCCTCACGGATTTTGGACAATGTATCCGGAATTGGCAGTCAGTCAAAGACGGATGCGAGACGCTGTAGATGGTGTCGGGTGGTTACTAGGGGATAAGTAGCTAGCTGCTTCAGCTATGTTGCCATGGAGTTTGTAATCACAGCATTCTTAGCGTGTGATAACTAGGAATGTGATAAATCTTACGGAAAGGAGATAGAAACCTATAGGGCTTACTGGCTGACTCTAGTCAGCACGCTACTCATAGTTAAAAGAAGCACAAAATTAAAGCACTCCTTACTCCCATTAACTATATGCCGACGCAACCACCAAGTCCATCTGGTTACTGTATCATAATCACCCGCTACTATAGGGTCAGCTGTGAGTAAATAAAAGCAATTGTAATAAAATTAAATCTATAGTGATACGCCATCCAAACGAGAACTTTAGTCTAGATATAAGTGTCATCTTCCGTCTCTTGCTGAGCTACATATATGTCATTGACATGCAATATTATCAGGATTCCTACTCTTGCTCAATTAAAGCAGCGCTGGGACAACGACCCCAGCAGCCATGGCCGCAATAGCAAACATAACCCCAATGCTGTTTGCAGAACCTGCACCGGTGGTGGTACGTGCCGGTGCTGCAGCCCCGGTGGTGGTTTGCGAGTTGTTACTGCTCGAAGTTCCTGTCGTGCTAGCTGCTAGCTGAGCCTGGCCAAAGTTGGTCTTGAACTTCTCACACCAAAGTCCTACCGTGCTGAAGTCGGCGGGTGTGTGGCCGGCATCCAGATTAATCGTCAGACTATCCGAAGTGGCAGCTTCCGTAATATGTGTGTTGGAGATGCGGAAACCAGACGAGAGATCGCTGGAGGTGCTTCCCCACCAGTACAGCTCAGGAGCACTGGCATCGGCCAGCTTATACTGTGTAACCTCAAGGGAAGAGTCGCTGGCGACAGTGACGACGCCGCCAAGGCCACCATCAAGAGAAGAGAGGGTGCCCGAAGCGCCGACCTGGCTAGCACTAACAATAGCGGGCAGAGCCAGAGCTGAGAGGAAAGAGAGAGTCTGCATGGTTGAGAAAAGCATTGTAGGTAAATAATGTAGTTGATTGTTTGGCTGTGAAAGATGGTGTATAATATTGGCTTTTTTAAGCTTGGAGATTTGAAATTTGAAGGTTGTGGGTTGTTCTTTGTCTGATGAAAGAGTTGAGTACTGGATGATGAAAAAGAAGATAGCTGTAGAAGTAGGTTCTTATTGTCTTTATATATCCATCAACTAACCTCTTCTTGCCCTCCCCAAGTTTAGCTGCCGAAGAGCTAGTATTCGGCGGCGGGTCAATTATCGTAGATCATTCAACGTTAGGCCGAATTCAATACAGAGGTTAAAAAATGGGGAACTTTTGTCAGCTTGATTCCAAACTGCCAAGGGGGCTGAAGTGAAGGGTAACCTCTAGTGCCAAACATTAATGTAGCATCGGCAGTGGTCCGAGACATGCATGTTAGTATCTTTCCTTTGGAATTGCTGCATTACTAGCAGATATATTCATCAAAATTTCCCAAAAGAGTAGATGCAGATTACTTGAGGTCAAAGAAAAGGGACAGGCATAGCCCCTTCTCAAATGATACACAAGTGCCGAGCATATCTAGATAAGGTGCTTAAACATTACCCCTGACTATTTTGAGGTGTAAGTAAGACGGACTATCAAGTAGCGCATGTGTAATCAGTCTTGTCTAACCAGTATAGTTGTAATTCATGTCTTATCCGCCATAAGATGAGACTGTTTATGCAGATACGAAATACATTGATTGGCATAATATATAGTTTCGAAGAGAGACGAACGCTCTCAAGAAATATAACTGACAGTTCTCTATTGTTGCCTTCTTCATTATTGAGCCAATACTTTGGTAAACATTTTTCTTATTGAAAGATTATTTACTCTCATAGTCTTTGAATCAACGATTATCAGCATTCACCAAGATGGTGTCTCCATCTATGCTTAATCCTATTATCAATGATCAGTATACGGCTGCCAGAGCGTATTTCCTTTGTGTTATTGGAATGCTTTTCTTTGAGAGCATGCTTCATGTTCCGTCATATCTGTTACATCTTTATAGAAGAGGTAGGTTTCTCCTCATCACGTTCATCTGTTCACTAAGAATCAATTCTCACACTCTCTTTCTACAGGCCGGCCGAATACAGCACGCCAGAAGCACTGGAAGATTTATACTGCCCTACATAAGATAACAACACTACCGTCTGCTATACCGTTCATCACGCGCAATAACGTTCCCATCCTCATACGCGTTTCTGTCTTCACCTTTCTCAACTTCCTCTGGGGCTGGAATAAGTTTGCTTATACCACGAACTACCAACTCTATGGCTGGCTCACAATCGCCAACGGTGGCCTTAGCCTCCTCATGGGTGCGCGTACCAACCTCTTTGCTCATGTTGCTCGCATTCCCTCGGCAGTGTTACTTAGGTATCATCGCTGGATTGGGTTGGCAACATTTGTACATGCAACGCTGCACTGCAGCCTCATCATACAACATTATGTGCAGACGAACCAGTTTTACACGGCTGCTCAGGCCCCTCGTATCCCTGTGGGCATAGCTGCGTGGATATCGTTGTGTATTATTGCAATCACTTCTATTCCCAAGATATTCCGTCGTCGCTGGTTCGAGGCATTCTACTACCCGCACTTTTTCTTCCTTGTTTTCGTTGCAGGAGCCTTGTACCACGCGAACAAGGGGCCTGAATTTCTTCTTCCTGGATTTGGCCTCTGGGTAGTTGATCGCGGCATCCGATTCTATAATAACTTTCGGGGCTCGCAAGTCAAATCAGTTATGCACTACTCAGGAGGTGTAACGAAATTCAACATCGCTGGAGTAGCGCCATCGCAACCAGGCCAGATAGCTTGGATACAGATCCCCAGCGTGTCATTCTTCAATTGGCATCCATTTACCATTGCTTCTGCACCTGGACAAAATGAAACCACGCTCGCCGTCAGGGCGCTTGGCTCATTTACCAAAAAGGTGCAAACCGTTGGGGAAGATGTTGTAAAGGTTGCTCAATCAACATCAATCGAAGGAGGAACATACGAAGCTGTATCTACGGAAATGAATTTTCCCAAACTACAGATTGATGGTCCGTATGGTGTCGGTCATTTGCAATGGGGCGCACATCCAGTGATCGTACTCGTGGCTGGCGGAATTGGCATCACCCCCGGCATCAGTATTGCGAAACACATTGTGAATCAAGGTAAATCAGGACTTGTATCCATGTCTGGAGGCTGGCATATTCATCTCTTGTGGACGGTGAAGAATTTTGATCACATCTCCTGGTTCGAAGCGGAGCTGAAGAGCCTCGCTGAAATTGCGTCGGATCAAGCTGTACCCGTCACGCTGGATATCACGATTCACGTTACAAGTGGCGTGGAGGAAGACAGCGAATCTGTAAAGTTTTATGGCATCGGGGATATCTACCAAGGCCGTCCAGATTTGATGAAATGGTTTGAGGACGTGAGAGATGCGAGAATGGGCATGGATGCTTCAGTTAATCTCTGTGGGCCTGCACAATTGATACGCAGCGGAAGAATAGCAGCGTCAAAAGCAAGTTGTGAAGATATTCTGTTTCATGTAGAAGAGGAGACTTTTGAATTTTAGTTCATACAGCAAGGAATAGCCACTTGCCTATATTAATGTGAAAATTAATTAGGTAGTTTTATTGCACATTATTTATGATGGACTGAAGCAGTGCAGTGATGAACTTCGGGACAGACCGCGACTATATCGCGGCAGAGTATCAATGCTTTTTTGATGGAGGGCATCATAGCACGGGATGAAGTTCCGCGAATCATTACAGAAAGAATATGTGGCTACTTGTATGCCCATATGAGAACGAGAATTGGCAGGATCTGCAACGCCTACCGCGGCACTTGGGGGTGAAAGTAAATACAACGAAAATGATAATCTATTGTCCGTGAGCGCTACCATGATCAATTTACTTATTGGTCTTCATTTCATCATAAATACAAGATATGCACACATCTAAAAACCTACGGTGTTAGATCAATGTTGCTGATGTAGCTTAGCGAAGGTTTCAAAGACGTTGAGAAATCGGAGCTATGAAGGCTCTGTCTTCGAATCGGTGATGTAAATAAAGACCGACATTAGATTAGGATTAAAGGTTTAACAAGACACCGAAAGAGAAAGTACTGGTAGTGGCCATTCGGGTGCTAACGAGCTATTGGACCATGAATTGATTAAGGCTACATGTAGCTGTCTGATGGATTGGATGTTGTCTGCTCGCTGTAGGACATCGCGTATTTACAGCTTACCTTCTTGTCCACCCTGCCACCTCATCTGTATTACAAGGGTGGGTATGCAGCTGTGAAGGCCCTTCGTCCAGAGCCCAGTCGTCAGGCTGGGCTCTAGAAATGTGCCACGTAGTTGTGGCGGTTGCTTGGCGTTTGTTATCACAAATATTTGAGTGTTTTAATAGGTCATTTGGCTGTTATTGATGCTTTCGAAGATGCAATTGGATCTGAAGCATCCACTGCTACCTATTTTGTCTGCGAGTAATCGGGCAGTATGCATTTCTAGTGCTACCTCTGGTCTATAACTCAGACCAGGATTAAATGACGGGGGAATGCGTGTCAGCTTTTCCGGCCAACCAATTTGACGTTGGCGATTCATGCCGATAACCCCGGAGATGCTACTGCACACTTCCCTGATCGGATAACCTAACGAGGGGCTTTTGCGATCAGGTCCTCCCGACGGGATCTAGAGAACGAAGGGAAACTTTCCGGTTGTCATTCAACCCAAGCAAGCACAAAACATAGGCCATGGCGGTTTGTTGTTGAGCGGTGACGGACATCACATTAGAACATCAGCGCATTATAATAACGACAGACACACTAGATAATATATTGCCTATGTTTCGTTAAACCACCGCCGCTCAGCCTAGTCCTTGCATCCTTTTCACCCATTGCTTCTCAATAAGCTCTGATAGGTCATCAATTGACCGAGCCAGGTATCGAGTATTCGATACTGCCGCCCACTCAGTGGGCAGCCTTCCCGTCGCGAAAGGGAAACCATTCTGATCACAACTGGTTTTTTTTCCTTGTGGTCAAGGACAAAATTAACACGGCTGCGTTACTTCTTCTTCTACATCACTGCATCATTACCGCAGCTGAGATACTATGGGTTTTCTGGCACCAAAGGTCGCTACCGAAGCTATGCGCTCAATAAAAAAAACTTGGAGGAGCATCTTCAAGAAATTTCGTGCAGCACCACCACCTATTTCTTCTGGGCAGTCCACAGGTATGTTCATTTTGGATGGCGAGGCTGAGAGTTTGGAACTCAGACTTACGGCAGAAGACTAATGCCCGAAACAAGATGTGAAGCATGATTCAAGAGCACCCTCCAGCAACGAGACAGAGCTAACTGTTGTCCCCGATGCGACAATTGCTGAGACAACGCGAGCTACAGGGAGGCGACCCAACGATGCTCGCTCGGTAGACATGGCATATCTCGAAGAGACCACCAATACGTCTGGCAACGTTACACAGACACACATTCTGTCGGTTGAACACCATGCAGAAGACGCACCAGGGACCGAATCAACAGAGCGGCAGCGAACAGAACTTTCCAAATCCCAGAACTCTGGAACGCCGCCTACGATAGCCTTAAGGAGGATGCAGACACTGCAGAGTTGGTCACGTCTTATGTAAAAGCGTTGACCACAATTCTCGGGACGAAGCCTGACATTGTTTCTGGCGCCGACATTTCAGCTGATCTGAAAGATCCAACCATGAGACATATATTCATGAAGAAGCTAGTGGAAGAAGGTCTAGCGAAGATTTCAACGCCGTCGAAGATTACGAAAGGAGTGGGCGACGTTGCCCAGTTCATCATCTCAGCCAAAGGGTTAATCGACGCAGCTATCCAAAACATACCGCAGGCTGCGCTACCATGGGCTGGTATTTGTATTGGACTGCAGGTGAGCGGCACACTTATCTTGTGTTTCTTTAATTCCCGCTCACTCGTCTCCATCTAGATCCTTTTGAATCCTACAAAAGCGACAAAATCTAATCTTTCTGGCATCGTATACGTTATCTCTAGAATGGACTGGTATTGTGCCCTCACAGAACATCTTCTGAGTGAAGATTGCTTCAACGAGCCTCTTAAAATGATTCTGCCCCAGTTGGAGACGAAGGTCCTCGCGCTCTACAAGGCCCTTCTCCTGTATCAGATGAAAAGTGTATGCTCTTACTACCGGCAGCAGGGCCTTGTCTTTCTCCGCAGCCTTGTGAGTTGGGATGATTGGGATAACGATCTGAAGACCGTTGAAGATGCGGAAATTACTCTTCAGAAGGATTCAGATCAGTACAACAAGCTCCATGCGAAGAGCGCCCTAGCGCAACTTGTCGAGCGTGCCAAGAGCATGGAAGAATTGCTTGGAGACATACATCAGACTCTTCGAAAATTCTTGACCTTCCAAAAGGAACTGCAGCTTGATGAAATTGACAGAAAATGCTGCTGGGATCTTCGAGTTGTCGATCCGAGAGACGATATGAAGAAGATTGAGAATAAAAAAGACGCTCTACTCCCCGAAGCATACGAATGGGTACTTGGCACAGAGCAGTATGCGCGCTTCATGCAGTGGAATGATCAACCTGACCACAACTCATGCCAACTGTTATGGATAAAGGGATATGCTGGCACAGGAAAGACGATGCTCTTACTGGGGATTATTCGCAGCGTTGAGGAGCGGCAAGATTTCTGTGCCCCGGGCTTATCTTGCTTCTTTATTCAAGGGACAGATGTATCGTTGAATAGCGCAACCGCCGCTCTCCGGTCTTTAGTCTGGATGCTCGTAGTTGAGCAGCCGCATCTTATCTCACATCTGCGAGAGAAGTATATGAACTCTGGCGCCGCTCTTTTCACAGACCAGAATGCTTTTTTTGCACTCTCTGAAGCATTTCTGAAAATGTTAGATAATCCTGAATTGTCGCCAGTCATTCTTGTGGTCGATGCCCTTGATGAGTGCGATAGGGCGAAGCCGGGGTTGGATGAATTAATTGACCTCATTTCAGAATCCCTCAGACGCTCTGACAAAGTGAAGTGGCTACTCTCTAGCCAGCCTGAGATTGATGTTCTCTCCAGGCTCAAGAGTTTAACTGGAGATTTACGGAACATTTCAGAGAACCTAGTTGAACTAGATGCGCAACGTCTAGCACGCCCCGTTGATGCATACATCGACCACAAGCTCACGGCCCTTAGGGGTAGAGACGGGTACGACGCAAGCATTTTGGCTGAGATCTCCAAGGAAGTTCGCCAACGGGCTATGAACACGTTTCTTTGGGTATCACTTGCATTTCAGCATATCAAAGGCGTCCATGGGGGGTATGCTGTCCAGGACATCAAAGCCATGCCTCCGGGATTGTTAGAGCTATACGACCATATGATGACCAGGATTGAGAGTGGGGAGAAGATAAAGCCCCAGGATTGCAAAAAAATCTTGATGTGCACTGTTCTTGCGTTCCGTCCCATCTCTCTCTCTGAATTAGCCGCTCTGTCCGACCTGTCACGCAATATAACGGAGACGGCTATTAAGGAATGCGGCTCATTTCTGACAACTAGGGAGGGAACAGTGTACCTGATCCACCAGTCTGCCAAGGATTATTTATACGACAACTTCAACCGCCGGCTTCAATCGTCCGGAACTGCCCAAGGGCATGTAGACATCGGCCAACGCTCAATTAGCGCAATGGCTAAGGTTCTGAAACAAAACATGTATGACCTCGATAACGGTTTCACACCAGAAAATCTCGAACCCCCACAGCGGGATCGTCTAGCTTCGATATGGTATTCCTGTCTCTTCTGGGCCGACCATTTCGTCGCTGGAACTAGCGAAAACCCTGAGGGCAAGAGCGCGTTGGCGGACGATGGAGAAGTAATTGGGTTTCTGAGAGAGAAACTCCTACAATGGCTCGAATATCTATCCGTACCGGAAAGACTCTCGGATGGGCTATATTCGATCAGAAAACTTTTACATGTTACGCAGGTAAGCTTATGATTCCTTCCTTTCCTCATAGCTGCTAAATTTCTATACAGAAATCTTCTCAGTTGGCTCGATTCCTAAATGACATCGAAGCATTTATCCAAAGTCACGGGTCAATCATAGAACGAGCTCCTCTCCAGATATATGCATCCGCACTAGTATTCAGCCCAATGACAAGTGAGGTCAGGGCCACGCAGTGGAAGTATAGGCTGCCATTCATCCAGACTGTAGCAGGAATTATAACACATTGGGATACGAACCGCCAGACACTCGAGGGACATGGCTACCCGGTTAGATCTGTGGCCTTCTCTCCTAATGGTAAGACGCTAGCCTCAGCGTCATACGACAAGACTCTCCGGTTGTGGGATGCAGCCACGGGAAGCTACCAACAGACGCTCAATGGACATTCTAAGGGTATAATATTCATAACTTTCTCGCCCGATGGCAGAACATTAGCCTCAGCATCAGACGATACCACAATCCGGCTCTGGGACGTAGCAACGGGGAGCCACCAAACCTTCAGGGGACATAGCGATTGCGTTGAATCTGTAGCCTTCTCTCCTGACGGCAAGACGCTAGCCTCGGCGTCAGACGACAAGACTATCAAGCTCTGGGACACAGCTACAGGAAGCCACAAAATATTTAGGAAGCATAGTAATTATCTTATTTTGTCTCTGGCTTTCTCACCCGACGGTAAAACGTTGGCCTTAGCATTAGACGATAAGATTATTCGACTCTGGGATATAGCCACAGGGAGCCATTATACTCTCCAAGGACCTGACAATCGTGTAAGGTCTGTCGCTTTTTCGCCCGATGGTAAAATATTGGCCTCGGCATCAGGCAATAACGTCCAGCTCTGGGATATGGCTGCAGGAGGCCACGAAACGCTCAAGGGGCACGATGACTGGGTTAATTCTGTGGTTTTTTCACCCAATAGCGAAACTTTGGCCTCGGCATCAGATGAGGAAACTATCCGGATCTGGGATATAACTGCAAAGAGTTGTCTACATATACTCAAGGGACATACCCATCATGTCAATTCTGCAGTTTTTTCACCTGATGGCAAAATGCTGGCCTCGGCATCAGATGACACCACTGTACGGCTATGGGATATAACTGCAAATAGTTACCTACATACACATGAGGCACACAGCGATTGGATTTTATCTGTGGCCTTTTCACCTAACCGTAAAATACTAGCGTCAGCAGCAAAAGATAAAACAATTCGGCTTTGGGATAGGGCTACATGGAGTCACCTACATACACTTAAGCGAGATAGCAACTGGGCCAGGTCTATGACTTTTTCAGCCGACGGTAAAACACTAGCCTCAGTATCAGATAAACAAACTATCTGGCTCTGGGATACAGCTACCGGAAGCCACCTACGCACAATTAAGGGACTTGGCGAATATGTTTATTCTATAGCTTTTTCACCTGACACTAAGACGCTGGCCTTGGCTTCAGGAGATTTCACTATCTATCTCTGGGACATGGCCACAGAAAACCTCTTACGGCAACTTAAGGGGCATTACAAACCAGTTGAATCTGTGGCTTTTTCACCTGACGGCAAGATACTAGCCTCCGCATCAGACGATAAAACTATCCGGTTCTGGAATACGGCTAAAGGGAGCCATATACAGACGCTTGAGGGACATGGCCAGTGGGTTAGATCTGTGGCCTTCTCTCCTGATGGTAAGACGCTAGCCTCTGCATCAGACGATAGTACTATCCGGCTCTGGGATACAGTCACGGGCAATCACCTACACACATTTGAAGGATATAGGGTTGCGGCTGTAGGATTTTCGCCCGACGGCAGATACCTTAAGACGAATTACGGATCGCTCCGGTTAGCGCCTACATCCATCTTATCCGAGCACTTTTCTACTGAGGGTTGTTCTGACCATACTCTGTATGTCGACGGGAAGTGGGTGACTATAGATGGCAAGAAAAGCCTCTGGCTTCCTACTAACTACAACTGTACTTCAGTAGCAGTAGATGGAAATAAGTTGGTACTGGGACATGAATCCGGCAGGTTAACGTTTTTGGAAGTAGATTTTTCATGAATCAATATAACTAGGAAGCTTAAGTTACTACTATAATTCTCATTGAAGAGCCTGGGGAATATTTCTCCTCCTATTTGGCCTTTTTCATCGTTCAGCACATTGAGCTTGTCAACGCTGCATCGAAGACCCATAAAGACCACTGCCGGCACTAGTATTAAAATAGTTAGCGAACCTATAAAAATAGTGGGGAACTGAACCAGGGTCCAATTGCCCAAAAGGGTAAGTGCATGCCAATAACGGCAATTCTTCAAACATTAGTCATGAACATTATGCAAGCAGCCACCAGCCTCAGTATGACAGAGGTGGTAGTCCGCTATTTCAGGCATACCGTCATAAACATACAATCGTTAATGTATATTTGGTCATGCATCCGAGAGGCGTCAGGGTGCGCTCACAATTTATCCGAGTGGCATCGGCAACTCTTTTATTTATACAGAAGTCAATCATGATTACCCATCACCACACATCAGAGGAGCGACGGGCAGCTAGACGATGCGAAGCAATTCTTCGAGGCCTAGCGCAGGACTTGGGCCAATGGCCACTACAAAACATAATCGCAGAGCTTGAAACTTATTCGTACTCGTATATCTTTTCTACTATTGCATGGCGTGATATTACCCCAACTCCGAGCTGGGTCGGAAGAGATGTATAAGCCACCTCTATTTGTTTGCCCAGGTTATTGCTGGAAAATAAGACGTTGGTGCTAAATCGTGCAAAGCAACAGCGATTAGTTGATCCAATGCACCCTTCCATCTCGATCCATATTCAAACCTTCAACAAACCTTGTAGCCAAGTTCAACACTTTTCTGTTACAAATCAACCATGTTCCAATAAGCTTGCGATGAGTCTCGCACTGCGAGACACGGAATGATTACATGCACTGTTCATTCGTAAGCTATGCCATTGCTTGTCCAGATTAGACTTCTAGATGCCATATTTTCCTCTATATAATGCCCTTTGGTAACTCAGCTTCAAAAAAAATATCCATCAAGCAATCAACAAACCAATCAAGCAACCAATCAATTGTCAGAACAACAATCACTAACTCAGATATTCGCATCTCTGTGCAATCAACATCAATAGCCATGGCGTCATCAACTACCAACCCCTTCCCTTCTTTCCCCTTGACCGGGATCGAGTTTCCCACCACTCCCCTCGTGTTAGCTTCTTACTATCAAGCAAAGAAGTATTCGACCCCAGGAGTCTTGAACCATGTTCTGCGCAGCGCAGCCTTTTGCCTTCTTCTCCAGAAGAAGATGCCCGAGTTCTCCAAGCTGGGCGATGAACTTGACAAGGAGCTCATTGTCGTGAGCTGTCTCCTCCACGATCTCGCCTGGTCCAAGAACAAGGAGATTGTGACCAACACCAGGCGTTTCGAGGTCGACGGTGCCAACCTCGCTCGCGACTTCATCGACTCATACCCTGAGAAGGAGAGCACCTGGGACAGGAAGGGCCGCCGCATGCAGCTGGCCTGGGACTCCATCGCCCTGCACACGATGGAAGTCTTTGCGCCCTGGAAGGAGCCCGAAGTTGCGCTGGTCCACTACGGCATTCACGGTGACCTCCTTGGACCGAGCCTGCACCTCCTCGGCCTTCCGGAGGACCTCCCGAACCTGAAGGGTGTCATGACCGATGAAGAGTTCAAGGAGATCTGCAACGCGTTCCCCCGCAACGGCTTTGCCGACGAGTTCAAGGAGATCTTCTGCGGCTTGTGCAGAGACAGGGGCCGCTACACCTTCGACAGCACTGTTGTGCACTACGGACTGGAATGGGGCTTTGATGGCAAGGGCACTGGAAAGGAGGAGTTCAACAAGTTTGTGGAGGATACTCAGCGCGCCAAGAACTTGTACAAGATGATGAGCTCCATTGATAAGCTCGCTGGCGAAAATTAAACGGACCTCGACTTTTTGTTTGTTTCAACATAGACTCGGTTAGAAGAACCTGACCACTCGTTTTGCGAGTTATTGTTAAATTAGTGTGCTACAAATTGATTATATTTTTTGGCTCCCGCTTATTTACAATATCATTTTGCATTTTATATTCGTCTAATATGATGGGATGTCATCACAAGTGCATGTTTAATGCGAAGCAAAGTTAATAGACACAGAGGCAGCAGCAGTATATAACAAGTTGAAACTAAAGGCAAAACAAAAAGTCAAATTCTATTAGAGAGGATACCAATTATCTCGTTCCATCAACCCTTCAAATCTGCAATCTATAGCGCTACAGAAATCCAGATTTAGAGTCCTCTTGTTCCATTTTCAGTGGACACATAACATATTAATCATTTATTTTTCAGACTGGCTCGCAAACGGATCGTCCCCGTAGATGTCGTGGTCGTTGCCCTCGCTCAGTGCCATCCGCCCCTTGCTGCTCCTCAGCAGTCCCCCGCTCGCATCAACCAGCGGGCTACTCCACTTCGTCTGGCCGTCCACGTCCATCTTGTACGTCGTGGCACCTAGCCCGGTGGGATGGTAGTTGACAAAGATGCTCTCCCACTTCCGGGCAGGGACCTGATAGACCTCATGCATGATACTGAACAGGCGGCCCTCCTTGGCCTTGCCGCGGCCCATGATGTCCTGGTTCCAGTAGCTCCAAGCCTCGCAGTGCACGCCGCCCGGCACGTGGCACCACTTGTGCAACCCCTCGTAGGTGCGGAAGTAGGCCAGGATCATCACCTCATTGGCCGTCGCGCGCTCGTTGGCCAAGTAGCTGCACGCGCCGAGATAGTCGTACTGCTCGCTGTGCTCGTCAAGGTCCTCGATCATGTCTCGAAAGAAGGTGCTGATCTTGCGCATGTGCGGGTGGAAGACACCGAGCGGGTGGTTGCTGCGAGCGGCGAGCTTGATGACGACGATTGGATCCTGCGATGGCGTCGTGCTGCCGGGGAACTGCGCACTGACCTTTCCTGGCACGACGCCGGACATGTATGGATTGGCGCGCACGCCGCTCCAGATGAAGAGGCCGTCGATGAGGGAGGTGCTGAGATAGAAGATGGACGGAATAATGGCGAAGCGTATGGGAAGGACCAGCAAGAGTGCTGAATGCAGGAGAGCGCCGATGGCTACCCATGTCTGCAGTGGGAAACCGTCACGGATAAACTACAGCATGGATGTTCAGTCTGAGGCATGTGGGAGCAGCAAGACTAGAAGGGAGATGTTCATACGTTGGCTTTGACGGCGGTGAAGAACTGTGACCGAGGCCGTGTTCCTGATGGCGCGAGAATTGGTGAAAAGGCTGCCATGGCAAATATCAGGCTGTGGGATGCTTTCTTCAATGTTGTCATCCGTGTTTGGTAGCTCCGGGTGTGCTATTGAACAGCTAATCGTGTTGGTGACGGTTATTGCGTGCCAAATGAGTTGGAGGCATGGAGATGATGCCGTTGCTCATACATCTCTGCGACTTTATACCATTTCACCATCCAAGTTCAAAGATTGCGACGCTTTTGGGAGCGACAAGATCGACGCCGAGGAGCGCCGACTGGATTGACTGTTGGATGTTGGACGTTGGACGTTGTCATGTCAGAGAAGGTGTTCGTGTCATGCAGCAGCTGTAGCATTTGTCCTGTGCCCAACCATACGAGTTCTAAGTATGTTGGCAGCTCTATGTTCCCGGCTCATAATAGTCTTTCATTGAAGTTTTGAGCCCCTGGTCGTCTTCGGCACAGCCGGCGCCGATGCCACCGAAGCGAAACCCGTTGCTGCTGACCATGCACCGCACGAATCCTACATATGTGTATAGTCAATCCTTTTTAAAGTCATGCACTAATAAAGCAGCCAATGAGGCCTTTCACTGAAGATGCGGATTTCTCGAATCCCCTTCCTCGGGAAATCAAATGCTCGTGTTCGCCCTCAGACGTATCGTATAACAGAATGGGACAGACACTCCGCTCCGGAGGTGCCCGGGTGGTAGACAGAGCGCATCCACAACACGGTTTCCGGCCCCTCTTCGAATCTAGCACCGTATACGGAGTAGATATAGCAATGTTTGCTTGTTTACAACCACTTGGCTACTGGCCATTGATAACCGCGTTCCACTCTGGTAAAAAGGGAATCTCTGGCATCAAAAAATCCAGAGATGCAAAGACGCTCTGGTCGGAATAAGCAGGGAACTCAGAAGCCCACTCGGGGGCGATAGATGTGGGCGGGAGCATCTCGGCATCTGGAAAACGCTGGCAAGTCCAATCCCTCCCACCGCTGGATGGCTGAACCCCGACATCTGCGGTGGCCGTAGATGTCTGGGCATGCTGTCTCAGCGACCACGCTCGATGTCGAAGCTGATTGAGAAACTTCCATATCCTGCCATGTCCATGCTCGTCATGGACCGCCGCTGGATGGCCCTGGGGACTCGGTCCACGGGGGGAGAGTCCCTCGACCAGAGCCCAGGCACGATCTGCCTCGAACTCGCGAGGGTTCGGGTTGCTACAGAGGCAACGTAGAACATAGGCGAGTGCGTACCACTGCGTATACATGCTGAAGAGCCATGTAAATCGCGATGCAAGGCCCTCTTTCAGCAGCACATGGCTACTCTCCAGACAGTCGCAGGCCAGCTTAAACGAGAGCTTGGGCACGTCTGGCGTGACATCGTCATCCTGCGCTTCTTTTTGCTTAGATATAGAAATCTCCTCTCGTAATTGCAGTACGAACTCCATCTTTTTACAGGCCGTGATGACATGCTGCGTGGCAATGCCCGGCAGATTAACCGGTGTCACAGATTTCGACCCGGGCACGATGCCATATTTCTCTGTCATATATTGGACTGGATCGGAGATCCTCCTTCCTTTTTCTCGGATACTAAGAAGCGCATCGCCGGAATCCTGTTGTTGCTTGTCGAGGATGGGATGGATCACGCGGCAGGCGTCGATCTGGATCAAGAAGAAGGACATCTCCGTCCAGCGACGCGATTCCGCTGGAAAATGCGTCATGTCCGGATAGATCTGGTCATCGTTCACATTCAGGGGCAGCCGCAGCCCCGTATTCGTGATATCGACCGTCGGCTGAAATCCTTGGTCTTCGGAAGCACGAGATTCTAGCACACAAAGATGCCACCAGAGGCGAAGACGCATCTCCGACTCAAAGAGGCTCAGCTTGAGGGAGGCGCCGTCTCGGTGCAAGCCAATTGACTGGGCGAGCCGGATCACGAGTCCGTTAAGAACCCATACTGGCCGGCCAAGTTCATTTGCCCTTGAGCAAGTCTATAGTAGCCATGGTCAGTTGAAGTAACGACAGTGTCGGTTCCAGGGCAGTCTAGGTCCCCACCACATAAATTGCGAGAGCCTGCAGACCCGTCACATCAGGTCGTTTCATGAAATCCGGCGTCACGAGAAGCCGGTCCAACGCTGTCTGGTAGTGTTTTAGAAGGACGGGCTTCTCCCACGAGAGATCGACGGGCTCATCGCAATCGTGGTGACAAAGCGCCGTGACGGCGGCATAGTAGATGGCAAATGTCAGTGCCACCATGGAGGGCTGTGCGGATCGGGCGTCCAGAATCGTGGCCACAACAGCAGACTGGATCGTTGGTATGTGCAAGATCTTGAGGACCGGATCAACCGACCTGACGTACACATTCCATAATCGGAGGGCGAGTTGGGCATCGGGATAGACATCCAGCAGATCAGAATCCCTGTCTAGCGGAGCAGCGGTACCTAGCTGCGTAGGAAGTCTTTGATGCGAGGCTGTATTCACCTGAAAGTGCGAAGGTGTTGTTTCTAGGCCAGGGGGTTGCGTAGGTTTGCTTCTGTCTTCTTGTAACAGTGGTTCGATGTTCGAATTGTTCATTAGCAGCTCCCAGGTCGATTTGTCTAAAGGCCGATCGGATGGTTGTTGCCGACTAGTTCTGATAGTATTGGCATTGTCACTAATAGGTCGAGGCTGGGTTGTAATCTCGGGCTCAGCTCGACCGCGACCGCGATTACTGCCAACATCGGCTTCAAGTCCCGTAAGGACTCCGGCCCTCTCAACCAAGAGCGATAGCAAGCTTTCCAGCCGCTCCAGACGGTTGGAGACGTCCCGGAGAGTACAAGGTTTCTGTGCCGCGTCCGGGTCCCTTGTGGGATACACGCAGGTCATGCCATGTCTCGAACAATTTGTGCAAGGCACGCCACGGTCACAACGGATCTTTCTCTGATAACATCCTTCACAGGACCGAGTCCCTCGACTGGAACTCTGGGGAACCGATTCCTGGAGTGGCGGTGCCGGCGCCGAGTCCTCTTCATCGACCGAGGCAGCAGGCCTTTTTGGTGCTCGACCCATGGTAGTTGACGTCTGTACTAAACTATATTCAGTGACCAGAAGCCGTAGAAAAAAAGCAAAAAATCAACTGAAGCGGTACAATGCTGGAGATCATGTTGGCAGCAAAGCTCTTCGGCTTCCTACAGCCGAGAGGCCCCGGATTTATAGAGTCGTGGTGAGCCGGGTGGATCCTGCATGTAGTGCGGGTCTGGTTCATCGCCTTGTAGTGGCTCACTCGGTCTCCTTCGGCAGCGAGAAGCCCGAATTACACGGCACTTTCAGTTATTGGTGAGTCTGATATCGCAAGACTTACGTACTTGTTACCTGTTTACTCTGTATAGCTCCGTGGCTCTGAGCTAATTGAGAGTCTGAGACCCCTGCATGCAGAAAATTAGAACAATTAGACAGTATTTACCCAAGAACCGTATATTATTACCAGTCCCGCCTGTGATTTCAAGTATGTGTATTTAGAGTCATCCATGAGACCAACTCAGGCGTACCACGGATAAATCGACTCAAAAGACCTCTTCACTTCAGTTCACTGCGCGTTGGAGGGAGTTCTCCAGATCTTCTTCACCTTTTCATTATGTCAGATCTGGAAATGCAGAAAGATGTTGACAAAAGCGACAGCAGCAAGGCCGACAGCAGCAAAGCCATCAACGCCACGAGCTGGAGCCTAGGGATGAAGATCTATCATACCGCCATCCCCTGCTTCCTGGCCTTTTTAATGTTTGTAGATAGGCCTTGCACAAAACCAAGTGAGCGCTCCCGCTAATCAAGTCATGATCAAACTGCAGAACATTCTCCGCATCTGTCACAGTTCCTGCTACCTCTGCCCTCATGGTCGAGTTCGCCGTCAGCCGCACCGTCGCGATCCTCTCCGAAACCATGTACATGCTGGGGCTGGCCTTTGGACCCATGATCATGGCGCCCCTGTCCGAGTTTATTGGGCGCCGCTGGCTGTACATTGCAACCTCATCAAGTATAATTGCCTTTGCAGGCGGTGCTGGAGCGGCACGGAACTTGGCCACTTATTTGGTCTGCCGCTTTTTCTGCGGATGCCTGGGATCAGCAGGCGTGGCCATCGGCGCTGGAACAATTCTTGATGTTTGGGGGATTGGCACCAAGGCGGGAGCCATGACAAGCCTCCTGTTTATCTGCGGCCCGTTCTTCGGCCCCTCCCTCGGCCCGCTGGTTGGGGCATATATCATGGACGAATACGATGGTGACTGGAGATGGACGCAGTGGGTTGTGGCCTTGATCGGGGCGCCCATCTTCATCTTGATCCTCTTCATGAAGGAGACGTCCGACTCGCGGGTCCAAGCCACAGCGAAACATTCGGGTCGCTTCAGTACTGTGCGGCTCGCCTTGTCGATGCTCAAGGCGGCCGTGTTCCGCTCCATGACCATGCTGACTACCGAAGCCATCTGCTTTTCGCTGACTCTATACACGGGATACGCATATGCGGTCGTCTTCAGCTACTTTGCAAGCGCTACATACGTCTACACCCTCGACTACGGCTTTGACTCCCGCCATATTGGTCTCTCCTTTATTAGCGTGCTCATCGGCTATCTTCTAGCTTGTGTCACATACCTGGTGATCGAGAAGACTCTCTATGCCCGCGCTGCCCGGCAAGCCCCCAACGGTCGTCCGGCCCCAGAACATCGACTGTACAGCGCCATGGCGGGTAGCATCTTCTTACCCATTGGGCTGTTCTGGTATGTTTTGATCTCTTCCCGTTAGAGCGCTCCGTTTCGTTAGGAAGCTAACGTTCTTCCTCGTGTTCGTTGTAGGTACGCATGGGCAGCCAACCCAGGCGGCCACTGGGCAGTAGTTGTGGCGAGTGGCATCCCGTTTGGTCTTGGTGCTTTTGTTCTCTTTGTGAGTATTTCATTTCTCACTTGTTAAAACCATAAATACCACAAATGTCTAACGAGCCCCCCTTTCTTCATAGCTTTCCTCCATGATATACCTTGTCGAATCATATGGGGCTGGTGCAGCCGCGTCTGGTATGTTTATCCTTTCTTTCTATCTTGCGCTTGTTTTGCGTTTATATGTAGTTTGTAAACTCATTGTGCAACAGCTATCGCCGCTAATGGATCCTTTCGATACCTCCTCGGAGCGGTGTTCCCTCTATTCACCATTCAGATGTACGAGAAGCTCGGCATTCACTGGGCCGGGACCGTATTTGCCTTTCTTTCATTAGGGCTCCTCCCTATCCCGTGGATCCTCTTTAAATTCGGCCATCACCTCCGGAAGAACAGCAGATTTATAGCATCGTCGCAAATGGAGGATTAGGGAGGCAGTTGTCTCAAATGCGCAGCTAGGCTATACTTAATCTAAAGTATGTACCGTTCTGTTATAATATGAGATGTAAGACTATAGAAATAAATTAACTATCTATTATAGAATAAAGTTTGAGTGTTCTACTTTTAAAAACTTTTTACAGTATTGAGAATAAATGGGTGGATATAAGAATGTTAATACGGTTTGCCCCGATGTTAGGGCTGGATCACAGGGGCGGCATCAGAAATGACCTTGTGAAATGCTTCCGCAACATGTTCCACGTTATGCTCCGTCACTACGGGCATATGAGCTTCAGTACAGACGAGCTCTACAAGATTTCAATACTTACAGCCTGTCATGGATATTCTTCCCGAAGGCAGGAGATATACATGGTACACTTCTCGCAATATGCGGATTTGATCCGGTTGCAAACTGGTCATCGAGAACATACCAATATCTGTAGTGTTAGCGATGCCCCAACGAGTGCATCCCAAAGTGCAGATAACTCACATCTGTCAATATATAATCCCATTGGCCTGGGGTTTGACATTTTCGAAATTCGTCTACTAGCCTTCGTCGCATCCTCCTCATGCGATCACTCATCTGGAGTAAATCGAGTTGCCACTGCGCCTTCAGGTCCTTATTTCCAAGCACCTTTGCCACAATTTTGGAACCATTTATAGGACAAGTAGTAATCTCAGCGCGAGATAGACGTGTGAGCATGTTGACGATTTTTGTTCGAGTGTCATCTGTCCGGCACACGACGTGAAGCGCGCCTATACGCTTCCCGTGCAGATCAAAGTTCTTGGAGAAGGATTGCGCCACCAGCATCTCTAACGAAGTATTTCGGAAGAAATATCTTATGGACCAAGCATCTTCATCCAAATCTCCAGTTGCGAACCCCTTTCAGGTGTAATGTCCGACATTACGCAACTTGTTTTCTTCTTCTTAAATACATGAATTATCTTGTTCGTCGTGATTCTTTTCTTATCATAGAGACGTAAACCAGGCTATATACATGTAGAATTCCGGGCGTGTGGGTCTGGGATGATGGCTTTCGGCGAAGTGGTTATCACGCCGAACAGCATTCAAGGCCGGGTAACATTGCCCTGCGTACAGCCCACAGGTTAAATCATTTGCACTTGAAAAGATATCCCACGGTACATGTTCATGCATTGCATCATCACCAAGTTTAACAAACTTGTATATTAGTAACAGACTATGGCTTAAGGAGAGCAGCAGCAGTACAACGCCCTCCAAATGAAAAGACGCAGATGGGGTAAACACGTTGTCAACTTAAGAATTGGATTCAAGGAAACGCACAAAAGATATACATATGAAACGCGGTGCAGCAATATAACTTATCATTAACCTTACTCCCAGAAATGTCTCTCTCAACATAGCTCTATTCTAGACTTACAATACCGACATAGTCCTTCCATTTAACCCCGTCGTCCTCACGATGAACCAATGCATTTCTACTAAAGCGATGCTGATTCCTGACCAAATTTCCTGCAGCCTCCAGTTCTCTCTGAACCCGTGTGTCCATGTCCTCAACCTTTCTCAACAATTGTTCCATAGTACCCAAGACGCTCGTAGCAAGAGTGTCTTCCCTCGCTCGTTTTGCTTCTTCTTTGATGTCCTCCATTCTTTTCAGCCAATACATCCATCGCCAGGGACTAAATGCCGCTGATGATCTGCGACCTAGCTCCGATTTGGTAAAGGTAGTTTCGTCCTGCCTGACGGTATCGAAGCTGTTCAACAACTTGTCTGACAGTTGGATGATTTTATTGTGCGCGACAAGCAGCCAAGTCTGCGCAGCTGGAAATAAAGCGGCAATCGTCAGATCACGTAAATACCTATGAGGATCCTCGTCGCTCTGATCGTTGAAACTGCCCAATGGACGAACAGTTTCGAAAGTGTCCTTAAAAACTAACAAAGCAATTCCGCATAGATTGTCGTCTACCCCGGTGGACGCGAGCTTGGCAAGAAAGCAAGAGAAGTCGACGCGTTGGTCAGTACTCATAGTTGCACAATCATTTACCCAGAAGTCCGTCATGTCCGCAGTGAAGAAAGGCAGATCTTCCCAAATAATGCCAGCGGATGTTGTGGCGATCTCAAACTCGTCACCGTTGTGGCTGCTTTGTGCTCGGCGCGTCAAATTCCCTTGCCCATGAAGTCGGACGATATGCAGGACCCATGTATCTTGTTCAGGGCTTGTATGGGAAATATTTTTGCCCGCTTGATAGTAGACGTACCAAAGACACCGCAGCTGATACTTGAGCTCCTCAACGGACTTCCCCTCGCGAGAATAGGACTCATTGATGAAAGATATTTTGCTGTCAGCGAATCCCTCCAGACCATCGAAGTCATTCTTTTGAATTGCCTCCTCTATCGACATTCGATCGTCTTCGGCAAGCCATAGTTGCCGGCCGATGTAATCATCCGCGGCGGGTCGATCTCTAACCTGCATGATGAAGTTGCTGCAACACTGCGGTAGTGTGGTCGCTGACAAATGAGTGTCGCCGTAATGAACGTTGAGAGAGTAATAGGAGATTGCGAGAGGGGAATGGAGGACTTGAGAATTGATCATGGACTGGACATAGCTACCCTAATATATAGCCAAAGTACAAGTAGTGAACGTCAATAGATGTTGCTTGTATGTCAGGGGCCAGTCACAAAGGGAACACTCTGTGTTCATTGAACACGGTTCAAGGAGTCAGAGTTCTCAACTAGCAAGCTAGCTGACCTGACGGACTGAACAGAGGTATAAGAAGGAGGCGTAGCCCCTTTGTTTCTAGGAATATCAGAGATAAATACAGTCCTCTGTATGTCCCTATCTGTGTGGTCCGTAATAGTGACCGTGCAACCCTCAGGCCTGACTCTTTCACTCTTCCCGTTACCGACAATCTCTGACATTGTAGATGCCAGCTGCATGCTTGGAATGGCAGCTGAAAACTGGCTTTGTTGACTCAACCTCTTAGAACGACCTCACCGGAAATTATTATAACAGGTACATACCTAAGGTAGTATTTTACTACATACAACGGTCTTCAGCCTGTCATGAAGTTGAAATAAGCCAATATAAGCGTGAGGTATACAAGCAAGGGATAGAATGATCCGAGAAATACTTTGAAGCAACTTATAATCGTCATGATAGCAATCCCACGTTCGTAACAACTGGCTTATAGCAGAATCAATATATTCGAGCAACATGTAGGTGATGGAGAAACTGATGTCTCCTGCTGAGTGAGTAACATTAGCGTAAGATACTTGTGTGTTGGCAAGACGCTGTTTTGGTACCATCAGATTTCCCGTGAGGCCCGTTATCATTGTCATCACTTTCTCGATGCATAAACTATGTAGTGTAGGATTTTTAATCTCATTTCATCGGAATTGAACCTTCATAAAACGATGGTGTGAGTTCAAAGCCATAGATGCATGGAATGCGAACATTTGAGCCATTATCTAGCATCCACGCACATGCCCTACCTCACAACGCATCTTTTCATCAACCGTCCCCGGATACTGCGCCTCTGTAGGTTTACGTCGCATCGGACAACGGAACCTACATTCCATACATGCATGATTGTCCTTCACCTGCAGGGGCAAACATAGCTTAAAAGTGCCACGAATCCAGTCACTCGTAGGAGGAATCCTGATCTCTTCGTTGCTCCGAGAGAGTCTCTTATAAATTCTCTCCAATGCATGGTCTTGCATACAAATCTTGACGAATGTATCTCTACACCTTTTACCTCATCAAATATGACGGGATTTCTACCGTAGAAATGTATTGACTTTAACCCGGATGCTCTGGTTACAGTCCACAATGACTTTGTCTCTCATGGACATACTATAATAGGCATTCCAACCTCGAGTCTCGATAAGCATGCCTCAAGTAATGTAGCTGTTCGCGTTCGTCTAGTCGGAGCTCAAGGATACATGTACACTATCCATGTCATAGAACATGCGACTGACAACAACATGGCCGAGGTATCAAAAAGACTAGACCTTCAATTAAGGAGAGCCAATCCATGAGCAAGATGATGGATGATGATCACCGGCCTCAGATGCCCGAGGGGAGATCCGCCTAGGTACATGTAGTCTATAAAAAAGACAGTTAGACGAGAGGGGTTTCCTATCGACGGGGAGTTGGCACGGATATGTTGTTAAAAGCTACGCGGCAGGCTCTGGTTTTGTGCCTTTATATAGAGTGACCTTTTTTTCTACATACCTCATGATCTATAAACTCATATTCGTATCCCAGTTTTCGTTATAGTCCCTTGCCTCTGTGCTTCTTACTTCGCTGCCACCCACATTTGATCTCAGCCCATATAAAATGGCAGAACAATCGTCTACGTATTCAAGAGTTAGGTACGGCCCTTTACTACATCATCTAGTCTATGTCATTGTGTGTTCGATATGGTAAACCACTATTTCGGAGCATGCGCCAGCGTGAGTCAACAATAACTACGAATCATGACAATAGTATTGTTTACTATTACTAGGCCACCCCATCAAAAGGCGAAAACAAGGGCCCTGGATCTGTCATTTTCGTGAGAAACGATGGCTTGCTTGGCTGCATTTCTGATACGCAGGAACCAGGTGGGGGACGCACATCTAGACTGACAGATCTCGGCTTCTGATAGTGGTGGTGACAGGTCAAACAGAGCATGTCAAGGTTCGTCACACGCCACCGTTCTGGATATACTACTTCATGATTCATGCATACATATCACGAATTATATGCTCGTCGAGTCAGTCATATCGAATGTGTCACACTAGGATATGTTTCGTGTAGTAGTAGTAACCGGCTCTCTTTCCCTTTGTGAGAGGCTCCGAAATACCCAAGGCATGGGTAAATATATGCATCGTCTACACGAAACCATTACCTCGACCGCCGTCGTAATGGCTCTTCGACACGTAATAGTATCCTCCCTGAATAAGGGATTCCCTAGATCCACAGGAAGCTTCAGAGACGTCTACCGTGCAAGCCACGAATTGCAATAGTGAATAGGACCACTCCACATGCTAAACTACTTGTCTCAGCGAGATACGTATTGTGCCCCCTCACTTACACGTATTTCGGCCCAGGTCCATTGGCGTCTACTCCATACTGAGCACAATACAGGCAGAAATTTGGAGAGCGGACAAAAATCCCGAATCTAACACGTCCCAAAGTTGCGGACATAGTATGAGCCATTGTCTTACATCAACCTAAAAAGTCTCCGGGCCCATTGACAAGTAGTAGTCATGGACATAGGCAAGGGATCCTTCTCCAACATGACAAGTGACAGGTTTTGGAATCAGCAAAGTTGGACTGCCGGGACGCGAGAGGGCTGGGGTTGAAACAAAGGTTTCCCCTCCCAGCTGAGCCGAACTCCTCGTGAACCTGCGAATCATATCGTACTCCGTAGAGCGCTGGGGCCTCGGACAAAAAAATCGGCTTGTATTTCACGGCATGGCGCACAGACGGTGGCTGAGAACCGGTGAGGCGATTGCTGCACATATGGGGGCCTCTAGTAATATCACGAATGAGTCAGCCGAAGCATTATGAGCTCAACATGATCCCATTTGCAGAGTACTCGTACCGTCTCAACAAAGCCAAAAAGATGCTGAATTTTTTTTTTTTTTTTTTTTTTTTTGACGAGGGTATGGCTTTGTTGTGTACGGGGTAGCCACGCCAGACTCGACGGGCAAATGACCCTGGCCTGTCAATGTCATGCAGACACTACACAAGTGCCGTGGAAACAGATGATGCGTTCACATGCGAATCCATCAGATGCCGCATTGACTACTAGTCAACGATGTAACAGCTGCCCGTCCTTCGTACATCGGGGAAATGGTACCTTGCATCCGTCCCCATCGTAACAAAGTCGTACGAGTATGTCACCATTAGTTCGGAATGTTGGTGGCCATAGCTCAGGCGTGCTATAGCAGAGAGGTGGCTTTTGCAGGAACTTTGTCAACTTCCAAGTCTCGAACAGTGAAGCCGTCCAACAGCTCAAAAGATGGTGGAACGATCAGGTGTTGTTGTCGGCCTCAAGCAGCAATACTGAAATTCTCGCCATTGTTGGCGCTAGCCGATGTCTTTCGGACTGCGCTGTCATCGCTTCTCGGTGTGAGTGTATCCGGTTTCACTAATTTACGCCCACCTGGCTGTCAAAAGAAAAGAAAAAAAAAATAGCATGTGTGGAAGTCTGGACCCCGGTTCCGTCGATCGGAAAGGAGCTGGCCGGGTGTATCCAATATACGAGTTGACGTAAACCTGCATGCTTTTGGCTTCCCGCGGGAACGAAGGAAGACGAAGAGGCAGCGACAGTGACGGTGACAGAGTTGACTTGCAGCCGCATATTATGGTAGGATTCATTCTTGGCCAAGCGGCAGAGTGAAAGCCACAAATTTCGTATCCGAACATCGGCATGGGTCATCGGTGTTATTGATCTCTCAGCTTCTGACAGGCCGGCGATGCGGCTGATGGACAAGATATGCCAGTCAGACAGATTCTGCAAATTTGCAGTTAAGTTTCAATAGGCGAGGTCAACCCGGCCCTAGCTCGATTGTTAGTCCAATACTCCCTTGTCCGATAAGACTCAACTTGTACGGGGAAGTTGAGCTGTAGGCCGAAGAGATTTGGCGAGCTGAGAGGCCTCATCTCATCTAACGGTCATCTCAATGGATCTGATCTTAAATGATGAACCAGGTCCCATCGAACACACACCTTGCGGCTTCTCATCTGTCCGGCTTTTCTCGTCCAAACCCATAGTGCAGTCGACACAACTCAATTCTGTCCGCAATGTAAATATTCCGCCCCCAAGTATTTACTCCCGAATTGACTCAGACTCGTCTCGTCTCGTTCCGCGCTGCGGTACGGCACACGAGCAGGGCTACAACGCCCAAACGCCCAGGCCCCAAACTTCGACAGCACTAAACGACGCCACCTGAAAATTGCCCAAGCTCGTCGCATGGGGGTCCTAAAAGACGGGACGCCATCCGTATGGACAGTTATTCTCTGGCGTGTGGCCGGTGGCGTTGCTTCAGGGGGTAGGCTGAGGTTGCCTGTCCCGAGCCCGTCCAGATCTAAGGATTGCGCACCTGTGCTTGTGGAAATAACAAGTGCGATGTATGTCAGACATGGTGCTATTCCAGTGGGTTGGGCAAATGACATGACACATCAGAACAACGCCCATGTACATGATATTCTCGTGACAGGTACTGTAAAGAGTTGAAAATAAAATGGAAGAGAATTGAAAGAGAATTGTGCTCAAATCTGAACGTCCGTATTATTCGAAGCGTCACTGAGATGATCCACGTATACGGAGTACATGTAGGGAGCTCAATATTGAGTTGTTCTGGGATATACTTCCGAAATCGATAAGCTGAGGTGCACAGCTCTCCTTCGGAGTCTTTCTACCAGCTCACCAGCTCAAGCATTTATCCTCGCAACTCCGATATCTTCTCGTAGTGATGATCTAGTATGTACTAGCACAAGCCATAGTTGCCCATAGTTGCGTTATTGCGTGTATCTGAGGCTGAGGCTGAGGCTAGGCCCACATCCAGACAAAGATAGTGCTGATCTAGCGTATCAAGTAGTATTGGATTCTACGACACCTGATCTGGCCTACCCGGCAAGAGAATACATATTTTGGATTGGGTTAGCTGAGCGATAGCTGAGGATAAAATACAGCTCAGAGTTCATGTTTAGATGAGCTTGTGAATTTGCCCTTCAAAAATTACTACATCTGTTGTCTAATTCACAATATTCATGGTTGATATCCAGGCATAGTTGGGGATGCGGGTAGCATCAGAGCTCCTGGTCCATAGTGTTTTTCTGTCTATATCAGCCCATTTCATACAGAAATTTCGGGCCAAGGCTTCTCAACGCCAGTCCCATGGCGCAACAGTTTCCCGATGTTGCTAAAAAACCAACGTCGGCCCACCTATATTAACATTTCACTGCCATTGTATGTACTAGTAAGGGTTTCTGTACCCAGTGCCGTAAGTGAAGCTGGATGGAGAGCTGTGCGGCGATGCGGATTCGTTATGCCCGATGCCGCTCGCACACGCTACACCAGAGACGCGATAGTAACAACAGGGCCTGTTCGAAGTAGCGTTCTCACCTGCTACGGAGTGCGCTCCGCACCAAGGGGGCCGGCTTCAACAGCGGGCCTGACCCTTCGTAGATCTGGTGCGGGCGGGAGTTGATTGACATTCACATACCATTGCAACTATAACGAGCAGTGCCGATGATCTGTGCCGAGTAAGCTGCGTCACAAGCACTTAATAATGCTCATGAATCGTATAGCTAGGTATTTATGTGAACTAGTAATCATTTGCCAAGACCTGGAGTCGGTTTTTCTTTCTACGTATCGCACTTTGCAGAGCGTAGAGTAGAAGTTCAGATGTTGTTGGAAGATTTGAGGAGACACTACGGCATATACTAGCATCGGTCACGCCGTCGACTTGAGGACTTCCAAGGGTTGAGAGATGAAATGAGAAAAGACAACAGGCACTAAACCGCTGTCGCCAGCACGAGAATAGAAGCAAACCAAACACACCTTTGTAATTGGTGTTCTTCATACGGAGTACAAGCACTGTAAATAGAGGCGCTCGACCTCCACACTACACTGGATGCTTCCACGAGCCTTGCACGTGGATTAGGCCAGGGACACTACAAAGCAAGATGTGAGACGTTAGTGCCTCTGGCTTGACCCTGAAGCCGTTCGCTTCTGGATAGCTATTCACATGCCCCGCCCAGAGGCAGGGGATATGAAATTTAGGCAGGGTCGACTCTGGTTCTGGACAGCCACAATGGGTTAAGGTGAAGCCAAAGCCGGAAATAGGTTTGATGGGGAAAACAGAACAGGAAATGAGAAGAATCTAAGCGGGCGGGGCGGCATTTTGGCCCTCGGACTAGCCCACCCAGTGAGGCGTGTGTCATGAGCTTTCCCCTAGCACCTGTGTGCGTATGTGGGAAGCTGAGGCGATGTCGTCACACCCAGGGAGAGGAGGGATCTGCCATGGAGTGATGAATGATGCCTGACAAATGCCACATCAGATTGCCCTAGTATTGTACATTGGATGTAATACTCGTAGTGCCTTCGAAGGACTTCAGTGTGACATGCCGATGATGCCGACATACGAGTATAGACTCTTGGTCGGGAGGGGATACCAGTCCGAGTGGCCTCGGGGTCGTGAACCTATTGGGCAGATATCGTTCCGGGATATCGGGATGAGATTGTCCCCGTTGTTGGTGAATAGAGATCTCCGTCTTTGGTGTAGTAGTATGATATGCGTGACATGGCAGAGGGCCGCTACGCTGGCGAACGAACCTAGAATACTGGGGATGGCACAGTTTGGTCAGAAATCGCACTGCGATGAATCATAAATCAGACCCGTGGGCTGACATGATGATCAGGCGCCTTAAAATTCGCTTAAATGGTGCTTTCAAATGTTCGACTTTCCCTTTAAACTTTCAATATTGAATGCAACAATATCTCTCCTCTCACACGGAAGAGATAAGACGGGGCAAATCATATTGTACTCCTATGCGGCTCAGGTGTCTCAGAACGTGTGTGGCTGGGGGTGAACCATATGAACGGGATGTCCTTGTATGCGCAAGGCTGGTTCGTGTTAGCTGAAACAACCGCCCGAATAAACCTGTCACTTTCTTTCTTTTTGCCTCCTAAAAATCGAAACCCAGCAGCCTGGTGAGTCGAGTCTCTTGATTAGCTTGCCCGACTTACCACGGCTTGTTCTATTATATCCCCACCACAATTGACGTTGCCCAAATGATGGTGGCTGACCTTGAAATAGAAGTTAGATGCATCTCCCCGCTGGGCTAGCAGTATGATAAACTCGTAATATCTCATTGAGGGCCATTCTTGACAAAAAAAAAAATGATATAAATTAGTTGCCACTAGCGGTCATGGGTAGGTGAGTGATTTGAAATCGATACGAAGCCGTACTCGTTTCTTGGAGCCGACAAGAGTAGTTGAACCGGGACCACGGCTTGTTGAATGGCGGCCTCTTCGACGAATGTGCGCAAGGCTAATGAGACATATAGGCGGAGCAAAAGGGAGAGAATATTGTCCTCAAGGGGCCGCTTCCAACGCTGCAGAGGTAATTCAAGGAGGTTCGCGATGGCATCCGGTTTTCAGACTTTTCACCAATGCCTCCCTGCAGCATCAATGTGATAGCAATAACCTCTTGGGTGTGTCGTGGCGCAGTACGGAGTACGGAGCGCAAGTTAGCTTTTGTACTGGTGGTCATCAGGGTTGCTGAATGTGCCCTGGACGCGCGCGGAGCAACTCGTAGGGAGGATACACGTCAGACGAACTCCAACTCGGTCTGAGAGTTCATCTGGCATCGAATTGCGGAGAACTGAGCAAGGCAAGGCAACAGAATGAACAGAACAGCCTTCCATGGCGCGGAGGCGCCGTATTACCGCAATCAGTTGGGCAATTTGAGTCTCAGTTTGACCTGACCGTTGCACCCGTCGCCTCGGGACACAATGACATCTACTGTACCCAGTAGTTGCTGGTGCTACGGGGAGAACTCGAGAGCATGGGCCACAGACAGCCGGGGCCACATTGTGATGCCGGAGGAGACGTCTGCATGTCCCCTGCGTCCATCCCTGCTCATGTCCTTGGCAGTCCACCAGAACCCCTGCGGATTGTCCTCTTAGCGTAGGCGCTTGGTAGTTCCCTTGCCCCCGGGGCCATCTAGCTAGGCCTTGCTGTTACTTTTGTCACCCTGGCGAGAGACCTGAGCATATGGTGACGAAGGCAGTATCAGACATGTATCTAGGGGCGTGGATACGAGTTGACAGCCACGCCTTGGAGTGGTGATGGGATTAACCAAGGGGCGAGTGATTGGTGGCAAGGCGGAACAGGAACACCTGGGTGGGTAGAACAAGTCCCAATATTAGTTGCTCGAACAGCTTTTCCAGCACGGTTGGCGCCAGATGCGGTCCAATTCAATAACAGCAGCCTCCCCAGACCAGACAAGAGCCGCTTGTCTGACCTTTTCCCTCTCTCGATTCGCGTTGGGCATCCTCGAACCGAACGCTGCTTGATAGCAAAGCGCCCACCTCTTTGGACGAATCTCTGTGATAGCGGGCGACGAGAGATTGAAAGCGGCCAATCGAACCAGTCAGCTAGCCGCCGGCATCGCAAGAACACAGCAGACAAGCGCCAATCAACAGCCAGCATACCTGCAGCATACCTGGACCAAGTACAAAGTCGCACAGCCAGAGAGAGTGCACGATAATTGCGAGTACTCAAGCGCGAGGCATCAACGTGGGAAGAGAAGAAAAAAAAAAGGGCTGAACCCACTGCAGCGTCTCTGGGCTCATTTTCCGCACTCTCAGCGTGGCCTTCCCCCCAGTGCCCCCTTCTCGCCTGGAGCAAGAACGCTGCCAGCCCCCGAAAGCAAAGGCCAGGGAGCACCTGAACCAGCCAAGACACCCTGTTCGTGCGCTGCCCGTCTCGGATCGCCGCCTTGCATGTCGAGCGCATTCCGATTCCACCACCACTGAACTGAACTGATCTGGTCAGGCCGTCAGCACCGAGTTCTGCTCTGCAACGAACCGCTCGACTCGGCTTACGCATGCTGATTGCGGCGTCAATTGCATTGCATCGAATCGTCCGTCCTGTAAGTCCGCTAGCTCTAGCTTTCATTCAGCCCTGCCGCTATTTTGCCTCGCCCAGCCCGCTTCCCAGCCCGCCTCCAAGCACCAGCACCAGCACCAGCACGGCATGACTGCTGCTGCTGCTGCGTAAGGCGGCGACAAAGATCGCAGAGTGGCCCTTGAGCTGCTGCCCGCCTCCGCCATTCCCGTCGCCTTCGTGCGCCTTCGTGTGTTGTCACGGAAGCTGCCGGACGAATGACTGTTGTTCATTCCTCGGCTCCGCCTCCCGCCTCCCACGGCCTCCTTTCATTCCAGACTCGGCCCGGCACTGCTTCCCACAACAGAACCAGCGATCGCTGAGGCATGGTGCGGTTTCAATTGCTGATGACGCAGGGCAGTCTACTAGATACCTTAACTTAACGATACCAAGCGCAACTCTAGATCTGGAGAGCAGCAGGAGCAGCCCTACGTAGGCACTTGCTTACTTGCCCGCTCTCCATCCAGCCATCTTCCCGTGACACACAATCAATACAGGCCGTCGCAACTGGATTCCGCCACGAACAACAACTCGACTGCTCCAATAAGCATCAAATCATCTCCCAGTCTGACACACCAAGAACCTTTCTGCCTTTGATACTCTAACACGCAAGAACAACGACCGTCTGTTTACCGCCGTTGCACGTCCCATCAACGCGACAGAGACGACTTCCGCCCCTCCCACCTATTGGATATTTGTGTGTTGTGACTATTCCGGACTCGACGTCGGCTCAGTCGTATCTGATATTACTCGCCCGACCTGGATTCAGAAGACTTGTCATCCGATGACCTGAACAACAACTAGTGTCCTTGGCCTCCCTAATGCTGAGCGACAATCGAATGCGAGCGAGCCTCCAGGTGGCTCCCCTGGAGCTCACCAAGTCTCGGCCTGAAGACGCCAGCAATGGCTCTTCTTCGCACGACCAGACGCCCAAAGGCGATTCAAACTTGGACGCTTCACGTCTTGGCTCCCAAATGACGCCACCTGTGACTCCCTATGGCTCGCAAGAGGATCTGTCCACTCGGCCAGAGTCCCATATACCGCCTGTCTTCCATAACTTCCTCCGCGCCTTTTATCCCTTTGAGCCTACTCTCGCAATGAGTGATTCTAGCGTTACCCTACCATTAGATGAGGGAGATGTTGTTCTAGTTCACTCGATTCACACCAATGGCTGGGCAGATGGAACGCTGCTGGCGTCAGGCGCCAGGGGGTGGCTTCCAACCAACTACTGTGAGGCGTACGAGCCAGAGGAAATGCGCAATCTTCTCAAAGCACTGCTTAATTTTTGGGACCTATTACGAATTACAACTATTGACGAAGGGCACATGTTTCAGAGCCAAGATTTTATGAAGGGCCTGATTGGCGGAGTGCGATACCTACTGGTAAGTCGTCCTACTGTTGCAACAAGTTCAGAGGCGAAGGCGCAGAATTAACATGCTACATGTAGGAGCGTACTCAATGCCTAAGTCGAGAATCCACTCTCATTGAGCGATGCGAACCTTTGCGGAGATGTCGCAAGTCGCTTTTATCAGAACTTTCTTCCCTCGTGAAAACGGCAAAGCGCCTCCAAGAACTTCAACTGGTGGCATTAGATTTCCCCGAAGAGATTAACGATGTCGTAGACCAAATGATATTGAAGGCTTTCAAAATTGTCACCAAAGGAGTGCGGTTTCTCGACGTCATGGACGATGATAAGCGAGCTCACATTTCATTGACGACGACTCTGGCTCCAGTCATTGAGGAAACGTGCGTTCCGCCTACACCTCCCGCTGATAGGGCTGTGTTTGGCGAGCAGACACAAACGGCTACGGATGACCGCGCTTCTGCCGCTGCAACTGCTGGAGATGCCGTCTCCCATACATCCACAGAGACAGGAACTCTAAGTCGACCAGCCCAAGGCAACCGCTGGAGTAAGCGACTATCGTCCCTAAGTGCCCAGGTTGGCACCAACTCCCGCCGACACTCTCAAGTTAGCATGAACCGACTCTCTGCAAATATGGCTCACCGACTGTCACTGGCTGGACCATCACCCCTTTCCCGCCCTCACCATTTAGTATCCGAGCGTCTCAGCAAAAGCCATGATACATTCCTCTCCCATCTTGGCTCATTCATTGGGCGTCTGCACTTGCAATCCCAGTCACGGCCTGAGCTTACAACTGCTATCAAGCTGTCTGCCACATCTGGAGGAGAGCTCTTGGCCGTTGTCGACGCTGTTTCTGCGCAAAGCAGCTCCATGATTGGCGCATTAGTATCGTCAAGGGAATCCCTGCTTGAGCGTATCCAGGAGCTTGTATTTGCTGCTCGAGATACTCTAGCGAATGCGGAAACAGAGGGAGCAGATATCATTATGCCACAAGACAACAAGATTATGCTAATGTCGGCAACAAGCTGTGTGCGAGCAGCTGGTGAATGCGTTGCCATAACCAAGGGCGTAATTGAGAGAACGGGAGACTTTGAACTCGAGTCTGATGGCAACGCCCTGCAACTAGATTTGAGTATTCTCGATGCGACTACAACACGTTCGAGAACCCCGTCATTAGCGGAGAGATCTGAGGTTGCTAGCGTTGCTGGCTCTGCTCATACTACGAGTGACTCAATAAGCTCTTCCATCAGACGGCCAAGCGTAGTGGCACTCGACAAGCCGCTGCCTCGAGTTCCTGACAGCCAGCCCGACGAAGAGTCAACTCCCCAGAACCAATCTCCCAAGACGTCCCGGCCCTCTTCGGTAGCAGAAGAAACTGTATCCAGTCCAGCATCTTCTGCCACATCTATTGGCCGAACACTCCCCCAACTACCAAAGCTTACCACTACTCCTATGCCCAGAGAGCATCAGAGCACAATCGAAAGCAGCTCTGCCCGGGACCAGGATCCCCATTCCTCCTTTGATAGCATGGCTGGTTCCAGTGCTGGAAGCAGCACAACATACATGAGCCGGGACTCAGAAGTTAGCCTGGTGTCTCAAACCTCGACACGCGCCACTACTCCTGATCATACAATGGTTCCCCGGAGCCAGCCTTCTATATCTGAGCTGAGCACTACGGGAAGCTCTATTCACTCTATTCCCACTGAGGAAGCTGATGAGGCTGAATCTAAACTGTTAATGAAGACGTATGCACATGAGTTAGTTTTCAACAAAGAAGGTCAAGTGACAGGAGGTACGCTCCCGGCATTGGTCGAACGGTTGACCACACACGAGGCGACTCCCGATGCCACATTCGTTTCAACATTCTTCCTGACCTTTAGGCTATTCTGCACTCCTGTGCAGTTGACGGAGGCGCTCATCGATCGATTCGAATACGCAGAGGAATCGCCACAAACCTCAGGCCCCGTCCGCCTGCGAGTATATAATGCTTTCAAGGGCTGGCTTGAATCGCACTGGCGTGATAACGCTGACCGTGAAGCACTGGCGATTATTACCCCCTTTGCAGAAGATCGGCTGAATGCCGTCTTACCATCTGCCGGCTCCCGACTGCTGGAACTGGCGAATCGTGTGTCGGGCGAAGGCGCGCTGGTGCCTCGGCTTGTCTCTTCTATGGGCAAGACAAGCACGGCCATTGGCCAATATGTGCCTACGGAGCAGCCTCTTCCCTCTTCCATCATTTCAAAGGGTCAGCAGAACATGCTACAGTCGTTCAAATCTGGCAGCGCTTCGCCAACTATACTTGACTTTGATCCGCTGGAGCTCGCTCGTCAATTGACCATTATGCAGATGAACATTTTCTGCTCCATCTTACCCGAAGAGCTTTTGGCCTCTCAGTGGATGAAAAAGGGCGGAGTGAATGCTCCCAACGTCAAAGCCATGTCCTCCCTATCTACTGACTTATCCAACATGGTCGCCGAAACGATTCTTCATCATACAGAACTCAAGAAGCGTGCGGCCGTCATCAAGCAGTGGATCAAGATTGCACAGCAGTTCCTCGAGCTCAACAATTACGATGGCTTGATGTCCATCATCTGCACCCTCAATAGCAGCACCATTAGCCGCCTGCGCAAAACTTGGGATACCATCTCACAGAAGCGGAAAGACAGCCTCCGCCAGTTACAGGACATTGTAGAGCCGGGACAGAACAACAAAGTTCTCCGTGCCAAGCTGCAAAATCACGTTCCTCCTTGTCTCCCCTTCTTAGGCATGTACCTGACTGACTTGACCTTTGTCGATATTGGCAATGCGTCAACAAAGCAAGTAACCGAGGGAGACGGTGCGGAGGGCTTGACTGTTGTTAACTTTGACAAACACACTCGGACAGCCAAGATTATCGGCGAGCTCCAGCGGTTCCAAATCCCCTACAGGTTGACGGAGCTGCCTGATATGCAGGAATGGCTATCCGCGCAATTTCAGCTCATCCGCGAAGGAGACCAGGGGAATGTTCAGGTGACATATTATCGAAAGAGTCTCTTGTTGGAGCCTCGCGAATCATCATTGAAACGCGACTCCGAGCCACCGGCTGCAGCTGCGACATTAGCAGCTCCCTCTACTCGAACCGATCTTTTTGGCTGGATGACGCGCAGTGGACAGAGCTCGACGCCATCATAGAAATGCTCTTGTCCTTGATCCCTGCTCCACCCGAATCTTGCTTGGCCACCGGAGGGAACGACATTCTCAAAAACTCTACATGGTCTCCACGCACATATACAAAGCTACTTACATTTGATTTTGATACCCCGTCATTGTTTTTGGTTAATTTCTCCTTTAACTCCTGAAATGCAAACGCTTCGCCTTTGGGCTCTGATCAGCATTGCAAACTCATATATATCTGAGCGACTATGTTTCTGCTGTGGCGGAGAGCGAGCGAACAAAGAAGGGCCCTTATAACGGTACTAAGGGCTTCGCTTCAGACAAGGTCTTCTGAAGATACGACTGTGTCCGTTCCCCTCATGTATGGGGTTTATTGAATACGAGAGAGAGAGTTGTGGAGGTGTGCTATTTCGCTCTTAATGCCTCGTTACATGATATAACTTTTTGTTTTTTTCTTTCTTTCTTGAAATTCGTTCGTTGGGACGGGGTGGCGGTACTGGAGTTTGTGACTGCTTTCGTTTTATATCGGGTGGCACGGGCGTTGGAACACAAAAGGGCCTAATTTTTGAGCAAGTCCTATTGATTGAGATGATACATGATCTGTCCTTTTTTTTGCGAATTATTGGGAAGAATTGCGGAACGCGAACATGCTAAAGCGGTCATGGGACGGCGTCACGAAGATATGAGGTGGGGCGCTGTGGGCATGGAAGGTTTTGCGTACATGGAGTTAGAATCTGTATCGGATGGCAAATTAAACCAAGGTAGAGTAAAGAGAAACGAAATTTGATATCATGTTAGTAAACAAACAAGAGAGGAGCTGAAAGAATCCGTGATGAAGACTGCAAGCTACTAGACAAGCTTAGACCTTGGTTACTTTGATATCGGCGCTTAAGCATGTGTCACGAGGAGCGAGGCAGCGCTGAGATGGCGATGCACATGAAAGATGTAACCCAATGCACGTGGCGGACATGGAAAACGCAGGGCCATGTAAGTGAAGATGGTGGGATGGAACGTATAGTACAGTACATTGGACAAGGACAAGGACAAAGGGTATGAAGATGGAGACGTGTCGAAATGCTTGGCCACATGTTAGCCTTGTTTCTATTGTCTCTCCGGGGTATCCCCTTGGGCTTAGGTCCAGGCCCCCTTCGGAAGCAAAGAAGCGCCAGCCGGCCGGGAGAAGGGAACCTTGAATCAAACGTGTGAGACTGGGCGCCGAGAGACGGGTTAGGGAGGAGGGTTTATTTTTTAGGTAACGTGCTTTGAACGGTTGGTGGAACTCTGGGATTGTTGCTTTTTGGGAACTGGAGTTGATAAGTGAAAACGGCAAGGGGAGTGAGTGAGTGCTTGGGAGATAAGCTGTGAGGATGATGAGGATAGGTAGAGATGATGATCCATGCATGGACAATCTATTCGCTATCTAACCTATGTTTGATCTATCTTATGGGTTGGAATCGACAATTACAGCAGCGTTTACGAGTGATTTCCTATCGTTTACTATCTTCTATCTACCTGTATCTGCTGGATGGTGCGTTCATTTCCAGTGGCGTGTACGTAATGTACAAAAAAGTATACTCGTGTGTTTTGTTGGTCTTTTGAGGCGGATGTAACATTTCTTTAGAACTACTAGTTTCTTGGCTATATGGACCAGATCCATATGTGAACGGAGCGGCAGAGGGTGTGTACAGGAATTAGATTGTTAGATAACCTACTCCGTAGTTTGACGGCTACCGAGGACCCCGTACGGAGCCTCTCTCTGCGTCTATCTCTGGGTACTTGTACTTGTACCTACGAGCACTGCTACAGTATGGATATACTTGTACATGGAGATACTGTAAATCACGGGCCACACCACATGTTAACGGTAGCGCGTGCATGTGAAGGATCGCTTTCCCTGGCTCGGAGATGCAGAGCTTGCACCGGTTAGAATCTGAGAGGTGGGTGGTGGGTGGCGCTGGAGAGGTGGGTATTGCGACAGAAAATCGCGGCTAGGCAAGTTCTGGGAGGTTTTTTTTTGGTGAAGATGCTGTTGAGAGAGAGGAGATTGATGCCCAAAAGAAGAAGAGAGTGAAAGATTGGATGGGAATATTGGATGAGGTATAACAATTTGTGGTTTTGCTTTTTTTTTTTGTGTTGGTGATGAGCCTCGGTTGCTTGGACTTATTACAGGTACCACTCGTACACGCAATTACGGCTACTGCTATTACTCCATACAGGTACTTACTCGTACCACTGCAGCTTTCTCCAAACACGTTGGTATGGGGAGAGCTGGGGCCCCGCGATGGCAATGAGTGCGGAGGGTACAATCCTCTGTTGGCCTCGAATTGTCACGAGCCAGCTCTTGGCAGCGATCAACAGGAAGGGAGGGGCTAATCTCTCTCGCTTGCATGCAGTTGCATATACTTGTAACATTGGCGTGTCCCGTCAACTGACAGGACGACAAGCCTCTAGCGGTTACTGACGACCCGAGCTGAGAATAAGAATTCCCTGATCGCGGAGCGAGATCTTGGATTCAATGTCGTTGGAAATTACGGATCACAGAAGCTCGGGTCTGGAAGTCGTAAAAGTTAGTCAGCTGAGAGAAGGACCCGGCAAGAAGGCTCCCTAACCCCTGTGACTACTTACATAACTCGTAGATGGCTTGATGGAGAGAGACGGGACGAGGGAACGTTACATGGATGGGTTAGACCCAACTCGGAACTTTAAAAACGATCTCCTTTGCTTCTTGTGCCACAGAAAAAGTCAATGGCGCTTCGGCTTCTCGCAGGCGGGTGACCCATTTGCCCTTGGCAAGCGCGCTGTGGCGGCGTTGGTGCGATCGAGAAGCGCCCGAGAAGGATTTCGGAGGGCTGGTGGGCAATGCCAGACATTTCACTCTCACGTTGACTGGCTCGCCATTGTACTGTAGGATTAGTGTCCGTATCGCAACGAGAATAGCATGTCCTAGACACGAGGACAGTGGTAAGATACTGTAGATGGTGGTGCTAGAAATCCGGGTCTGTTTCATCCGCTGTGGGTGAATGAACCGGATCTGATAACCGAAGAAGAAGCGACCGCCTCCATTGTGCCCTGAATCAGCATGCAGCCTCTATCAAGCGTCTAGCCGCTTTGCTCATCCAACTTTTTTTTCTCCTCCCATGCCGAAGCGCGCCCCGCCCCGGACATTTTTCCCTCCTCAGGCGCAGTTCGCTGGAGCTTGACCACGGCACATCTCTTGATTAGCCCATTGGAAAAGCGAACCAAAGGGTCGCGGACTGTCAGCCACCAAGCCGCTAATGCCCGTTTGGGGGCGGTGGCGGACGCCTCGATCTGGGCATCTGGGCCAGGACTGCCAGAGACCAACCAGCTGCTGGGGCCATTCGGGCCTTCATCCGCGAGCTGACAAGAGCCTTTGGCTGGTGAGGCCGGGGGGATGCCAGAGGGCTTCTGTTTTAAATCATTTTCCCCAGAACATTGTCTGATGACTGGGTGTGGCCCCCCCTTCAGCTTATGTGCCTGTCTGTGCATCTGATGGCCAAGATACGAAGAGTAACCGTCGATACGGGGGAGGATGGAAGGGATTGGTAGCGTGGCGAGCCTGCGAGGCGGCCAGGGGATTATCGCTGTCGAAACCGGTCTCTGGGAGGCGAGAGAAGAGCCAAGGGCCGGCGAGAAGCGAGGGAAAAATGACATGATGCTTTCCTCGTTACTTTCGTACGCCGTATATACGAGTACCTACTGTACGAATACACTGACTCAACAGGGCATGGGGTGTGGAATCCGGGGATTGGAGATGCAGAAACGGTCGATTGGCTGTTCCAACCGAAACTGCGACGCCACCCAATGAAGCCGTTGAGGCCATGCCACCACACCCTCAGCCAAAAGCCAAAAAACCCTCCGAATCTAAAGGAGAAAGCCACGCCGTGGGGAGGACGGGCCTCAAGAACGTTCCCTTGTTCCCTTGCTCGGGTCCTGCACGCATTGGTCGCAAGGGCGTCGTTTGGCGGAATCACAACCTCACTGCAGGAAGAGCAATATCAGACGCCACATGGGTTGCATTGCACTCTGGGCCAATGTATGGTGCCCACAGCGCTCGCTGCTGGAATCCAACAGAGGCGTCCAATCTGCAGAGATTGCCAAAAGGTTACCTGCTATCTGCCACCCCATGTCTGCCTGCATACTCGTTCTCACATGTTGTCTGTGCTCCGTACTGGCACCTCTGTGATAGCCCTCCTCCTCCCCCTCGGACGACCGTAATGGCACACCCGTTTCCTTCCTCCATACACAATACGAATCTCTTCTCATGAGAATCGACTCACTGGCATTTCATACAAGTCGCGTGCTGTTGTGGCGGCATAGCCGAGTGGCGCCGCTCCACCTCACGGATCCTCGCTCATCAAAAAAACATTACAGTAGCGTGGTGTGGCCAGACCCTGGCTCTCTTTGCTCTTATTTTTTCCCCTCTATTTTTTTTTTCTTTATATACTCGTACATTCCTCTTTTGTCTTGTGACGGACGACTTTTTTTCCGCCTGAGATACGGAGTGGACGCAGGCAGGCCGCTTGTTCGGCTTGCCTAGCCGGTCGCTTCGTATCATGCCATCCATCCATCCGTGTGTTGTCAGAGGACGTGGATGATGCCCGTATCTCGATATCATATCAGCAGCAACCTCGTTACTTGTCATGAAATCCTTCCGAGCTCGGGGATTAAGTACTTGTATTACATCTATTCTTAGCAGAATGTCGAGTTTGTCGGTCAAAAACACAAGACCACATGCCAATCAGTCAATGCCATGTCTCGCTCGTATCGTATCTGGCTAGCGATTAGCCGCACACCGTTTTCGGAGAAAAAAGCTTATTAGCAAAGCCTCTTTTTTTCCCCGGTCGTCTCTGTTATTTCTGGCTCTGGCTAAGCTTCCCGTTGCCTCGCTATCGTATCTCGTCGACTCGACTTGACTCTCGTCCGTAATACCTGTACTACCGGCCTGTACGAGCACTAGTCAGCGCCCTTCCCACATTCCTGATTGTCACGTAGCTTGTGATGCAACCGTTGTCTTATCCACCTTGTTACTCCTTGGCTGCTACCAACGCCCCGGGATCCACGTTGTATGCACTTGTGCGAGGCTACCTAGGTTACGGACCAAGCAAAAGTAGGTACCGTGTTACTTTTTTGCTGCCGCCGCTACTACGGACTCCTATCTCATACATACAGGTACTAAAGTGCTAGAGTACGGGGCACTCACACCTTGATCCGCGTGCAGGAATCGTATCGTAACAAGTACTGGGAGTACCTACTCGAGTGCTGGCGATTGTGGTGTGACTGTGGTCCCTTGATCCCCAGCCTGTCCTGTCTCCGCACCAACCTAGCGCTCGCCGTCCATCCGTCCATCCACTTGGCGCCGAGCAATTGCAACTGGTTGCTCGAGGGCTAGCTAAGCAACCTTGACTTTGTTTGTACCGTCCCCTGGAATAATTGGGATGGGGTAGCGTAGCCCTGCCGATACTACCCTCTAAGCATTGCCCGTCAGATCTGCGCGGCCTTCATATATCATCAGGTCCCCCGGATTCAATTCTGGATCTGCTTGAGCCTTCTTTCTTCACTGTCCGCTCCCAATTGTCGCCTCGGTTCCACGGCTTCAGACTGGAACACGCGCCCACAGACAGAACGCTCCGTTTCCCATTGAGCGTCAACCTCTACTGAGTTTTCATCAGTACGAGGCCCCTTCGACAATTTTCAGAAAAAAGCCTTTCCAGACCATCAATTCGGAAAGAAGAGCCACTTTGTCACCATGGCTGATGATGAGAAGCACGTTGCGGAGCCTGCCACTTCGGATGTCGCCCCCGTCGACTCCTATGCGGCTGCCCAGAACGAGTTTCATGACCGGCCTCCCGGATGGATTTACAAGGGCCACAAGATCTTCGGTAGGGAGATCTACTATGCCTCGCCCAGAGTCCAGCTCGTGCTGGTCGCTCTCGTGTGTTTCCTCTGCCCCGGCATGTACAACTCCTTGACTGGTCTGGGAGGTGGTGGTCAGGTCGACCCCACGGCCCAGGACCACTCCAGTGTCGCCCTCTACAGCACCTTCGCCGTCGTTGGTTTCTTCTCTGGTACTTTTGCCAACCGTCTTGGTCTCCGTCTCACTCTCGGCTTTGGTGGTCTCGGATACTGCATCTACAGCGCCTCTTTCCTCAGCTACAACCACAACAAGAACATCGGCTTCGTCATCTTCGCCGGTGCTTTCCTCGGTGTTTGCGCTGGTCTGCTCTGGACCGCCCAGGGTGCTGTCATGATGTCCTACCCTCCTGAGGACAAGAAGGGTCGCTACATTGCCACCTTCTGGATCATTTTCAACCTGGGTGCCGTCATTGGCTCTCTAGTACGTCCTTTATCATCATTATCCCCCCCCCCCCCCCTGTACTTGAAAATTTGGCAACTCCTTGATACTAACTTTGCGTTTGTAGATTCCTCTTGCTCAGAACATCCACAGCCACAGTGGAACTGTCGGCGATGGCACCTACGCTGCTTTCATCGTCCTCATGTTCCTCGGCTTGGTCCTCTGCTTCTTCCTGCTTGACGCTGACAAGGTCATTCGTGAGGATGGCACCAAGATCGTCCTGATGAAGAACCCCTCGTGGACCTCTGAGTTCAAGGGTCTCTGGGAGACTCTGTACAACGCTCCCTATGTTCTCCTCCTCTTCCCCATGTTCTTCGCCTCCAACATCTTCTACACCTACCAGAACAACGACATGAACGCCGCCGCCTTCAACATCCGCACCCGATCCCTCAACAACCTGTTGTACTGGCTCGCCCAGATCATCGGTGCCGTCATCAACGGCTTTGCTCTGGATTACACTGGCGTCAGCCGTAGCACCCGTGCCAAGGCCTCCTTTGTCTTCCTCTTCGTCCTCACTTTTGCCATCTGGGGTGGTGGATATGCCTGGCAGAAGATGCAGCCTCCTCGCTCCGTCGTTTCCCAGCCCGACTACGAATCTCAGAAGATTGACTGGGAGGATGGCGGCAAGCTCTTCATTGGCCCCATGTTCCTGTACTTCTTCTACGGCTTCTACGATGCTATCTGGCAGACCAACATCTACTGGTGGATGGGTTCATTGTCCAACTCTGGTCGTAAGACTGCCAACATGGCTGGTAAGCTTTTAAATCCTCACGCAGGCTTTCCAAGGTTTTTAAGTGGACGTCTTTGCTAACTGGGTCATGATATAGGTTTCTACAAGTCCTTCCAGTCCGTTGGTGCTGCCATCTTCTGGCGCCTTGACGGTCTTGGCAAGCCTTACATGACCATGTTCGCCGCCACCTGGGGTGTCCTTGCCGGATCTCTCCTTCTGGCCGCCCCTGTGGTCTTCCTGAAGATCAAGGATCACGTCTCCATCGAGGAGGATCTCAAGTTCTCCGATGAGACTATTGAGGATGTCGTTGTTGGTGCCAACAAGGACGTTGATGTTTAAATTTACAGTGGGCGGTTAATGAATGACTTGAAGAGGTCGGGTGGGGAGTGAATGAATTGTGAAGCGTTTTCGAACGATATGCTCCTGATTTAAATGATTTAATGCAAGGCTTCATACAAGCCTCCTATTCCCCTATTACATTCAATACGAAGAGCACGTTATTGCTGTGTAGTATCTTCTCATCCGAACTTGGAATGTTTGCTGGGCCTTGTATGTGATTGCGTAGTAATTAATGGTGTCTAATCGCTGTTGTAGAGGCGGTGATGCACCGTGGCGGGCTGTTATGAATTGGAGAGTGAGTAAATACTCTAACAGAGAAACAGCGTGGCGAATCCCATGTATAAATAGGCAGAAGAATTGTTGCAAGAGCACTTGGTCCTTTGATTACATGTGGGCGCTTCGCCGGCGCTTGTTGGGCGGTTATGGCAGGGCCCGCTGCCTCTCGAGCTCTCTCTTCTTCTAGACTTGAGAAGCGGTGAGTATTATGAACATTCCATAGAAGAACTTGCTCAAATGACCGAAACACTGGGATTTGAAACCAAGTCAGTGCTACCAAGAGCCGTCCTACAATTTCCATCCCGTTCATCAGAGTCGCATGAGGTCATTACATAAGCTCTGCTTACGCTGTTGCGCGGCTATTCATTGGACCAGAGCTCTCAACCACTGTTACAAGTCCAAGTCCCAAGTTCTTGTGCTTCTATGGGTAACCTGATGATCAAGATATCCTCATTTCTGGTTTTTACGTGTTGCAAACTCCGTTTGTGGAGTGACCGCGAATACTCGCGTGATGGAAAGAGAGGGAAATTTGTCCGTGATGCTGCGTCTGAATACGAAGTGTTCCTCGTGACGTGCCGCTGCTTGGGGAGGCAACTTGGGCGCCCATCTCGTGAGGCCATGTTGAGCGGGAAGCGTTGTTTCGGTTTGCCAAGCTTCACGCGTGGCCAGTCGATTTTGTTTTCCCTTTGAAATATCCCTGCTGTGGTTTTTGACATCTCTACGTCATGGCTCTCGCGATAGAGGCGGTGTTCAGGTGATGGGCGCTTCTCTCGTCCGCCGCTTTTCTCGGTGTTTGCTGCCTGACCAAACCAAATGCCTGGCTGGCCTTGATGAGCTGCGCGCCAAAACAAACCAAACGGCAACCCTGCTGCGGATCATGAATGACGGTACGGTCCTTGGCTAGATCTGAATTAGTCTCGCAAAGTCTGAGGTTGTGCCTGTTGCGGTGGCATCGCGAGCTGTGACTGGCTGACACAGACTTGACAGGCGCTTAGACAGATCCACACGCAGCATGGCAGATGCAGCATCTCTTGTCGAATCGACGGCCTCCGGGCAGCTATTCTGAATCTCTCCGACTGGGAAAAAAGAAAAGCCATGTTTGCAAAGTACTGTCTGTGTGTGAAAATATGCGCTCGGCTTTGATCCTTGTTTGCCGTACATGGTTGTGTCAGATGCCGTTCACTTTGGCCCCTCTTTTGCAGTGAATTTCTTATTGTCGTTGCGCTGCTGCGCCTTATTGTTCTTAAAGGCTTTGTCCTCACGGTTTTTGCGTCATTGAATCATGATGAGTGAATAGCTATAATATTTTCCTTCTGTTCAGTCTCTTTTGTCTATTTTTCCTTTAGTACAATCTTTTTTTCCTTTTTCCTTGGGCGCTCTTTTTTACATCTCTCTACTCTCGTCGGTATTCTTATTTCTTCTACTATCTACTACTTTCCTCCGGGTTTTTATATTCAGCGGCCGGCCGTAACGAGCATCACAACTTTCATTACCAACTTTGAATACCATCTGTCGTCTCTTTCGATACATCACGATTTCTACTCTTCAGCATCCATCGGCCCAAGATGTCTTCTACTCGAATTGGCGAAAATCCGCCGCCATTCCCTCATGTTCCAGAGACTCTTCGAGTCGATTCCTTCGATCCGTCAAGACCCCAAGGATCCATAGAGCCGCGCGCAGATACGGCTCCATACATCACGCCCTATCTTAGTCTTCGGTCCCGTCTGTCACAGATATGGATCAATCGGTGGACTGTCCTCCTAATCATTGTCCTGGCTCGCACCGTTATTCTAATAGCCCAGCTACGAGAGAATCTCGCGGATGCAGAGGTGCAGGCTCTTGCTGCCTGTGACAAAGTCGAAGGCGTAGGCAGCGCCATGGCTTCCATGCCTCATTATCTCTCTCAAGGAGTCAACGAGCTTGTTGCCTTGGGTGTCGAAACGAGCGTCCACGGCATGGTGGAGCTGCTTGATATGGTGATTAGCGGCGTCGAGAACATCATCATCTTCTACATCAACTTCTTGACAGCCACATACACTTGTCTCGTCACGGCTATGATACACGGGAGCCTCGATGTTGTTGCCAACGTCACCGCGGATGCGACAGAAGCATTCAACCACCTAATCAACGGCACCGTCACCGATATTTCAAAGATTGCGAATTCCTTGCAAAAGGCCATCACAAACATGACATCCAGCATTGAAGATTCAGTCTTTGGCAGTTTGATTTCGGCGATTCCCAAAGTCAACTTTACGAAACCCATCGACGAGCTCAAGGATTTCCAGCTGAATTCGACAGGGTTCGTCAGTGGCGTTCAGGAGCTCAACGACAAACTCCCTACGTTCGAGGAGGTTCAAAACTTGACCGAGACTGCCATCTCGTATCCCTTTGAGAAGCTGCGCGAAGCCTTGGACGAGGCTTATGGCAAATACGAGTTCAACAAAAGCGCCTTCCCTCGTGCCGAGTTGCAAGAACTGACGTTCTGCTCTGATAACGACTCGCTGAACCGGTTCTTCACCAACTTGCAGGAGATGGTGTCCAAGGCTCGTGTGACATTCATTGTTATTCTCTCCTTGGTGGCGGTGGGCGCCATGATTCCCATGGCGTGGCTGGAGATTCGTCGCTGGCGGCAGCAGAAGCAGCATGCTAAACTCGTCAACCAGGGTCAGCAGGACCCGATGGACGTCATCTACATCGCTTCTCGGCCCTACACTGCGTCATACGGCATTCGGTTCACGCGGAACATGAGCGCCAAGAAGCAGATTCTGGTCCGCTGGTGCATTGCATATGCCACCTCGCCGGCTGCCTTGTTCGTCCTGTCGCTTGCCCTTTCTGGGTTCTTTGCATGCCTATGCCAATACATTCTCCTCAAGTCTGTACAGAAGAAGACACCCGCACTGACTCAAGAAGTCGGGGCATTTGCGGAAAACGTCGTCGATAGCCTGCGGAACGTTTCTGATTCCTGGGCCGCGAGTGCCAACGGGGTCATTACAGATCTCAACGACGAGATTAACAATGATCTTTTCGGCTATGTAAGCAACGCAACACAGGCGGTCAACGATACGATCAACGTGTTTGTGGACAAGATGCAAGAAGGGTTGGACGCTGCGCTCAACGGCACTATTCTTCTGGGGCCCATCAAGTCGGTCCTTCACTGTGTAATTGGGCTCAAGATTGAGAGTGTGCAAAAGGGGCTGACGTGGGTTCACGACCACGCTCACGTCGACCTCCCTCTCTTCCCCAACGACACTTTCAGCGCGGGAGCCAACAGCTCGCTGGCTGGCGATTCGGGCTTGCACAGCTTCCTCTCCTCGCCTTCGTCTGCCTCCGCCGATGAGGTTAGCGGAGCTGTCGACCACGTCACCAACTGGCTGCATAGCAACCTGGTGCAGGAAGCACTCATCTCGCTGGGCATTTTCCTTGTGTACGTGATTGTTGTCTTGATTGGTGTGATTCAGACCCTTGTGGGCTTGCACACGGACGAGCGCAGCCGTGCAGAGGGAGGCATCCGCTACCCAACGCAGGAGGAGAATGCACGTCCTACTTCTAATGCACCTTCTGCGCGGTCGTCTTGGTCTCGAGACCCGCCACCCCCGTGGGAGCCAACGGCTTCTTCTTCGGGTGCGGTTGGGGGCAGCAGCAGCTCAGCGAGGGATGCAAATAACGAGAAGTTTGTCTACGGTGCGAGCCCAACAAGGCCGAGCATGAGAAGCAACAACCCATACGATGGCTACAATGAAAAGAATGCCTTTTAGTGAATGTTGGTTTAGGCGAATTAGGGGGTTGTGTGGTTGGAGCACGATTGGGAAAGGGGAGACATGTCATGTTTAATTTCTTGGAATTATAAGTAATAGCTCGGGCTAGAGCTGGCTCAGCAGGGTGAAAAGAAGCATACGAAAAAAAAGAGAAAAATATTGCTGGTAAGATGGTTAAGCGTTTCAAGGACCATAGAAGGTCGGCGTCAGGGAATATCTCACGCATCTTTGGATGGATGGTTTTTGGCTTCATGTATTTTCATCTTTAGAGAGATTGGCAAAGTTGCAAAACCTAAATAAGAATCTCCGCATTGAATTTGGATCGAATAAGCTTATGAATGTGATTCAGTAGATGTCTGATTGAGTTTTTTGAGTCATACTTGACTGGAAATGTACGACTACGACTAAGCTTACCAGTGACAGTACAGATGTCAAAAAGAGGCGTTATTTGGTGGCGACTCTTGTCAGATCGGAACCATTCGATGTCCATGTCAAGTAACAAATGTCACAAGGTAGGAATAATAGAGGTAGTAACAGATACAATATCAGCTCCCTTATTCGGACTCCGTGTTATCTAGGAGCAAGTATTATGTGCATATTCTGGCATGTACTCCGGACTCCGGACTTTAGTAGTACATTGCATTGCATCGCATGTGAGGCCCATCGGAAGGGCATCTCGCATTGATTGCAGGGTATTGCCGCATTGGGCAAGTCCGGGCTGGGCTGCAGCTGCAGCTGCGGGAGGCGGGGCTCATGCAGGTGCTAGTTTCTTAGTGCCTGCCGCAGAGGCAAATGGAGGGGCGGACCGCATTCTTCCGGAAATCGGGCAGCGGGCATCAGAATTGTTTCTTCCTTAAAAACGCCGTCGATTCCCTTTGCCACTGCAGATTTCGATTCGATATCGACTTGAGTGAATTGGATACTTGAAGCGACACAGAGACGATACGAGACAATATGGAAGCCATCAAGCAGACCTTTCAACGCTGCAAGGCGCAGGGCCGGGTTCGTACTTCTTTTTCCATCCCTAGCTATGACTGATTTACCGCGGGGTATCATCGTGGGGTGATGAGATGATGGCATTCGCTGACATTGGATCTTCAATACTTGTAGCCGGCGCTGGTCACGTATGTGACTGCGGGATACCCTCGACCGGAAGATACGCCCGGCATCTTGCTGGCCATGGAGAGGGGAGGAGCTGGTGAGTCTGGGCGCAAAGCAGATGGATGAGGAGTCAGAGCTGGTGCTAACTCGCCGCAGATGTCCTCGAACTCGGCGCTCCCTTCACGGATCCCATTGCTGACGGACCGACCATTCAGACGGCAAACACGGTACGAAGAAGTCGAGAGAAATATGTTGCAGCTCTTTTCTAACTTTGTGCGATGCAGATTGCGCTGCAAAATGGCGTGAGCATCGAATCGACTCTGGGCATGGTCAAGGAGGCCAGAGCTCGCGGCCTCAAGGCTCCCGTCATGCTCATGGGCTACTACAACCCCCTTCTCAGCTACGGAGAGGAGCGTCTGCTGCAGGACTGCCAAACCTCTGGCGTCAATGGCTTCATTGTCGTCGACTTGCCCCCGGAGGAGGCCGTTTCCTTCCGCAAGCTCTGCACCAAGGGCCAGTGAGTTTGCTAATCCTTATTATGAATTCTGTTTCTTCATTCCATTGAAACAATTGCTAATCAATTACTTCAATATTAGCCTCTCATATGTTCCCTTGATCGCTCCTGCAACCTCGGATACCCGTATGAAAATTCTTTGCCAGCTCGCAGATTCTTTCATCTACGTTGTCTCAAGACAGGGTGTCACCGGCGCTACCGGATCTCTCAACACCGCACTCCCCGATCTCCTCAGCCGAGTTAAGAAGTACAGCGGCAACAAGCCGGCAGCCGTCGGCTTCGGTGTCAGCACCCACGAACACTTCCAGAGCGTCGCCGCTATCGCCGATGGTGTCGTTGTCGGCAGTCAGATTATTACTACCATTCAGAAGTCCGCTTCTGGCCAGCACGACGCCGACGTTGAGAAGTACTGCGCCTATCTTTGCGGCCGCGACTCTCGACCTGCTGTCCTCAAGGATGAAGTTACTTTGGTTCAGGACGCCCCTGGCAACCAGGGTGCCAGCTCAGATTCCGTCTCTGTCAATGCAGTTGTCACTGACGATGACCGCATCACGGCAGAGCAAGACAGCGCTTTGGTAGCTCAGTTGGCAGCTCTCCACGGCAAAATCCCCGAGCGATTTGGAGAGTTTGGTGGCCAGTATGTCCCCGAGAGTTTGATGGACTGCTTGTCCGAACTCGAGGAAGGTTTCAACAAGATCAAGGACGATCCCTCGTTCTGGGAGGAGTACCGATCATACTACGACTACATGGGACGACCTTCTCGCCTCCACCTGGCAGACCGTCTTACCGAGCACTGCGGCGGTGCCAACATCTGGCTCAAGCGAGAGGATCTGAACCACACCGGTAGCCACAAGATCAACAACGCCCTCGGACAGCTGCTCCTGGCTAGACGTCTGGGAAAGACCAAGATTATTGCTGAGACTGGAGCCGGCCAGCACGGTGTTGCCACTGCTACTGTGTGTGCCAAGTTCGGCATGGAGTGCACAGTTTACATGGGAGCTGTAAGATTCAACCCCTTGGAGTAAAATTGAGGAAATTACGCGACTGACACTATTGAACAGGAGGATGTCCGTCGACAGGCTCTTAACGTCTTCAGAATGAGACTGCTTGGTGCCAAGGTTGTTGCCGTCGAAGCTGGAAGCAAGACTCTCCGAGATGCCGTCAACGAGGCTCTCCGTGCCTGGGTTGTTGACCTCGAGACCACTCACTACATCATCGGATCCGCCATTGGACCTCACCCCTACCCTACCATTGTGAGGACATTCCAGTCCGTGATTGGTGACGAGACCAAGAAGCAGATGATGGAGATGCGAGGCAAGCTCCCCGACGCCGTTGTTGCCTGCGTTGGTGGAGGCAGCAACGCCGTTGGCATGTTCTACCCATTTGCCAACGACCCTACAGTCAAGCTTCTGGGTGTTGAGGCTGGTGGTGATGGTGTCGACACAGCCAGACATAGCGCTACTCTTACCGGTGGATCAAAGGGTGTTCTTCACGGAGTCCGCACCTACGTTCTCCAGGACAAGAACGGCCAGATCATTGAGACACACTCTGTCTCTGCTGGTCTCGACTACCCCGGTGTCGGACCCGAGCTTAGCTCGTGGAAGGATGCTGAGCGAGCCAAGTTCATTGCCGCAACTGACGCTGAGGCTCTCACTGGCTTCAGGCTTCTCAGTCAGCTAGAGGGTATCATCCCTGCGCTGGAGTCGGCCCACGGAATCTACGGTGCCATTCAGCTGGCCAAGACGATGAAGAAGGATGAGGACCTTGTCATCTGCCTTTCTGGCAGAGGAGACAAGGACGTGCAGAGCGTTGCTGAGGAATTACCCAGACTTGGCCCCAAGATTGGCTGGGATCTTCGCTTTTAGAGGGCTTGGGTAGGGAGGTTTTTCAAAGAGGTTTCTTTAGCATGAGATTGGTGGCGGCGTAAAAAGTTTTGTAGTTGTGCGCTCAGGATATCAGGCGTTTTAAATCTTAGGTATTTTCTTTGGCAAATATTAGCCAGCATCTCAAATTGGTTATCCAGTATCCCTGCGACTGCGTGAGGTTCAAATGTCTGAACAGGATGTAAAGAGAATTCTTCAATTTACTTACTTACCCAAGTATCTAGCGGGTGGTATATAACGAGTTTTTGAAGTTGCTGCTACTGTCACTACTACTTGGTACTTTTAAATTATCGCTATATCACCCTATCTGTATCTGCTACTATGGCTATATTCCTCTCATGTCTAGCAATATCACTTACTATCTACTATGCGGCTTCAAAAAATCCGAGACACGGGATGCTGGCGAGTACTTGTCTTTTTCTTTTCGTTTAGTTTTGCTTTGCTCCGAGATGGCGGGGTTTATTCTACATGATGAGTTCCTACATACATACAATGATATACAAAATTTTCTTAAAAAAGGGATTTGAGAGTCTTTTACACCTCAATGCTTTGCTTTTCCGCTCTTGCACCTTTTAATCTTGCTGCCTCCTCAGCCCTATCCAGCTCCCGTAGCAGCAGCTCCTCCTCCTCGTCAGACAGCTCCTCGATGCCCTCGAGATTGGCCAAGTCCTCGTCGCCCAAGACAAAAGTCTGGTCCAGGGCAGCCCTCATCTCCGCCAGCGTCGCCTGGCTGCGCAAGCTCAAGGGACCCGGCGTAGCGTAATCCAGCGCATACTGAATGACGTCGTCCCTGTCCTCGAGCTCCCTGGGCTCCAATCCCAGCGCGACCCGCTCGTCGTTGAAGCGCTGCTGGACGGCGCGGCTCTGCATGAGCAGCCAGCGCAGGTTCCAGCCTCCGGGGCCGAGCTCCTTGACGCGGGCGGGCTTGCTCTTGAGCAGGTAGTTTTCGATGCCGCCCTCGCGGCGGACGGTCTTGAGGACGCGCAGGGTGAGGCGGGTCTTGATGCGGGCGCCGAGGGAGGGCATGAGGAAGGTCTTGACGTGGACGTTGGGGCGCCAGAAGCGGCGGGACTTGTTGTTGTGCTTCTCGGCGACGTTGTTGCCGAAGCGGATGCGGGCGCTGCCGTAGAGGCCGTTGTTGGACTGCTTGTAGACGCGGCGCTCGCCGTAGGGGTATGGAGGGATGAGGTCGCTGGGCAGGCGGTGCGGTTTTACCGTCTTTGTGGGCCGGGAGATTGTGGTTGAGAAGGCTCGGGCGGTTGAGGATGTTGTGGATGATGACGGCTGGATTTGGATATGAGAGAGCGGGCGGAGGGAGGCGTGTGTTGAGGTGATTCTCGAGGTTGATCTCGAGGCCGAAGCCGCAAGGGCCTTGAATGAGGGCATAGCCGACGACATGATTTGCTGCTGTGAACCGAACTGCCCTTTTGCTCGGTGCCGGGGAGGTTGTTAAAAGGAGAAGTTGCTGAAGGATCTTATAAAAAGACCATTGGAAGGGTTTGCAGCAGCAACGGTGAGCTCAATTGGGGGCGGTTATATGAAATTCAACCACCTTGAGACCCCTCCATCCAACTTTCTGGAGAATTTTGGTAATGGCCTGTTTGGAGTCGCACAGTTGTGACCAATGGCGCGCAACATCTAAATGATCCGCTCCGATGCGGGAATGCTCTCTCTCTCTCTGGGTACGAGAGTACAAGGTCACGAGACCCCGCGGTGCTCTTTCACGCGCTAAAGTACCTAGGTACCTGAGCTGTCCCTTTTGGCTAACCCCACGTTGAATTGAGTTCCAGGTTGGGCTGCTGCCGCTTTCGCGGGGGGGATGAAGCTATACTGCACTGCCAGAACAGCTGCTAGAAACTAATTCCTTTTCTTTCCCCTTTTCTTATTTATTAATTATCAAGAGCATTCAGACAATTTGAATCAGATTGGTCGCTCAATTGGTGTAGAGGCATGTTCCCTCCAGTTGAGCAAAAGATCCTGCAGAGCAACCCAGAGTTTGCAAAGCTCTATCGCATCATCACCACGGCCATCTTGAACCCTGATGGCTCGACCAAAGAGGACGACGAGGCCAAAGACAGGGCCACGGTACAAAAGGTATATCATCTTCTACTTCTTTATTAATTGTTTTAAATTCATCTTCATCTATCCAGTATTAACAATCCCCCCTTTACAGAACTTGGACAAACATCGCCAGAAAGCCGCAAAGCACTACCTCCTAGAACGCGCCATCGCAACCGCCACGCCCCCCGAGCCCAAACCCTCATCATCATCAACATCCACAAGGCTCTCCCGCGCCAGCGAGCGTCTCCAGCAGCGACAGTCCCAGTCCTCGGCCGAATCTACCCCCGAGGCGCTCCTCGACCTGCTCCTCGTCCTCCCCTCGTTCCTCGATGCCGTCGACACGCTGCCTCACGACTCGCTCACCTTGCTGCTCTCCAGTCCGCCGCTCTCCGATTTTGAAACCCTGCTGCCTGATCTCGCCGACTTGATATCGTGCAATCTTCATGCTTCTGCATTGGGTCTCGCTCGCTTCGCCCATCCTGCTACGAATCCTACTTATCTTCACCGTCACATCGCTTCTCTCCCAAAGGATTTCGCTGCTCTTAATACTAGCCTGTCTGCGGCCGAAGAGGCACTGAAAGCAGCTCGCATACGCACCGTCACATCACTCACCAGCCTTCTTCAAACATTTGCAGAATGTCTGACTTGCCTCATACGATCTCTCGAGGCAAAACACGGCGTCATTGCTCGTAGCTTGGAGCTCCGCGCATCAGACATCTCGCTTGATGCGCAGCGGGCAGAGAAGCAGGCCGAGCAGACAATGTGGAAGCTTCGAAAGGAAGTTTATACGCCAGAGAGTATACTCGCGCTGCAGCATTACGTTACTCATCTGAAGGACGCAAATGGACGCATCACGGATAGGGCCCGGAAGCTACAAGCCGAGCTGGAATCTCACGAGGAGTATTCTCACAGCGAATCATCACAAGATGAAGACGATGGTAGGTCGTCTAGAGATGTGCCCACATTGTATAGAGATGTTGGGAAGCGTGTGGAAGAGGCCAAGAGAGACATGGACCGATTACGACTTTCATGATTTATGATGATAAACTCGTTTGACTTTGTTACACTTACATAGCGTGCATTATCTTTTCTGTTTTTAGATCCAAGACCTTGAAAGAAAGGCATACAGAGGCAAGAGGTAGAATGTGATCATCAGAGACATTCCTTCGTCATATTGTTACATCAACTATTACAACACAGTGAACTGGCAGCTAAAGCAACGCCAATTTTGCTTTTCCAGATTGAATAAGCCCCTCTAGCTGTCCTAAAACAATTCGATGGCTCTCCCTTTTATTCCAATCTTTCTAATGTAATTTTTTCCCTCCTTTAAACGCTTAACCCTTGACCTTGAAGATGGCCTCGGCCAGACGGCCAACGTTGGCAGTAGTGATACCAGCAACGGAGATACGGCCGTCCTTGGTGGCGTAAACGGAGTACTCCTTGGCCAGCTTCTCCATCTCCTCGGCGTTGAGGCCAGTGTAGGCGAACATGCCGATCTGGCTGGTGATGTGGGACCAGTCGTGCTTGGAGCCGAGCTTCTCAAGGTTCTCCTTGAGCAGGGCGCGCATGGTGATGATGCGGTCAGCCATCTCCTTGACCTCACCGAGCCACTGCTTGTACAGCTTGGGGTTGCTCAGGACTTCGGAGGCGATGCGGGCTCCGTGGATGGGAGGGTTGGAGTACAGGGGTCGGATGAGGATCTTGAGCTGAGAATCAACCTTCTTCTTCTCGGCAGCGTCGGCGGTAGTCAGGGAGAAGGCACCAACACGCTCTCCGTAGAGACCCTAAAGTCGAATTAGCATACCAGCAATACGGATGATGGAGGTTCAGAAAGGGTATCTCATATGACGGTGCTTACCATGTTCTTGGCGAATGACTGGCAGAGGGCAATGTCGTGGCCCTGCTCGACAAAGTAGCGAACAGCAAAGGCGTCACGGTCAGTGTCACCGCTGGCAAAGCCCTGGTAGGCCATGTCGAAGAAAGCAAAGTGGTTCTGCTCCTTGACGACCTTGGAGATCTCCTTCCACTGCTCAGGGGTGGGGTCGACACCGGTAGGGTTGTGGGCGCAGGCGTGGAACAGGAAGACACTGCCCAGGGGAGCAGCCTTGAGGTCGGCAACCAGGCCCTCAAAGTCGAGGCCAATGGTCTCCTTGTTGTAGTAGCGGTAGGTCTCGACCTTGAGGCCGGCATCGCTGAAGACGGCCTTGTGGTTGGCCCATGAAGGGTTGGGGATGAAGATCTTCTTGTCGCCAGAGTACCAGCGCTGGAGGAAAGCAGCACCAAGGCGCAGGGCACCAGTGCCGGAGATGGTCTGGGAGATGGCAACTCGGTCAAGGACGTCCTGGTTGGGGCCGTAGGCAAGCTTAGCAGCCAGGGGAGGGAACTCGGGGACACCGGTGATGCCGGCGTACTCCTTGTTCAGCTTCTCGTCGATGATCTTCTTCTCGGCCTCACGGACGGAGGGGAGGACGTAGGGCTTGCCAGCATCATCACGGTATGCGCCAACACCTAAAACCATGCAATGAATATGGTTAGCCGGCGTTGCCGTAAATCAGCGGTGCCCAATCCAGAGGGCGCATTTGGATATGCGGGTTTCCTGGGATGCCGCTCGAAAGAGTGAAGGGGTATTCGTACCGAGGTTGATCTTCTTCTCGAACTTGTCGGCCTTGAAAGCTTCGGTAATGCCTAAAGAGAAGGTGAGTTAGTCAGGCTTGAACGGCTTGAACAGCTTGCAAGGCAGCTTAAGCAGTAGCTGAGTCTCTTGGGCAGGTAGCAGACGTCAGTGAAGGGTAGTCATACCAAGAATAGCCTATATACAGGCGAATTGAGACTCTTGTTAGTCCATCTGGTGCAACTGAAGTATATATATTCGTATATATATGTAGGTGAGGGTATATATCGGCCTCCAGGTGGTGTCAGGCTCGATTGGCCTCGTTCGTGGTCAACTTACATCCTATGCCCAATTGTCAGCCAGTGTCACCGCAGAAAGCGCCAGTCTTGTTTTCAACTCACAGGAGGGCCCTGGGGCACGTTGATCCAGGTAGACAGAGCAGCACGGCTGGCGAGGCTCAGGCGCGCAGGGCGCAGAGCAACTCGCCTGCTCGCAACTCGAAGAGTGGACAGCATAATTTCCGCGGGGGGGAGAAGAGTCTGAGGCGGGGTGGAGAGGGGAGAAAGAGAGCGAAAAGATCTGCGAGAGAAGCAGAATAAAATAGAGGACAATTGAGTATCTCGCAAGTTCTGAGGCTCGTCAAGCTGCTCAGTCACGAAGAGGCCAAGAGGTTGGTTGTAGTCAGACCGAAGAGAGAGGTACAGTCAGAACTTCGGAGGTGGTTCGATGTCGCTGGGCTCTGGGGAAAATTCTGGTGGGTCGCCCTTCTGGGGTGGGTTTAGTGACTTCGGAATAACAGGCACCGCTAAGTGGAAACGGGGAAGTCAAGAGGACAGAAAAAAAAAATTGATTGCGAATGGTGAAATGCCCTTTCTGATTTGGGTGATTTTCAAGATTATTACGAGAGCTGGAATCTGCATGTACCCAGTCAGATTCATCAAGCCTCATGTCGCCCTTGCATCACAGCAGCGTACAAGTGGTACATGCACAATACTAAAGAGCAACTAAGCTCGACAGGTACTTTCTACACAAAGCCTCGTAGGGCTCCAGCAGGTTTGCGGGGAGACTCGGAGAGCTTCAGCTTAGTCTAGTATATTGTGTACCTCCTAACCTAAGCTCCGAAACACCTCCGAAGTGGATGACGGAGTAAAAAAAGACATGGATTGCATTTTTCATGGACAAAAAGTGGTTTTATGGGGAGCAATTTCACATGATTCTAGTATAAGCCAAGTCGTTTCTGTAAGGTAAGTACTACCAGACTAGTATCGATGTGCCGTATATCTCGGAAGTGTCCATCTATTCAGCACTCTGAGTTGGACGTCCAGCCTCTTGTGTCTCGAATTTTAAGCCAGTGATAATACCAGATAGTATCAGAGAAATAACTTGGAACATAAGCAATAGGGACTAGAAACAATTAGCATAGTAGCAGATAGGTAAGCCTAGTAGCATCTAAGGAGCCTGACTTTGACATGAACAACCCATGCTTATACCCTGGGGTATGGTCAATCGGATGCTGTAACTACTTAATCTAGCCACATATCAGCCTTTCCAGAACATCTCCTTCCACCACATAGCCATTCTCTTTCAGATACCTCCCACTCTTCCACATCGAATCTTGATAACCAGGGAAACCAACCCAAGGCCAAGGATCGGTTGACGGCGGGTTTGTGGATAGAATACTTGGATCCGCACCAGCCTCTTCAATCAAATACTTTAATATACGAACATTGCCATCTCCAGAACTTGCTGCTGCTAGAGCACTGCCGCAAGAGCCGTACTTTAGAGGAGCATTTACATCGGCTCCGTGCTCAATCAGCAGACGAACAATCTCAATCGACCCTCCATGAGCGGCTGCGGCAAGGGGACTCCCATAACGTCCGGCCTTGGTATAATCATTAATAGTCGCCTTGTGCTGTATCAGGAGCGCCGCTAGCTCATAATTCGGTCTCAATCCAGCTGTTTCAAGGGGACTGCCGAAATGGCCCCGAACATCAGGATTTGTGCCTGCCTCCAGAAGAGCCCTAGCAATTGCTAGATCTTCACAGTCTATGCCCTGACAGAGGATAGGTTGATTTAATGGTAGGTTTGGGTCGGCACTATTCTCAAGAAGCAATTTTACCACCTCGATATCACCTGACTTGGTTGCTTCAAACAGGGCGCTTGTCATCCCGTCACAGAGCCCCCTGTTGACATCCGCTCCAAGGCTTATCAGCTTCCCGCAAAGGTGCCGGTGTCTATTTTTTACGGCGATTGCGAGTAGGTCCAGTCCATACTTATTGATTTGTGAGGTATCAACGCCAGCTGACCACCAGTCCTGCAAAATATGGCAGAAACCAAAAGAACAGGCACCAAAAATGGGGTTCGCGAAGGGATAAATATCACGCAAGTCGTCAAGGAAACGTATACGATTTCGTCTCCGGGTATGTCGGGGTATAAGTCCCTTTCGTATGCGTTCGTTCCGTATACGTTCGTTTCGTATGCGTTCGTTTTGTTCAATCCAACGGCAGTACAGCTGACTGCTCTGTTGAAGAGGACTGTTGAATCCCATGAAACACTTTACCAGCTGTGACAGTTGAGCGTCATGAGGCTGTAAACTTTCAAGGGCGTGAACATGTCGAAACCAATAGTTTCTCACATACTCTTGAAGATAGCTGGCTGGGTGCTGGGGATCCCTTTTGTCTCCTGTTGATACTTCGTTGATTTCTTCAAAGTCTGTGGACGGACCCCACATAGAATAGCCATTTATAAGACAGATCAAAGAGTGCTTAGCGACAAAACAATGTGCTTTCGCCATTGTCCACTCATGCTCTGTCTCAAAGTATTCAATAACGGATGCATGCGGGAACTTCCATACGTCTCTCTCGGAATCTGTTACAACCAAGTGGCGGCAGATTGAGCGAAGAGTCTCCCCCGTAAGTTCTTCTTCTATATCATGGCTCTCTCCGTCGCTGTTCACGGAGAGCCGAACAGCAGAAAGAAGCTGGTTGCTTGATAAAGGCTTGTAAGCACACATCACCCACATGACTGCACGCCGTAGCGTTTCTTGGTTATAGCTGCTCATTCCGGTGAAGAGTTCATGGTAAGAGGCGTTTAGAGACATTGGGATTTTTCCAAGCCGAGCTCTAATTTCCTTCACTTGTTGGCATTTTGATAGTTGCTCCATTTGTAGAAAAGCCCATCTGAACCTACGCGAATGTTAGCTGTATGTTAAAGGTGAAAATTTGGTTGCATTCTTGGTGACCTACATGCCATCACTGCCTTTGCAAAGAGTGCTTTTAATTTCTGACTTTAGCTCTTTTGGGATGGATTCCCATAGCCCTCTCTCTTCCATCTCCTCCATCTTTTTCTCAATGAATTTCTCATATCATCTCGATTATCATTAGCATCAATCTCGATGATTGATCTCGCTGGGAGTTGTTTCACGATATCCTGTTCCCGTCGACTGGAAATGAAAATCTTCACAGGATGCCGAGCATCCTTGGCGAGATTGGCCAGAATGGTGATAAGTTTACCCCTTGATTCTGCATCGCACTCGTCCAAACCGTCTAAAATAATGATAGTTTGAGGGTATAGGTTCACCGATTCTAGCAGTTGCTCTTTACAAGCATCAAATCCCAGTTTTAAGCCATTCTTTTTGTATTCACGGTATAGCTTGATGAGACTTTTCTTCATCATATTCGAATGCCGTGGAGAAGTAGATAGCTGGCGAACAAAGCTTTGAAGTGTCGAAAGGGGGTCTTGAAGATCAGTTTGGCCTCTGCTACAATAGAAAAAGGCAAGCCCTTGGTCATTTTGAGACTCGTGGTGACAGCTCACGCCAGCTTTGAGACGAAATCGATCTATAACTTTGGACGCAAGGAAGGATTTCCCCATACCAACTATATCGGGACTGTCAGATAGCCAGCCACAGGGACGCAGTCTTCTATTGTTTTGGTTGCTTACCGGTACCTTGGAGCCACAATATTGTTGACGCTGGGACTTGCTCCCATTCTTGGAATTTTCTGTGTTGTAATAACCATTCTCCTGTTCCCGGGGTTCTCAATTCGGCCCTTATGCGATGTTGATCTCCGAAGTTGATACGACTGAAATATTCCAGGGCTTCCATAATTTCAGTCTCTTTAGCCTCTTCAAGAAGATCACACACTCTGTCATTGATTCGCGTCAATGGCTCGTTGAGGCTGTTCAACATGATGTCCAAATGCTCGTCCGCGTCGGCTCTCCGCACGACCTCACAGGCCTGAGCTGCCGTGATTAGAAGGTTCTCGCACTTGATTAAGCTATCCATTGGACCTTCGGCCGCTCCAGGGTTGACGATCGCAAGAAGTATATGCCGATATCCTTTTGCGAGGCGCTGTCCCACATGGGCAAGCAAGTCTAGTGATTTTGCATAAACGTCAACAAGCGAGCGCTCCAAATCCTCCTGTACTGGAACGAAAGTGTTGGCACTATCCAGATATATAGTCTCATACACCTTTCCACGTCTTACGATGCTTAAAACCTTTTCGGAACATCCTGGAATAGCGGCAAATTCCTCGCCCGGCGCGATGGACACCTGTAGTCTGATTAGACGAGTTGCGAAGCGTAGTCGACAGTGGAGGAATCTTGGAGTAAGCCATGGAATACCTGCAGAACTGTCTTCAATGCGGGCCAAACGATTCCTGAAGAAGTAGGAGCGAACTGAATGGCAATGTCCCCAATTGCCTTGATGAAAGATATAACTCGAGGCGCGTAGTCTTTCCAAAGGATTTGTTTCTCCCCTACTCGAATTTGAAGAGCATGATCTTGATGTCTTTTTTCTATTTCTCGAACAATTTCAACGAGCTCCTCCGTTTGTGCACTCTCGGCTGACTTCAATATGCCATTTGGCTTCGGAAACCCGTCGATCCATTTCTTCGTCTTCGGAGTCGCAGCATTATAGGCTTTCTCCCATAAGCTGCTCCCTTTTGGGGAATTAGATAAACAATCGGACGAAGACTCGTGACTTGTGCTCGCCGCAAGCGATAGGGCAGGATCACTATTTTCGGGGCTGGGATCCGAGGAGCCTGTTGCAGTTGAGGGCTGCGGAAGCTCATCAACGGCGTGCGTAGTAACTGACGGCGAGTTTGATAAAGTAGAATTAGCTGCATGAAGATTAGACGAAGTTGCACTCAGGCTGTCTGAGGTGATCGCAGAGGCAATAGGTTGACGCCTGACTTTTGCTTTCATCCGGTCCCAAAACCCGCTGCGAGAGACTGAGTTGGCCTCCTGGCCACGAATTTTCCCCATTGCGCCTCTGAATCTACTCTAAGACAGCTGCAACGACCTAATCTATTGACTGCGGTGTGGCGGTTTAATGATGCAATCTCGAGCATTGTTGGCGAGAAAAATTTCTCTACACAGCCTTATGTACAAAGCACCTGCATGCTGCATGCCACGTGTCGCAGGCGTATTGTGCGCTCACAGCCTCTATGAAAACGGTTCATTGCGCAAATCGAGTACAGGTGAGGCTGAAACCTGCATTTGACCAATGTTCACTGCACTGAAGCGAATAAAATAGCACTGATCGAGCATGTTTTTAAATGGAGGCTTACAAGCCGAGAGGTACTACCGCAGCATGGCAGAATGAATACAGAGAGAGTGGCCACAACACTTAATACAGTGGTCAAGATAGAACACTTTGGGAGTAGCTATTTGGCATCCCAAACCGGCCATCCAGCACTTTAGCAATTGTCTGGAGTTGAAGCGTCAGAACAAGATGCGGAACAAAGCATTTTATTTAGTACAACAAATACCTGCCAGGCAATAGCTACCCGGTTAGGTATCTGCTACCACCACTGCTTTCTGCAGCTATTGTTACCTTCTTCTAGAATCTGCTACTATGGTTATATTCCTCTAGTATCTGGTATTATCAGTATCTTCAAACTTGAGACACGATAACCTTGGATAATAAGACTTGAGGTGTTGAAACCATTCGTAATACGTAGTACCTAGCCACTTTGGTGTGCTAATATTGCGCTTGTTGTAAACGAAAGTAATAGAAGGAGCTCATTACATGGGCCACATTCGACTAGGAAACAGAAACTTATAATCCAAGTCTGTTCAATTACACATGATGTTTTGGATGCGGGATTTAGGTAAGTAGGCAATTTGGTTTGTGTTTGGAGAAAAGGTTCCCTCGGTAAGTTGTCTGCGCAATACCCGTAGCTACAGAAACGCATCTTGGACCACGTGGAAAGCTATCAACGCTGCACAAGTGCATTTTTGAGGCCCGTGATAGCACCCCATCGTAATATTGAAGCAGCTTTGCCCAGGATGAGGAGCCATCGCCAGGACGATGTTACTCTTTTCAGACATATCCATATTAATGCTTTGGAAATTACGCAAATAGGAAATTTAGCGGCGAGGCGAGTCTGCAATCTTCTGCCTCTTACAGCTAGCGCCGCCGAAAACGCAGTGGGCCGCGATGCTTTTTCGGCGGCCCACGACACCAAAGAATGATGGCCAGGGAAATCGCCAAACAGGCGCAGTTCAGGACGCAGGGAGGCTTTTCCCCAGGATGCCAGATTCGACAAGGACATCTCAGATGGGGCAGAGCGTCGCCTGGGCGCATCTAGCGCTCCCCCGCATCGCGATTCTACCCCATGGGGATGCGGGAGCATGACGACAGCTTGCCTCGACGACACACAATCGCGACGCCTGCCATTGGCCCAGCCGTTGGAGGCTCGTGGCCCGTCATCAGCCTGCTGCGAACGACATGAACTACTGTATAGTCTAGATTCTAGATTCGAGATCCCGGATGCTACTCTTGGACTTTGGATTCTACTCGTACATACATGGCTCCGGCGTCTCTTTCCTCTTGACGTATCTTACGGGCAAATGATGCCTCTCTCTAGCTTCCCTTCTACCTTGTAGTTTCACCATCTACGGACTCGTAACAAATCGCTAAATGTGTTTGCTGATAAACATTAACGCCTCATGGACCAGACCCTTCTCACATACAATCAGCTTCTGTCGCTGGCAGAGGGCATTTGTGCCAGCCTGGATATCAAGGGCGCTCAAAAACTGGTCCCCCATGCTAGCTAGAGCCCACGTTTTTTTTCTTCACCAGACAAAAAAAAAACGACCTGCCACATTACCACGAGCGACAGCCAACAACAACTTTCCAGAAACCCACAAGCGGTGACCCCTACTGTAAGACCAGGGGAATTTTCATTTCTCGCCCGCCTAGAGCAAAACCTACTCGCCGCCACCCAGTCACATCATGACAATTATCGGCCTGCCCCATCGTTTTTGCGCTGCTACTTTGCCGGACTAAGGCTAGCCAAAGTCGCGTGTTCCTAGAACCTAGAGCTTTTAGCATGCTTGTGCGGGCTCCTCCGCCGCCACGAGCCACTCCCGGCATTGCATTTGCAAACTAGTGTTGCCAAACGAGATACCATGAGCTAACAAAGAATTTTTCCGTTTGGCCATCTGGGTTATCCTTTTGCCATCCAAAACCGACAACGGTGAGCCTGTCGAAAGAGGGGAAAAGAAAAAACTTGACAAACCAAACAAACCCTGGTTACGGTGCTTTTTCCCCTTGGCGGCCAGCGAGATTTCATTCGTTGCCTCTTTCGTGCTTGTTGGTTCTGTTATCATCACCGATTTGCTCAAAAGCCCACTTCAGCCAAGGCTCCAGAGAAACGGGCGAGCATCATTGGATCGACACCAGAGGGCTCGGCTTATTTAGACCCGCGTCAATCGAACTGACCCCGGCCTCGCATTGCATCTCGACCTCGTCCTTGAGGAGCCTTTTTTTCTCTTCTGCTCTCTTCTCCGCTCCGTAGCCTTCACCTATATATCCTTCCCTCTCCTCCCACCTCCACCCTCTCTCTCTCCTCGGCCCTTGTCCATCCATCCTTTCTTCAGCACACTTGGTTGCGAAGAGCATTGGTACACCAGGGCACCCTGATGTTCTAGTAATTTTTTCTGTGCTCTTTACCTTGCTTCTTCTTCTTCAAGACTACACTCCCACCACTCACATCATGGCATCGCCTGCCACTGAGAAGGAGATTTCTCCTCATCAGGATGGTGTCGAGATCCAGACGTCCAAAGATGCCACCACGGGAGGCGTCGTGGACGTCGACGGCGAAGGAGACGAAGAGTTCTCCAAGGGCCGCCGTGTGATTATCGAGAGTGCCAGAGCGGCCGCTGCCAAGGAACAGTCAATGACTCTGCTCCAGGGCATTAAGCTGTATCCCAAGGCTATTGCATGGAGCATGATCATCTCCACATGCATTGTCATGGAAGGCTACGATATCAGTTTGGTCAACAACTTCTGTAAGACGCTCTCCCATCCTGGCAGCTCTACTACAAGATATCCCAATCAGCAGCTAACATGTTCGCCAGACGCATTTCCTCAATTCAATGAGAAATACGGTGAGCTGTACCCCGACGGCAAATATCAAGTACCCGCCAGGTGGCAGTCTGGCTTGAGTAACGTATGTCCCACCCCTACCCATCCCATTGCATCTATGGGGAACCTCTAGACTAGTCACAATCTTGTCGGAAGAAAATATCAGCGCTAACAGCTTGGCCAAACAACAGGGCGCCACCGTCGGTGAAATCATTGGTCTCTTCATCAACGGCTTCGTCTCCGAGAGATTCGGCTACAGGAAAACTGTTATGGGATGTCTCGTCTTGGTCGCCGCTTTCACTGCCATCTTCTTCACCGCACCCAACATTCAGACGCTGCTGGTCGCCGAGATCCTGTGCGGTATCCCCTGGGGTATCTTCCAGACCATCACCGTCACTTACGCCTCCGAAGTCTGCCCCGTTGCGCTGCGAGGATATCTCACCACCTATGTCAACTTCTGCTGGGGTCTCGGCCAAGAGATTGGCATTGGCGTCATCTTTGCCATGTTGAAGCGCAACGACCAGTGGGCCTACCGTATTCCCTACGGCCTACAGTGGATGTGGCCCCTCCCGCTCTTCATCGCCATCTACTTTGCCCCGGAATCTCCCTGGTGGCTTGTTCGCCGGGGTAAGGCTGAGGAGGCCAAGCGGGCGCTGCTCCGCTTGACCAGCCTGAACCGCGAGACCGACTTTGACGCCGACGAGACCGTGGCCATGATGGTGCACACGACTGCCCTCGAGGAAAAGATCACCGCCGGTGCCTCGTACTGGGACTGCTTCAAGGGCGTTGACCGGCGCCGTACCGAGATTGTCTGCATGACCTGGGCCATCCAGAACCTGAGCGGCAACGCCTTCTCCAACTACTCCACCTACTTTTTGCAGCAGGCCGGTCTCTCTACCCATGACTCTTACGGATTCGCCTTGGGCCAGTACGCCATCAACATGGTCGGCGTCTTTGGCGCATGGGGCTTGATGACGATGGGCGTCGGCCGCCGCTCTCTGTATCTCTACGGACTCTGCGGCCTCTGCAGCATGTTGTTCATCCTTGGTTTCTTGGGTCTGGTGCCAGAGTCGCACAGGAGAGAAGGCTCCCTCGCCACCGGAAGCATCATGGTTGTCTGGGCCCTCTTTTACCAGCTCACCGTCGGCACCGTGTGCTACTCTCTCGTCGGCGAGCTTTCATCGCGTAGACTGCAGATCAAGACGGTTGTGCTGGCACGAAACCTCTAGTAAGTTCTTTCTTTGGCTCTACATAATAGAGTGACCAGATTTGCTAACCTCTTTCGTCTAGTAACATCGTCGGCATCATCACCAACGTTCTGACGCCATACATGCTGAACCCTACAGCCTGGAACTGGAGCAACTACACTGGATTCTTCTGGGTAAGACACACACATATCCCCCCATCGCCGTACTGCCTTATCGCAGACGCAACAAAACCACTTTGCATATAAGCTAACACTTTTCCTTCAGGGTGGAATTTGCTTCTGTTGCATCATCTACACTTACTTCCGCCTCCCTGAGCCCCGCGGCCGCACATTCGCCGAACTCGACGTCCTGTTCGAGAAGAAGATTAGCGCCCGAAACTTTGCTTCTACAAAGGTAGACGTGTTCCACGAATCTATCGATGAGAAGGTGATGCATCAATACGATGGAATCATGGAGTCGCATATTGAAAAGGTTTAAACAATTTTGGATGATTTTTTTACGACTATTAATGAAAGGAAGGGGAAACGTATCAATCAAGAGGGGACAGTCTTGAATCGCGCGTATATACCATGCAAAGTACGATGTCTATGCTCACTTTAACTATTTATATATAATAATGTCTTGTTCCATACTCTTCCTTATTTGGGGCTTCGTCTACAAATGTTCACAAGATTCGCTTCGCAAGAGTTTGGGGCAACAGTCAACATCTATTGGCGGATATGCTAAAATTAATCTCTGTTGTCCTGTCAACTATAAGACAGAAAACAGGCATAGGTGCGCGGAGCAAAAGAGAACGCAACAGTCACACGTAGGGAGAGGCTGAAACGATCTATACGGTGCCTGGCCGCCTACATATGAATGTCACCCAGTCCTCTCTTGTCGTGACACAAAATCATTTCCCCCAAAAGTAAGGCTCGTGACAAGGATAACGTGGGAGATGAGATGGCTTAGCATCATCATCTCGATTCTTCTTGTTTGATAAAAACAATGAATTCGCAATATCACAAAGCACCAGTATCCCCCATCGGAAAGAGTAAAAGCCCAACGACCAGAACGCCTGCATCAGCCACATCGGCTTGGAAAGATCCCCTGTATCGCCTCGGTGTTTATGCGGTACCAAAGGTGTTCTCGCCGGAGTAGGTGATGTATAGGAAGCTAGGGATGGAATGTTAGCCTGCAGTTCTCGGAGATGGGTGGGGATGGATGGATAGAGCTCTTACCCGTCCTCGTCCTTGTGCTCCTCGTAGATGCTGCTCATGAGAGCGGCAGTAGGAGGAAGGACCTCATCCACGAAGATGAAGATAGCCTTCTCTGGAGAAAGCTTAATCCTCTTGCGGATGACGTAGACAAACTGGCCTACTGTCAGGTCCGCGGGGACCAGGTACTTCTTCTTGTCGATGGTAGCAATATCGCTCTTCTCGACCTTTTCGCAGATGACCTGTTTGGAGGAAGTTCAGTTAGCCATCAAGATTCATCTTCAGAGAGTAAGGGTAGTCACGGCAAGCTGCATGGCGGGTGCTGGACCCGGTCGGGACGGGAACGGGGAATAGGATGAGGGCAAGTGACGAGTAAATGAAGATGAAGCAGGGAGCCGTCAACTTACGGGAATGCGATCGGAATACTTCTGTCGGATGCGCTCGGCCTCAGCCTTGCGCTTCTCGAAGGGGTGCTCGTCCTTGAACTTGCTGCGCATCTTGACGGCAACCAAAAGGTTAAGAGTGTTGGGTGATGAGTTATGAGAGTGAAAGCGCAGCGGGTTGGTGGCGCGGCTGTTGTGAGACTATCGACGGCGATTCAGAGGGCGATAAAAGCGATAAATATCGATAGCGCGGATGATGGAGTGAAGGGGTTTCGAGAGATGAAAAGGGGAAGAAAAAGGGATTCCAGGGATGTAGAGATGATGTAGAAGTTTAAGGCAGCGCAGGCAAGCTGTGGTGACGAAGTGGAGGAGAGGGGTGACCCAGTGACTCTGGCCCGATGACAAGGCGGTGGCCAGTGCAGGCAAAGAAAGGCAAAGCCGCAAAGGCAAGAGGCGCAGGGCAGGCTAGGCAGTGACGCTCGCCCTTTGTGCTGGGCCTGAACGGGAACGGATGCAGCACGCAACCTGAACTGAACTGAGTTGGGTGGCGCGCTAACGTTGATGCGGGACGCGGTGAATCACTCACTCACTCACTGGCCAGGCGTCTCGGGGGTACAAAGCCGGTGCTTGCTCCTACTGGGGTACGGGGCGTGTACAAAGAGTGACGGCAGAGGCTAGGTACCTTTTGGCGGCAGTGCTCACCTAGGAACAGCGGCGACACAGCTGCCACGGCACAAAGACAGCTTAGCTGTGGCTGGTCGATTTATGTACACGCATAACGGCGGACACCACCGATGACTGTTCTCTTACAGGTACCTAGCACCGAGACCACATGATCAGCTGCCGGATCCTTGTGCGCTCACAGTCAAGTCACCAGGGGGGACTCCCCGGTACCTTTGCAGTGACAGGCAAGGCAAGGTCCCGACTGGAGTGCGAGTGAGCCGCACGAGGGGTCGAGGGTCGAGGGTCGAGGTACAAAGGCGCAGGTACGGGGTACTCCCGTCTGGTCCCGTCTGGTCTGCCTCAGCTGAGCTCTGGGCGCCGTATTCGCTTTCATCTCATCTGGATCTCCTTTGTAATCCATCAGCAGCCCGTGCACCTTTCCAGTATCTATGATTCATCCTTGCCCTATATTTAGTTTTGGAAGAGAAAAGAAAATGAACGAGATGAACAATAATAAAGAATCGTTCACGTAGAGGAATGGAAGCGGACAAAGAAATGGTGCTCCTTTGCTCTGGTCACATGTAGCTGTACAGTTTCCGCATGTTTCACTCTCTCTTGCGCGTGTACTTACTGAATGAACTATGATGGCATGGGCATTTGAACGGCTTAGTAACTGCTTTAGCATTTCTGGAATATTCATCATCTGCACGGGTGATCGTTTCCTGTACACTCAAGGTACGCGTACTCGCAAAAGTGTTCATCAAAGCCTCTCGATGCCGTAGATCGCGAGACACACATATGCCTTTGATCGTAGACGCCGAGGTCGTGGATCTGTAAATTCAATACAATAACGGAGGATACAATTGCCCAACAAAGAAACTACCTTTATGTAAAAGCATGTTCACTATGGTGAAAGTCAGTGCATGCTTTTCTCATGGAGCCTCTTTTTTCTTTCATTTTCCATTGTTTAGACTATTGTATTCGCCTTTCTATAGTGTCCTTCGTCGCTCTCTACCATACCTTACACTTTAGCCAGACATTGTACCACAGGTGCTTCAGAGGTCGCTCTCCTTCTGCCGTCTCTCTCGGTGGTGTCTGCCGTCCAACACTCCACCAGTAGCTTCTTTTCTTTTCGCAATCCGAAACCAAGCGTATCAATCCCACAACTTAAACGCAATCCGCACATCACCATGCCATTTACATCCCCATTTCTTTCGCCCGTATAGTTCAAAGGCAAGTCTAGACTACCTTAGTCGAACAGTGACATGCTTCTGCTCAATCGGCTTCCGCCTGCCCCTCCGATCCGAGCTTGTGCCGGCCGCCGTCAGACAAGCAGTGCTCCGTACTTTTAACCCACCATGACTTGTGTGGGAAGATCTCAACCACCGAACACGCCACCAGGAATCCGGTGGCTCGATCAGTGGAGGGGCTAATTGGTCAATTCGACGAGAAGCACGACGACGAGAAAATCTTTCTCCGGCTTACTCTGGCAGCCGCGTCTTATTAAATCCAGCGTCGCCCGCCTTGTCTCGGCTCTTGGTCGCCCAGGCTCAACCCTCTTAATCCCATCACCAATTGCACCCCGCCATGGCTTCACCAATGGCTGCCTCTCGCCATGTCCAGCGCGTGGCTACACAGATCCGTCTGCGCTCAGCGCGGTTTCCCAGAGGCCAATTGACCTTCAATCGATGGGCATCGTCCGCTTCGGGCAGTCGGCGAGCTCCCGCCAGCTTCGGAACTTCATCCTCGGCAGCCGTTTGGCTTGCAGCCGCCGCCATTGGCATCACGGCTCCCTTGGCCTACAGCTTGGTGAGTCAGACACGATAGGCCCGGGGAGACACAATTCATTCCGAGATCCCTCCAGCTTACATGCCTCTTCTTGTTTCCCTTTCCAGACAACAGCAGAGCCTGCAAAGCTCGACGTCACATCCCTTGCCGAGAAGGATGAGCAAAAGAAGAGAGAGGCGGTCGTCACCGAAGAGTCGCCCATGCGCCTGCGGATGGAGAAGTTCATCAAGGAGCAGCAGCAAATAATTGTCAAGGAACTCGAGCGCATCGACGGCAAGAAGTTTCGCAAAGACGAGTGGACGCGACCCAATGGCGGCGGCGGCATAACCTGTGTGCTGCAGGAGGGTAACGTATTCGAAAAGGCCGGCCTCGGCGTCAGCGTCGTCTACGGAACGCTTCCCAAGCCCGCCATCTTGAAGATGCGCGAAAACCACAAGAACCTCGACCCCGATGTCGAATCGCTGGAATTCTTCGCCGCAGGCCTGAGCATGGTGCTCCATCCGTACAACCCCATGGCTCCGACCGTGCACCTGAATTACCGATACTTCGAAACGGCCAATCCCGACGGCACCTCTCAGGCGTGGTGGTTTGGAGGCGGCTGCGACCTGACGCCCTCATACCTCTTTGACGAAGACGCCATTCACTTCCACAAGACCATCAAGGCTGCCTGCGACAATCACGACAAGACATACTACCCTCGATTCAAGAAATGGTGCGACAAGTACTTTTACAACAAGCATCGTGGTGAGTGCCGAGGCGTGGGCGGTATCTTCTTTGACGATCTAGACGAGTCCGAGCGAGACCAGGAAAACACCTTTGCATTCATCCAGGACTGCCTGAAGGCCTTCCTGCCGTCCTACGTCCCCATTCTCGAGAAGCGAAAGGACATGCCCTATGATGACAAGGAAAAGATGTGGCAGCAGATCCGTAGAGGCAAGTATGTCGAGTTTAACCTGGTTCACGACCGAGGCACCGCCTTTGGGCTGAACACGCCTGGATCACGAGTCGAGAGTATTCTCATGAGCTTGCCATTGACGGCAAGCTGGAAGTACATGTATGAGCCAGAGCCCAAGAGCAGGGAGCAGAGACTGGTGGATGTCTTGAAGGAGCCCAAGGAGTGGGTTTGATTTGGTATATTCCCGTGTAATAATGCATAAAACAGTATATTTTGTAGTGTAGCGGTATAGATAAAAAAAGACAATAGCATCATGAGTTCGAATACTTCATACCGGTTCCTGTCCCGAGGTCGGAATGTGATAACGCTGTAGTTGAGGCAGAAAATTAGTGCCTAAAATAGACTAGGTGATTGTGATTTAAAGGCACGACAATCTGTCACAGCTTCTTTATTCCGTACGCAGATCTGATCTCCAATGACTTCGTTCGAACCATCTCTCATCTAAATTAGTGTATACCACCATTCTCATTTCTATGATTACCGATATTTCGCATCTAGATGATTGCAGCAAAATGAAACTGATAATCCATCACCAACGCTATACATAGCGAGATCCAGACTTGAGAGACCTCATTCAACTCATACCAGGACTCGCACTTAGACAACAACACCTCATAATGGAAGAGCATCCTCTGCCATCTCACCACCAGCTATTCGCTTCTCTCATTCCGCCATCACCTCTGCCCGGACTCCGTACCGCAGGTGGTTTCAGCGATAACCCTGGTGATGCCGAGTTGATCAGAGAGACGCCATCATCCGCTGAGGATGGAAACTGGCGGCGGCAATTGTTGACTCTTCATGTCATCTTCCCAAGTCTCCTCTTGCCGGCCTTGGATCTACTGGATCGTGGGCTAGTCAGCCGTCTCTTGGTGGCAGACGAGTCGCAAAAGGCACCGGCAGCAGCATCAGTATCTCCTGATGGTATCCATAAACACGGAGAAACTGAGAATACAGACGAACAGTCCGAAGGCCATATCCCTGACAGCTTGCAAGCAATGGACCACAAAGATCAGATATGTATGTACACCGTCCAGTCTGCCGTCTCCACTACATCTCGGCGTAAGCGACACACGCCGCAAACAACCAAGGTATATGCAGTGCATCTTGACGCATGGAGCTGTTCATGTGGTGGATTCGCCCTCGATGCGTATTCCCACTACGATGTGGCCAATAGTAGCGACAAAGTTCAAAACTCTCCACCGAAGGGATTGTTCGGCAACTTGGGGCTGGATAGATTGACATCACTCGAGGATTTTCCGTGCTGTAAACACCTTCTCGCATGCTTGTTGGCGGAGAAATGGAGGAAGACTCCTGGCGGCCACGTCCAAGATAGATACACAACAAAGGAAGAGTTGGCCGGCATAATTGGGGGTCACTGATTTCACGCATTTCAATTTGCACAGGACAGGTGAATCATGCAAAGTGTCTATTTGAGTTGATTTTTGCCTAGCAGTTTGCTATCATCAACATATAGAAAGCACCATTTCACTTATTACTTTAAGCACTGCTCGCCTACCAAAATTCAGACGGCATCAAATTGACCTTTCCCTTTCATTATTTCTTTTTGGGCTTCTCCTTGTCGCTGCTCTCCTTGCCCTCTCCGTTTGCGGTGGCCACAGCGCCGTCCTTCTTCTCATCCTTATTAGTGGCCTCGTCCTTCTTTGGCTCCTTCTCGTCCTGCTGCTGTCGGTTCTGGATCTTGTTCTCTATTAAATCGTGGAATGCAGTGATGGCGCGTATCAAGCTGCTCAGGTAGATGGCCATCAGCTGGTCGTTGGTCTTGATGCTCATGGCATGTGATAGTTCGTGGCTTCCCGCTTTGCTGTCATCGTCTGGTGTAGAGAGGTTGGGGAGAAGGTTGAAAACGTCTTGTAGGTTGCCAAGGATCGTATGGTTGACGGGGAGCTGTCCATCAAGGACTTTCTGGAGATAGGCACCAATGTCTCGTAACCGAAGGTGCAGTCCTTGAAGAGACTGGAGCTGGTTAGTGACGCGCGTGGACAGAGTGCCAACAGCAACGTCACGGATATCCCTTAGCAAGTGCTCAACACCAATCTCCTCCGCTTCCTCAGCCTCGATAATCGACGGTGTGTGGACAAAAGTTCGAGAAGTCGTCGTTCCATCCTATAGTGAGGAGAAGAGTCAGTTTGGTCTCTCCAGTGCGTCACTGAGGGCAACCTACATCCTTGATTTCTTCGACGGCAAAGTACGCGTCGGTAGGGACACCCGATTCCTTTGGCTGGACATCAATAATGACCAGTAGAGGATTAGGTGTGTAGCGCTTGAACAGCTCGTTGATCTCGAGATCAGAGGCACGGAGCTTTGGTCCAGTGTGGTACCACCCCACCAGCTTCTCGCGCGCATTTACTTTCTTGAACATGTCGTTCATAGACTCGACGTAGTTGTGGTCCAGGAACCATACTGAAGGGTCCTTTTCATCCTCCTCGAAAGGGACTACACAAAGAAGAGGGCTCGTTAGAAAATACAACCATACAGTCATACTGGATAGGGAATCTCTGCAGATTCCCTGCCTAGTGTCTTGACGTACCCGCAAAGCTGTTCGACACCCTCACGTTCTTTCCATCATTCTGGCCGAGGAGGACTCCAACCACCCGCCTCTTTGTCTTGTTGTGTACTGTTCGGTTGTAGTGGTCAACTGCGGAGAGGAGGACAAGCGGAGCGACAGAGACGTTTCTCGTAACCAGCGAGAGGGTTTCCGCAGTGGTGGTCGGCATTGTAGCTGGCTGAGAACTGGACCTTTGCTGAGCAGTGTATCGGAGGAGTCGATGCTCAAGGAAGAGTTGGAGGAGTAAGAGCAGGTCGCAGCGGTTTGTAAACGGCGAGAGCACGGGAGAAGACGCCGATTGGTTTCAAGGTCGTGGGTTCGTGATCAGTGGTTTGTTTAACGGTGGAATCGCCAAAGCAGCAATTAGGTACCTATCCGACTTACGTCGCTGAGTTCCGTCATACTAGCAGTACCCCTCCACCAAGCTAGCGAGGCAAGCTACATCTATTAGGGTAGTACTTTAGAAGAAATTGAAGAAATATTACTAATATTATTAACAAAATAACATATAAATATTAAACATTATCCAAGGAGATATCACCATTATATTTTATTTAATAAGTGTATTTTGTATAATTTATTTAAATTTAAATTTTCCTATTTTCTTAAAGTTCTAAGTTGAATATTTTGTCTTTTTTTGAAAGCCCAAGATTTATTTCTAAAAATTCTTAATTAATTGACGAGCTCATCCCGTCGTTTGGTGGATTTTATCTAAATTACCCCCATGCTAATTCAGCCAAGATGACAAACCACTACCCTTGGCCTAGCTACCTATCCCTGTAGGCTGTACCGAACAAAAGTGTTTCTTTGCCACATGTTTGTTCCTCGACAAGGCATGATCTTGCCTCGACGATTGGAGACGCAATGGAGCCTCCTCCAACGAAACTGACACCAGGCAAGGGTGCTCAGTCAAAATCGAACAAGGGGCCTCCATCACCGACATTGGCCAATGTTGCGCGCCACTTTGCTGTGGACAGCGGCTCAACGTTGCTTGCCACGGCGGTAATCACAGTCTTGATATTCGGTGGATGCTGCTCCAACGTACGTCCTTAATTCCAGAGGTGGCCGCTCGTGATCGCGTGACTTAACAATTTGATTCCGCAGGTTTATGCTTTAGAGGCAATCATCAAGTAAGCCTTTCACTCAATGCCGATTTCAGTTACCTACATGATCTGACATGTACACCGAATAGCTTCGAGCCGACAAACGGTAAACCTGCACTTGCATACCCTCCATAGACGACCGATTCCAACCTTGCACTTATCCACATAGGAACCCTCGTAACTTTCGTTCAATTCCTATTCGTCTCTATAACGGGCTACGTAGCGCAATTCGATAGATCACGCCCGCCGTTCTTCCTGACTCCCAACGTCGTCCCGCTTAGCCGCTGGCTTGTCAATATCCTGTTGTTCTTTACGATCAACGTGTTGAACAATCATGCCTTCAGCTATGACATATCCGTACCGGTTCACATCATTCTACGATCTGGAGGTAGCATAACCACCATGGCTGCCGGATATCTTTACGGCAAGACGTATTCGCGCCCCCAAATATTTGCAGTGTTTCTGCTGAGTATTGGCGTCAGCCTCGCTGCTTGGTCGGATTCAAAGGACAAGGTATGTCATCATTGTCACCGATGATGCTCTCCTCTCGGTCTAACATGATATACAGAAACCGAGTGACGATATTTCTGACCCTGTATTCAATCCTGGGCTCTTAATTATCTTTGTCGCTCAAGTACTTTCGGCGATCATGGGGCTGTATACCGAGGCAACGTATCGAAAGTACGGGCCGCAGTGGAAGGAGAATCTTTTCTATTCTCACATCTTGTCGCTGCCGCTGTTTTTGCCCTTTGCGCCCTCCATGTGGCGCAACTTAATCGTGCTAACCAAGAGCACTCCTGTTGCACTAAACATACCATTTGCTGCGTCACTGCCGCCGGTTCAAGTTCCATCCCAATTGGCCTATCTTTCGGCCAACGTGTTGACCCAGTATGCCTGTATTCGTGGCGTGAACCTCCTTGCCGCAAACGCGTCGGCACTCACCGTTACGATAATACTCAGCATTCGAAAACTCATGAGCCTCTTGCTAAGCATATGGCTATTCGGCAACACTCTCAAAGCTGGCACCCTGCTAAGCGCGGTAGTAGTGTTTGGAGCCGCCGGCCTCTACAGCGTTGCCCCGAAACCTGCCCTGACCACGACCAAGGAAAAGAAGAAGGAGTGATACCGTTGCCGGAATTTTCTCGTCAAAAAGCTAGATCTCCTTGTTGTCTAGAGCGAATGCCTTGTCATTGATAGAAGATGCAAGTAAACGAAGAGACGGACTTCTCAACATAATCCAATTTGGAACGGCCAATTAGAAGAGTCTATATAGAGTACAAGTCGCGTTTTAGATTCATATAGACGGTAAGTGGTCAATATATTTACAGTTCAATTGCCTTTCTTTTCCCGACATTGTAATACAGCATGCATTTAAAATCGCCCCGCGATCTCATATCTCTCATAAGACCCGGCACTTGATCCCTGAAATGACACTCAGACTCAATAAGAGACAAGGGCTCGATTTAAACAGCAAGGCGCTAGTCCTAATTTGAGCGACCCAAACACAAGTGCGGATTAGCTTTAATCCAACTGCCTGCATGTATCCCGTACCTAAAAGTACCTGAGATCGCCTTGCTGCGGCTCTTTGTTTTTGTGCCAAACGAAATCTTGCTGTGTAACTTTGAACCATTCACCACCGACTAGCTGGCCCATCCCATTTCCAACTGCTCAGCCATTGGCACATTCATTTTGCCGGTATCCATATATTAAACGGCCGACTAAACGAATTGAGTTATGCCTGGTGAGTTCATACCCGGGATAAGCGTTTGGTGGCTTCACAGTTGCGCTTCATTGGGCCGTATTTTGAACCTAATAAATGGGGCTGCCTTGACTCTTTTCATTCTGCCCTTATGATGGTTATTTTTCGTCGCTGAAATGCCGTAACTGCGATCTAATTCCTAATCACGTTCGTCTAGACCACGCGCTACATAGTAGTAACGGCATATCCCTTCCGGTCCGTACCAGAGAAGAGGGAGATGATGAAGATGTCCAAGGGCAGGCTACCAGTGGCTTGATCGACCCTGAAATCCATCCAGATTCTCTCGAGGGCCACGAGGAACATCTCCATGATGGAATGTTGTTACGAGATCTCCAAGAGCGCACGACGTTCTATGATCCTGTTGCAGAACTTCAGATGACCCAGACGGATGCAAAGCTGTTCTATCAGCGGAGCAAGATTGACCCACGGACGGGAAACTCTCCATGGCCGCAGTCAACTCCTTTCGGAAGCCCTCTCATGCTCTCAGGCTCACGCCCAGCTACAGAGTGGGGTGGTGATTCCTTGGTTCTTGATCTCGATGGTGATTAGCAAATCCGTCTGCGATATGTGAAAAGAAAACGGATTGCTGATCGAGGTACTAGACAAGCCAGAAGTCGTAGACACTCCTGCCAGGCCGTATGAATCGACAATCCCCCCCAATGCTTCATATCCTCTGAAGCCCAGTCTTAGTACCAGCCACGGCTTTAATGAAACAAGGGTCGCCAATGACCCCGCTGCTGGATTATCAGGCAATGGACTCTTTGACACTGAGCCTCATATAACGGCTGAGCTCAGTGCGATTTCAAAGCAGATCCAGAGAATACTTGACATGAGACGCAAGTACATTTCTCTTTCTAACCAAGGGCCAAACGACAACCCCAGGGATAATGCAGATTGGGAAATATACCCTCCTCCTCCTGACCCAGCATGGATCCACAGCCACGGTAATGGCACTGACGAGGCCGGGAAGCAAGGCGCAGGCTCTTCGACAACTACTACTGAACGAAAGAGGCCTGTCCGAAAAAGAAAGCCCGGCCACGACATTGGAGATGATTTCTTTTTCGAAGACTTACTTCCCCTGCCTGAAAACGGCGAGATGACCTTTGAAATGGACAGCGAAGGAGTCTATCAAGTGTTTGACACTCCAAGCAGCAAAACTCCCGCTATTCGCGTGCCTACTATCCGAGAATTCTACATCGACTTGGAAGAACTTCTCACAGTTTCATCTGACGGCCCAAGCAAAAGCTTTGCTTTTCGTCGACTTCAATATCTAGAGGGAAAATTCAACCTATATGTTCTCCTGAATGAATACCAGGAGACTGCCGATAGCAAAAAAGTGCCACATCGAGATTTCTACAATGTCCGAAAGGTGGATACGCACGTCCACCACTCTGCATGCATGAATCAGAAACATCTCTTGCGATTCATCAAGAGCAAGATGAAGAAGTATCCGAACGAAGTTGTGCTCTTCCGAGATGGCAAGCATCTCACCTTGGCGGAGGTCTTTGCCAGTATCAATCTGACGGCGTATGATTTGAGCATAGATACACTTGATATGCATGTAAGTCGCAAACCTAAACATCCTAAGCGGACTTAATCTACCAGCATGCCAGTATTCTGACCGACTAGGCACACACCGATTCCTTTCACCGTTTCGATAAATTCAACCTCAAGTACAACCCCATTGGCGAGTCGCGCCTGAGGACCATCTTTCTCAAAACCGATAATTTCATCCACGGGCGCTACCTGGCGGAGATTACCAAGGAGGTGATAGCTGACTTGGAATCCAGCAAGTACCAGATGGTCGAATGGCGCATATCCATCTATGGCAAGTCCATAGATGAGTGGGATAGGCTTGCAGCCTGGGTTGTAGACAATAAGCTCTTTTCTCACAACGTCCGCTGGCTCGTTCAAATCCCTCGTCTCTACGACATCTATAAAGCTAGCGGCTTGATGGATACATTTGAGCAGGTTATAAAGAATGTATTCCAACCCCTATTCGAAGTCACAAAGGATCCATCAAGCCATCCAAAGCTACATGTGTTTTTGGAGCGCGTTATTGGTTTTGACAGCGTCGATGATGAAAGCAAAATCGAACGTCGTCTATTCAAGAAGTTCCCTGTGCCCCGAGCCTGGGATACGAAGCAGAATCCCCCATACAGCTACTGGATCTATTACTTGTATGCCAACATGACCTCGTTGAATCACTTCCGACGGAGTCGCGGCTTTAACACATTCGTTCTACGACCTCATTGTGGAGAAGCAGGCGATAGTGAACATTTGGCCGTGGCAGCACTATGCTGTCATAGTATCAGCCATGGATTGCTTCTTCGCAAGGTTCCTCTGCTCCAGTATATCTTTTATTTGGAGCAAATTGGAATTGCCATGTCGCCGTTAAGTAACAACGCCTTGTTCCTTGCTTATGAACGAAACCCATTCCATCAGTATTTCAGACGCGGCTTGAACGTTTCTCTATCCACAGACGACCCGTTGCAATTTGCTTTCACCAAGGAACCCCTGATCGAAGAGTATGCTGTGGCTGCACAGATATACAAGTTGAGTCCAGTGGACATGTGTGAGCTAGCAAAGAATTCGGTAAAGCAGAGTGGCTATGAGAAAGCCATCAAGAAACAGTGGCTGGGCCAAGATTTTGAGAAGCCCGGGAAGGATGGGAACAAGATGGTGAAGACGAATGTGCCGGATCGCAGAGAAGAATTCCGCTACCATACACTCCTCCAGGAGAGAGACATGTAAGTGATTGGCATATTCCTCCCTTCGCGCATACATATACTTACTTCATCGATGTAGCTTGAGAAAATATCTTGATTACGGCTCTGGCGATGACCTCGTGGCAAATGGAATGCCAGGAAGCGCTCAAGCAGCAGAACCACTGGAAAATAAGACCCAGCCTTTCCCAGCTGCTACGGCGGCCGAGCCCAAGGATGGAGAGTCAGAGGGACATGTGTCGTTTGTCGACGCTCACACAGGAGAGCCTCTTAAGACGGATAATCACTTGTCTGGAAGCGACCCGATGATGTTCCCGGGGATCCTCGCCCGCGAGCATCGAAACAATAGTTCGAGAAACTTGGCCCAGAGTGATGATAGAGCAAAGTAGTGTTTTCGACGTAGGATATTAATGAAAGAAATCCACTCTTGCATGTTTTGTTGTTGTACAGTATTCACAGTGCATGATGCCAGTATATGCCCCAACCTACAATGAGCACCTATCAGCTTTATCGTATATATTGATACAGAGAATTTAAATCTCCCATAAATAACAAAATCATCCATGTTTATAATATGCTATAATATTGATTTCATTGAGTCGAAAAAATCCATTTTAATTGTCATTGCCACAAGCAACTGAAGAAATCCAACCCAAACTTCCCCACAGCGCTAACAGACCTCCCACCAAACCCAAAATCCACTCCCCGAGCCTTTCAGCCAGCATCTCATCATCATTCCTTCACATCGCCCCTCAAAAGTTTACCCATAACATCGCACCAGAATTCACTAGAGTTCACGCATTTAATCAATCTCATTCAGAAGCTTCTTTACAACGAAATAAATGAATCCACAAACGTCCACCCGCCCCGTCCAGAAGCTTTCCAAGGCAGTCGCCAAATGCGCGGTAGAGGTGGGCAAAAACTCCGTCATGCTTTCTGCCCCAGTTCTCAATGTTGTGCTAAGGAAAAACTTAGGCTGCTGCATATGGGAAATGCATCATGGCGGATTATAATGATGTGTACAAGGATAAATGCGCTCGAGAGTTTCTGAGGTTGAAAGACTGCTACCTGGTGAGTACACCAAATATCCTCCATCTACTTGCATACATTGCAGAGAGCTGACAGCTGCTTGTTCAATTGGTCACTACAGACAGCAGTGAGAAAGGTGTAAATAATAGAACAAAAGGGGGGGTTTTACAGAGACTTAATTCTAATGAACAATTTTTTTTTTCTATTTTCTATTTTACTTGTCTTTCATTCTTTTCCATGTATATGGCATTCTACATTTAGAGCTTTACAAGTCTCAGCAAAAGAGTGGCCTGCTGAACCTCTTGTTCCTCCTCCGCAATGAGCTCATTAGTGGCTCCCTCTTGGTGCTTCTCGACCGGCCGGCGAAGGACCTTCTCAAAAGCAGACGCCTGAGAAACAATCGCCTCCTCCAGTCCGATATTGTCAGGATCTGACAAGACCTTGTATTCCATCTTGATGTCGTCAGTGGGCTGCAAGCCAGCCTTCTTGCGCAGGCGCTGAACCCGGTTGATGATCTCTCTAGCCAATCCTTCTTGAGCCAATTCAGGGTGAATCTCCGAATCCAAAATGGTTAACAAATCGCTGTCAGTGTTGATCTCCAGCATCTTGGAAGCCTCATCCTCCTTTACGCTTCGGCGGACAACAAGATCTCCTTCCTCTAGACGGATGCCATCAACAATGATGAACTTTTCGGTGAGATAGCTCTGTGCTTGCTCACTGGTCAAGCCAGGCAAAGCCTTCTTGACACGAGCCATATCCTTCTTGAGCTTCTTGCCAAGCACCGGCCAATCAGCCGTCACACTGTATTGCACATTGTATTTTTCTTCGTCTGAAGTAAGTATCAAGTCTCTAACGTTAAGTTCTTCGGTGATGTAGGATTCGAGTGACTTGATGTCATCGAGGTATTGCTGATCGCGATGAATGACAACCAATGTTCGAAGAGGTGTCTTAAGGCCAATGGCTCTGCGCTCTCGAGAGACACGTGCCAGCTCAATGACTCGCTGCATTCTTGAAACTCTACGCTCAACTTCGGCATCGAACAGCTCTTGCTTAACTTCAGGGAACGGGAGGAAGTGAACACTGCGAGCATCTTCTCCCTGCAGTTCTTTGGGAATGTGCTGCACAAGCTTCAGGTAGATGGTATCAGACAGGAAAGGCGTGAAGGGGGCCAATCCTCTGCAAAGAGTGAAAAGCACCTCAAAGAGGGAGTTGAGAGCATGCAGGGTATCATTGAGGCCGTTTTCTCCCTTGAGACGGCGTCGGTTGAATCGAATATACCAGTTGGTGGTGTTGTCAATGAGCTCGAGGAGTCGAGGCACCACGGTATACAGTCGGTATCCTTGAATACATGTTAGCTCCTCGAAATTGATGTATGAAGTCTTCCAACCTCTCAGTACGTACCTTTCATCTCTTCGTTAACAAATTGAAGCAAACTCTGGCAGCTGGCCAGAATCCACTTGTCCATTACGTTGGTGTTCGTGGTTTCCAGCTCCGTGTTCCACTTGTAGTCCACTCCTTCAACCTTCTTCAGGAGCGCAACCTGGCCCTCAAAGAACTTGTAACTGTTCCATAGCGGCAGGAGGACCTTTTGAACAACTTCCCTCACTCCAGTCTCCTTGAATCTCAACGGCTCCGCTCGCACGACGGGAGAGTTGATAAGGTAGAGTCTCAGAGCATCGGATCCGTATTTGGTCATGACGATACTGGGGTCCGGGTAGTTTTTCAATCGCTTTGACATCTTCTTTCCGTCCTCAGCCAGAACGATACCATTCACAACGCAGTTCTTGAAAGGTGAAGTGCCAAACAAGTGTGTGCCCAGTACGAGCAAAGTATAGAACCAGCCTCGTGTTTGGTCCAGGCCTTCGGCAATGAAATCTCCAGGAAACGAGGCCTTGAACTTTTCAACATTCTCAAAAGGATAGTGTTGACTAGCGTAGGGCATGCTGCCTGACTCGAACCAGCAGTCGAAAACTTCAGTCACACGCTTCAGGGTGCCCTTGCCCATTTTGCTGGGGATGGTGATGTGATCGACCTTGTCTCGGTGAATGTCATTCAGCTCCCCAGTGTAGCCACTGAGTTCTTTGAGTTCTTCAACACTTCCCACGCAAACACGCTCTTCCATGTCGTCACTCACCCACAGCGGGATCGGTGTACCCCAGTAACGGTTTCGTCCAACATTCCAATCTCGAGCGTTCCGGATCCAACTGGCGAATCGGCGCTCCTTCACGAATGATGGAACCCAATGAGAATCTTCAATGTTCTGAAGCATGCTTGGGATGATTTCCGGGATGCGGATAAACCATGAAGGCAAAGCTCTGTAGATAAGGGGCGTATCAGAGCGCGGGCACATGGGGTACGAGTGACGAAGCTGAGATTCAACAATGAGTCGACCAGCCTGCTTGAGGTGCTTGATGATGTGCTTGTCGGCCTCCTTGCAATGCATGCCAGCAAAGTCGGGGACACGGTCAGTGAAGTGAGCAGTATCATTGAGAGGATCCGGAGGGGGGCGGCTCTCGCTAATGACACCGGCCTCAAGGGCCACATTGTAATCGTCCTCTCCGAAAGCTGGTGCTTGATGCACAATTCCCGTACCGCTATCCGCCGTGACATAGGTGGCATTCAGGACTTTGAATCCTACATCTTTGAAGTCTTCATAGAAGTAGTCAAACAAAGGCTTGTACTTCCACCCAAGCATCTCTGATCCCTTGATTTTGCCAAGTCTTTGGAAATCGGCCTTTTTGGGGTCCTTGTAAAGAGTAGTAAGAAGATTCTCCAGGATGATAAAGTTCTTTCCAGTCTTGCCATCCTTGATCTTGAGGTATTCGAAGTCTGGATGGGCGGCGAGACCGGTGTGTGATGGCAGTGTCCACGGGGTAGTCGTCCATGCCAAAAGGTGAGTCTCGGGATCGTCTACCAAGGGAAACGATACGACAACGGCGGGGTCGGTAACGTCTTGATAGTTTTGGTTTGCCTCAAAGTTGCTAAGGGCAGTAGTCAAGACCGTCGAGTAAGGCATAACTCGGTAGCCCTGGTACACTTGACCCTTTTCGTGCAACTGCTTGAAAACCCACCACAGGGATTCCATGAAAGTTGGGTCCATGGTCTGTGACAGCACATTAGTAATGCCCTCGGAGAGATGAATTGTGATTCTCGGCATGAGAGTCTGACCTTGTAATCGTTATCGAAGTCAATCCACCGTCCCAAACGTTCAATGGTAGTGCGCCATTCTGCAGCATATCGCATGACAATAGAACGGCATTCTTCGTTGTACTTTGCAATTCCGATCTTCTCCACAGCGGCCTTTCCGGAGATGCCCAGCTTCTTGTCAATCTCGTGCTCGATGGGAAGTCCATGAGTATCCCATCCGAATCTTCGCTCGACGTGGTAGCCCTTCATGGACCAATATCTCGGGATAATGTCCTTGATGGTGGAGGCCAGCAAGTGACCGTAGTGGGGGAGACCGGTAGCGAATGGCGGGCCATCATAGAAGGTATAAGGAGGTCGACCTTCGGACAGTTCCAGCTGTAGGATTTGTTAGAGTGCGTCACAGCAGAAAATAATTTATAATTCTTTGTTGACATACCTGACGGTGGAAAGCGTTGATCTCTCTCCATCGCTGGAGGATGGCCTCCTCCTCCTTGGGAAAGTCGATGGACATGATGCTATTCTCTCTCTCTCGCAAGTAAATGGAGTGGATATGAATAGAAGCGAGAAGTATGGTGGCCAAAAACAAGTAAACAAGGCAAAGGATGGCCCTTTATACTCCCACTGCTTGAGTCAAGAAATCGGCCTCGAGTGAGTCAAAAGTTCAAAGTTCGAAATGGAGGGGCAGTGGGAGATTCCTCAGAGGGTAAGTGGGGTTGCAGTCGCGCATTTGGACCGCACGGGGCACAGAAATTGCTTTAAATGCTGCTGCGCTAAGGCTGTAAGGGCAGCAAAAACACGAGCAAAGACACAGCAGTGGTAATTCTGCTAAACTGTAAGAAGTAGCATTCTGCATCATGTGTATTAGTACACCCGTACCGAGTACGGAGCACAGCTGATATAATCCGTTCAACAGGCGCGCTGACGCATCTCGATAGACATCCCTTAGTATTAACAGGCTGTCAACTTGGGCCAAAGAGCTCTGGATAGAGAGCCAGCAACCGCCAAATAGCGCCCGTGGATGGCTCTTTAGACGGCTGATATGACGCGAGGTTATGCCTAGAGGCAATCGTTTGGCAAATAGAGAGACAGACGACCGGATCCTCCCCAGCTCAGAACCCAACTCTTGACCATGTCGTTCTTGTTTGGGAGAGGCAGATCGCGGGCTGCTGCCGATCTGCCCAGGCAAGCTCGTGATCACATCATGAAGCTCGAAAGCCCTAACGGGGTCTCCAAGGTGAGTTGTCGGGATTCCTCGGGCCATCGCGGCGTTGCTTTCTGACACGACCAGGCTGAAGAGCTTGCTCGCGTGCTCAATCAGATGAAGGTCGTTCTCCAAGGCACTCAAGGTATGCAAATATACAGACGCCGCCCACGCTTCCTAGTACCGTTACTCTCCTCCGTCCCACTGTTCTCAGCCTAGCCATCTGGGTGCATTAACACTAGCCTAAGAAACTGAGAGCTCACCCGAGCAGATCTATCAGCTCGTCACGGCTCTGATAGACGAAGACCTGCTCCACCTGCTAGCTACCAACCTCTATCGCCTACCTTTTGAGTCGCGAAAGGATACCCAAGTGATCTTCTCTTATGTATTCCGCTTCCGGCCCGCGGCAGCGGCTCCCAAGAGCGACCCCATCGCCCTGTCTTATGTGGTGTGTAACAGACCACAAGTCTTAGTTGAACTCTGTCGCGCCTATGACCACAAAGAAAGTGCCACTCCTGCGGGATCCGTTCTCCGAGAGCTCCTCAAAAATGAAGCCGCCGCTGCCATAATCCTATATGACGACGGGGATGAACCCGGATCTAGTTGTAAAGGCCTGAATGCTATTGATCGCAACCGCCCTCAGAGCGGCCGCGGAGTGTTTTGGAAGTTTTTCGACTGGATCAACAAGAGCTCCTTTGAGGTTGCTGCGGACGCGTTTACGACTTTCCGGGTGGGACATGATTTGCTTACACCTAAACGCGAATTCTTTGAACCAGAGCTTTCTAACCGGTCAGTAGGAACTCTTGACGCGGCATAAAGACCTGATCCCGAAGTATCTATCCACCAATTTCGAGCTGTTTTTTGACAAGTACAACAACACTCTGGTCCAGTCAAACAGCTATGTCACCAAACGACAATCCATCAAACTCCTTGGCGAACTGCTGCTGGATCGCTCCAACTATAGCGTCATGACGGCTTACGTCGATAGTGGCGAGCACTTGAAAATATGCATGAATCTTCTTCGAGACGACAGGAAAATGGTCCAGTATGAAGGGTTCCACGTGTTCAAGGTTTTCGTTGCGAATCCGCATAAATCCATTGCCGTCCAGAAGATTCTTCTCATGAACCGCGAGAAGCTCTTGGTCTTTCTAGCACACTTTCTCGAGGACCGGACTGATGACGAACAATTCATTGATGAACGAGAATTTTTGATTAAGCAAATCCGTAATATGCCATCGACTCCCGTGGTCTCTCAACGATCTGTTAGCGCATCATAATGTATCTCGATTTCCTAGAGGGAGAGGAGGGGAGGAGGGAGCATAGTTAGAACTGATGTTATATGAGCGTCTTGCTATCCCTCCTTTTTTAATCACGGGGGTTTTTGTTTTGCTCTCTATCCTCATTTGTATTAGAGTTTAGCAATACTGGGGAGTTACGGCCACGTCAAGTCATCTGCGGGTCAAGGGGCGTGCTATTAAAGAAGATAATATTACAAACTGATTTGGTATGCGAGCAAAAACAGTTCAGCGGGATATGTATCATACCCCAGCTCTTGAACCACACTATAGCTCTCCGAGCAACATATCATGACTTGCTACTGTAGCTTTTCATCTATTTCCTTCCCACTCGTTCATCTGCGCCTCTTGACCGAAATCTGCTCAAATACAATACTGATTCGCAAAAAACCAAAGTGCAGCGCGTTCATCGTTGCCTAGAGAGCAGCACGTTGACGCTTTCGCGAGCATTTTGGCTGTTCCACACACTGTTGTTCCCGCCCCTACGCCACTCATCGCCAGCAACATTTTCGGCATCGCTTGCCGCTTCGCCCATGATGATTTCGAGATCGCGTTTTTGTGAACTGAGCCAACTCTTTACGAAATTGGCAGGGTCTTCGCTCAGCGATGAGAAGAAGGAGTGTTTGGCTTTAGACATTGAGATCGCCTGCACAAGCCTGGCCAGCTGCTCATCCAACGCGGTAATCTGCTTCAATGAGGCAGCGTATTGAGGGTTGTTCAACAAGGGGCGCAGATTAGCCTTGATAGGATCCTCCACCAGCACCTGAATATCATACACCGTAGGCTGAGGATTTTTGTGAAATTCTTCATCTACCCGGATCGTATACGGGAGAGATATGGGGGCCAGAGGGCGAAGGTGTGGCACAACATACTCGCCGAGCATTGGTATAACACCCGAATCTCGCCCGATAACCTAGGCTATTTAGTAATCGTGAACAAAAGAAAGGAAAGGGGAAGGTTGCTGGGTAGTTGCCCAGGTGCTGACCTTTTTCAGATATGAATCGCAACGAAAGTTACGCCTTTCTTCATCCTCTTGCAATCCAGATAGCCTGATATACTCCCACAGCGCCATGACGGCCTCGTGTTGCGTCGCTTCCTTCATATCAACGATTTGCGCGAGCTCGGGAGTCAACTGGTATCTTTCAGGCGACTCGTGTCTCTGTAAATTGATTGTGATATTCATATTCTCATCTCCATTGCGCTTGAAGGTGAATTCGTCAAAGTCAGCTTCAGGTGGCACGGCGGCACCTGCTTGGCCCTGCGAGGTTTCTGGCCGTCTCCATTCCACGTTATGTTCAGAGCCATTCCGGAACCTAGACCTATCGAAGTCGACAGAAATGGACTGAAAGAAGTGTGAAAATCGATGCTTCTTTTGGTTTGCCTCCGTACTGGTAGGCTTCTGGGTCGAACCGCCGTCTTCTTGTTTGTCTGCTGCAGGGGAGGCTTTGGGCGCCGCATCCTCGTCCTTTATCTGATCGTCTTCGTCCAGGAGATAGCCCTCGATCTTAACTCGGTAGGACGCCTCCGTAGCCGGCGTAAAATCGAAAGAATCAGCATTAAGACTGTTTCCTTGCCAGATCTGGTCTTCGACGGTATTGGTTATCCAGATTCGCAGGGTTTTCCGTAACTAAGAAACTGTAAGCCACCGTGCACAAACGTTGCGTCAAGTGGTGGGAACGAGGCTCACCTTGGAACTTCGTTTTGCGTCATCGAGCACATCAAGTCGTTTCCGTGTAATGGTAGCGTCAATCAGTCTCTCGATGTCTCTCAATTCCGCATATCTCTTGACACCATCCGGATCGATAATGCAGTCTTCCACGCCATCGGGAATATTCTTGTCTGTCGGTTTGCGACTTCTCCGCTTTGCTAATTCGCTGGCATGCGCCTGTGCTTGCTGTTGCTGAGCAATTTGCGCCTGTGTGAGAGGGACTGAGGGATGCGGTCCAGAAGACATCATGGGCCCTGGGCAAGTTAGAAGAAATGCGACTTGGTTGATGGACAGAGGGAGATGCGCATACCAATTCCGCCGCGCCGCTGGTTCGGGGGATGCGGCGACCGTTGCGGCGGCTGTTGGGCAAAGGCACGATACTGTTGCTGCATCTTGATAAGAAATCTCAATGGGGCCGGTAGTAGCAAACAAGAGCCAAATCGGTTGCGACTGCTCCAGGCTGGTGTAAAGTGAAACCGCGTCGCGAACACGGGCGGCGATCTCAGTCACGTGCTTGCGCCAATCAGGTTAGGAAAATGTAGATGACTACTCAAGTATCCAGTACCTCTAGTCTTAGTCGAATTTCCATGAAGTTACAGGTGCTCAGTACCTCTATGCCGTTGCATGCACCTTACTGGGGTGGTTCAGGCACAAGATCGTAGGCGATCGTCAAGCTGCATGTCGATCTAGTTATATTTCTACATCAAGGTCAGGACGACGTATTATTATAATTCTTGTTATCTTTGCCCTCGTTGTTTAGTAGTCCTTGTGAGGGTTTTTTTTTTTTTTTTTTTTCTAAATAACAGTCAGATTTGATATTTTTTTAATCAGTATCCGCAGCACCAGCCAATTCTAACCTTTGCAATGCCTCTTCTGCTTCTTGACGACGTGCTTCCTCGCGTTATCTCTCACCTCTCCTATGATTCTCGGCCACAGTCACCGTATTATTCGTCTTTGTATTGATGAGCCACACATTTTCTCTCGGACACGGCCAGTAGAGGGAATCTTCAGCGTGATACCAAGCCTCTGGCCCATCGGCACAGACAACGTAGATTTCTTGTACATTGCAAAACATGGCCAGCTCCAAATTCTCTTCGTGGAAATAGTATTCGTCACACTCACGCGCAAACTTTAGCCGACGAATGCGTGGCGCTTCTGGTCCGGTCCAGACAAAGCTGGATCTGCGGATAGAAACTATATCCATGTCGAAGTTGACCCAGACATAGCGAGGCTCAGTTCCATGCGTAAAGGCTCGCTCGTAATGCTGTGCGAGGAGACTACGGGCTTCGTAGCAGGTATGAAGCGCAGCCGGCACCAGCGTGGGTGAGGAACCATACAGAATACCAAGGCGTGTGGCGTGGCGCTTTTTGCCAAAGAGAACTCTGCCGATCTCGAAGCGAATCTCGAAGCGAATCTCGACGGTTCGCAGCTCGATAGTCAACATCCAGATTGTCGAGCGTAACTCGAATGGGAGATCAGAAAACTGTGTCATTGGTAAGGTTGTGCGGCCTTGGTCTCGGCCTGATGGTGATTTGAAGGGAATTCGACAAGAAGCACAGACGTGCAACACAGCTTGCACAGGTACATACTAGTAGGTATATACATTGATGTTTCTCACCTCAGTTGTTGTTCACTCACTTGACTTTCTTTACCGTGAAGATCGCGCTTCCCTCACCTGTGGGCCGCGTTTCTATACCGCCTCGCGCCCTGAATTACGGCATGACGCCTGCCACGGCCAAGGACTGCATCGATTGGTACAACAACGTTGATGGCAGAACATGCCAAGAAACCAGAGACTTATTCAAAATTAGCCCCGAGGAATTTACAAAATGGAAAGCTTCTGTCGTGTCAACCGCCAAATGTGGATTCGGGCATCCTCCTGTGTCTTTGGTCCGAGAGAAGCTTAGCAAATTGACATTTTTCCTACTACTTTAGGTGTGATTTTGTTATAAGTTTTTATAATAAACTCAGATACTATTCATGCATCTATATAGGTATGCTAATGTGGCTATGTACAGGTATTTAAACAAATATTTACTTCATGACCCTGCTCCTCCAAGAGCATTTCCCCGCGACAACCTCAATGTCCAAAAGCGCCTCAAAACAGGCAGCTTAGTTCAGACCATTCCTGATGTTATCATACTTGGAGTTGGGGTAGCTCAGCAAGTTCTGAGTCGTGTCCAGGCCTCCAAGAGCTCTGTGGCTTGTTCCAATCAGCGAGTCAGCTCCCTTCTTGTCGGCTGAGGCTTCCCAGAACATGCTACCTCCTAGGCCGAGAGACTTGAGGTAGGCAACCTTGGTGTTGATCATGTCAGGGGTATCGAAAGAGATGAGCTCCTTGGTGCCGGCGTTGTAGCTGTAGTAACCCTTTGCGACAGAGTCGTACTGGATGGTGGCGCCGGCCTTGGGAAGAGCCTTGTAATCCCAGATACCGGCCTCCCAGCTTCCAGTGGAGCCACCACCGCCACCTCCAACTCCGTTGTAAGTCTGGCCAATGCCAGCGGTGTTCTGGAATGATCGTCCGTAGATGGGCATGCCGAGAACAATCTTGTTGGCGGGAACACCTCCATTGATATAATCCTTGACAGCAGAATCGGTGTTGAAGGGTGTGGCATTGGGGTTGGACGGGTTGGCAAACAGGTTGGCGTCGTGACCGGTGAGGGGGCTGAAGGATCCAGCGTAGTCGTAGGCCATGAGGTTGATGTAGTCGAGGACTTGGCCGAGATCAGCCAGGCGCAGCTTGGAGTAGTTATCCTTGCCAGCTGGGGCGGCAATGGTGAGGAGGAAGTGGTAGCCAGGGGCGTACTGGGCAGCATAAGCATCCAGCTGAGATCGGACTTCCTTCAGCAGAAGAACCATGTTGGAGGCCTGGGTGGCGTCTGCAGGGTACTCCCAGTCGACGTCAATGCCATCGAAACCCCAATCCTTCATGAAGGTAATGGCAGTTTTCGCAAAGTTCTTTCGGTTGGCATCCGTGCTTGCTGCAGAAGGGAAGTTGGTGGACCAGGTCCAGCCACCGATGGAGAGCAGAACCTTGAGGCCTCGGTTGGCCTTCTTGACCTTGAACAGCTGCTTGGCACAGCCGTAGGCATTGGTGCCGACATCATTCCAAGCTAGTGTGAGTGTAAGTATGGATGCATAGCATCTAGCTATGAGAGGGAAACGTACAATCATCGGCATAGTGCTTCTCGAAATCAGCGTAGGTATCGCCAGAGACACTGAAAGACAATTAGCAACAAGAAAGAGGATTTTGGAGATGTATCCTATCTGGGTTATCTGGCTTACACTGTGCCGTCTGCCTGGAGGTTCATGAATGAGTAGATGACATGAGTGACATCTGATGCCACCAAATCGGCAGGCTGGAAGTTGCGGTCGTAAATGCCCCTTTAATCGCTTATCAGTAGTGAGACTATGGAAGCTCGTTGATTTCACTCACCAGTTGGTGAAATAGACGGAGTTTGCGTATCCGTTGGCTCTCTTCTCAACAGAGCGCTCTTCTGTAGCTAGGGGGCTTGCAGAGCTGAGAGTAGCCTGCAGCGCAGCCAGCAAGGCTACGGATTTTCCGAGAAAGCTCAACATGGTGAATTGCTTGTGATGTTGGTAGATTGTTCAAGCTTTCCAATGCTGGATTAAACTTTCTTCTGAAGCGCTGAATGGGAACCAACGATGTTTATATATCTGGCTGTGGAGCTTCAAGGTACATGTATGTGTACTCTATAAGCATGATGCTCACTTATGAAGCTTCCCCTTCAGATCCTTGGCACCAACATGTAACCCATGCTTCTTCAATAGTGCTATGGCTTGCAATCAATGGCAACGTTATGCCCCAGAGCTCATGGTTCTCAAGGCGTGCCACCTCTGCCTCGTGCTCAACGTCCAGCGGCTGTCGACTGGCATGGATAGGCATGTCCCGGCGCGAACCAAATCGAGGTGGCAGTCATGATTAGCTTCAGCGCCATATCAATTACAGGCATCTCATACCCTCGCCAAGTCTAGCAACGTTGCTAATGGCGGCAGGAAGCCAGTTGCTCTGATATGCTTTTGGGCGATACCCGGCTTCCCGGGGGAAGGGAATGTCTCAGGCAGGGGTCATTCTGCCAGGCACGAAGCGCCGGCTGATGGGGCTACAGATGGCGGAAAGCCGCCATGTGCTCAAGATGCATCCCATTGATCGGACCTACTTGGACTGGTAGGGGGCACATGTAAGTGCATCTCGCGCATCTGGTGATGCCCCTCTGCAGCAGCTGCGATTCCTCAAAAGGCGCATATGCACGAATGGAGCTTATCGTGATTGGCGGCTGGCTGGAGATAGTTGTTACAACGTGGTATCTCGACTATCTGCTGCACTCTGCTGGAATTCTCGACTGCGGGCGTGATCCTGCTAGAGGTGCTAGAGGGACTCGATTTCCATATCGCGCCGAGGAAGTAGTTGGATTTTGCCGATTTGGGCAGGAGATAATGGGGTTACAGCGGGCCTGCCTGGATAAGCGCTCCGAGGCCAAGGAATTGCTTCCCCTGCATCTCCATCTTAGAGGTACATGCATGTATACAACGCTGAGCTCTCGCGTCATGTTACCTGGTAGTACTAGTACGAGTACTCGACAATATATTGGTAGTACGGGCGTAACATTGGCTACCAGAGAAAGAAAGAATCCAGCTGTCATCTTCTGCGGAACAACCCCACGGGGGACCTTAGCAGGGCGGTTACGGCTCTTTTCTCTTTAAAGGGCATGCATACGCGGGGGGCAGTACTACCTACCTACCTATCGGCCGGCGAGAAGCAGCAACTATCGATATCCATGGATGTACCTCCACTGGATGGGTAGATAACTCTGAATGGCATCATCTTTGAATTGCCTTATGCATCTACCGACCGATATTACCCCAGGCTGCCTTCTACTAACCTTTGTCAGTAGGTAAGCATCCCAGACGCCCTACCAAGGCTGACAAGGAGATGCCCGGCACGCAACCGAACGCCTCAAGAAAGAAAGCATAAGAAATAAACATCAGATAATTCTACGAAATGAAACACCACTAGCTGACATCCGCTGATATCGACAAGGAGCAAGCAGTCCTTGGTGGAGGAGACGAATTTGCTCCGTGATCTGACTAACTGGGTGTTGAAGTTGTGACCTACCCAATGGGGAATCGTCGTGACTGGAAAGGCCGCCTGGGTGTCAAGCGGAGAATACCAACGGTGGTAGTTTGGCCGCGCGAATCAGCATTCAATATAAGCTAGTAATTAAGGTAAAATACTAGTATATTCCGTTGTGAGGCGGGGCGTTGAATAGCACTTGGCCAACCCTGTAATTTATTATCGACCTTCCAAGTTGTCAACTCGGCGGTTATTAAACTGCCGAGCCTCTTCATGGGCTGGAGAGAGCACGCGTAAGCCTCACTCCGTGTGCCTACAAGAGGTGCAGACTCGTGTGCACGTGTCTACCCGGCACTGTATTTATGATAAACCGAAGTAATCAGATAACAGGATAACAAAGGGGATTTCCCAGAATAAACCTCATGTGGACAAGCAAAGAATCAAATATTTACTACTAAATAGATAGGCTGCATGCAGATTTCATTGGGGTTAGTATCAATTACTATGTATTTACCCAGAAGGTCTCCTCAAAGAGTTGCTCTCGTTGTAGTAGACAAGATGAGTCGCCTGATATGCCCTATCGGTGCCCAAAACACCATCATCAGATACTGCCACCGCCTACCTTCCGTCTTTAGCTAGCCTCCTAGCCTCTCTCTCCCCAAGAGATGCGCAGGAATGGCAGGCTGCCCCAATGACGAGTGTTTCTTGTTGCAATCAATAAACAAAAGACGCAGTAGCAAATGCAACATTGGATGGTAGCGAGGGCAAGAACGCCATACACATACAGCTAACTCTATCTTCCGGTCGCCAACATGTCCCTTATTGGCTGTAAGCCTCTTCTCTCTTCCTATAACCATCTCCACCAGAGATATCTTGGGTGGTCGACGACGATGTACTAACCGGTGGCAGGTTGGGCGATCGATATTTCGCAGCCCTTGTATTGTTACAGAGCTAACCATTCGATGAACTGGATCTCGGTCGCCGAAATATTTTGTTCCGTGTGTTTATTTGGCAGTATCATCTAGACAGTTTCGACCTCACCTAACTGGACAGACTGGGGTTCGCAGCAAGTGGGCCGGCTAGCAGCGGTTGGTTCGTGCCATGACTTCTTCTACGGTCCCTGAGTTTAAGACGACGAACAATGCGGGCTATGATCGGCATGAAGGCGGGAGTGTGCCAAATGTCACCTGCCTATTTCCTAGGTCTGACTCTGGATATGGCTCATTAGACGACTCACCACACCACCCCAAAGCCGATTATGTTTCGCATCTTGACGGGGCTGGATCTCGCCATAGCCCAGGGCTGTCAGCTGGGAGAGCGAAGAAAGTGGCATCAACACGCCTTGTCAGATCGAACCAGAGCCCGTGCTCAACTCCAACGCGTTATTGTCCATTCCTTGCCTGGAGCCCGCAGCAGCTGAGTCCGCTGCCTGATTGCAAAGATGACGCAAAGATACTGCTCTCTCAGCAGAAATGCGTCACTGGAGGTCCACGTACTCCAGATAGATTTGTCCCCCGACGGGATAGCGATGAGTCTAGCCGGCAGGTGTATCAGACGACAAAGCCGCTTCAGGATCTCTCACCAGCCGAGAAACTACTGAGAAGAAAAGGGGTCTCCTTGGCTCAATTCTCCGCACCTCAACGTCCTCCAGCCCGTGCCTTGGGTAAAGCCCACATGGCACTGGTTGGCCACCCACTCAGTCAAGGTTATTCCAACTTGAAAGGGGGGGAACATGGCTGAGGATGTTGACTTGCTGACTTGATATTCATAGGTGGGGGTGCATTGTCAAATATCCGTTCAGAAACCAGACTGGCCAGCCAAGGCAATGTATGGAGAGTAGGTGGTCTTGCTCCTACAATGCCTGAGATGGACCGCAGCCGCCGCCGCCCACTCTCAAACGGCACAAGCGCTCGTCTCTTTACCATGTCCGTGGCTACAGCGAAGCCTAGCCGCCGCGATGACTTTCGCTTTTATCATGGCCGCGTTGCGTCTGCACTGAGGATTGACCGCATCCGCCGCGTACTGGAGTTTACTCGTGGGGGTCCAATGATCCCTAACTTCCCGACTCGGACGATGTCGCTCTTATCAGACTAGGAGCTTGCTTCTTGGGCACGTACTGATGATGATGACGGTTCAGATGAATTTCCTGGTACGAGGCTAGGGCTGCACTGTTTAACTCAAAATAACGACTCATTAATCTTTGGTTAGGCAATTGTAATCCACTGCCGAGGCGATCTCTTCCTGCGGCTCCTTTTAGGTATTCGACTTTCTGATTTGCAAACCTGTCCAGTCAAGCTAACGTGTGCAAGAGTCCTTGATGCACCGGATCTGCGTGATGATTTCTACTGTTCTGTTCTGGCGTACTCGCCAAATAGCCAAAAGCTTGCGGTTGGCCTAGGAAATATCCTATACATCTGGTCTAAGGGGTCAGGGCCTCGAGCTATCCATGGATCTGCTGCGTCTCATGTATGGCTTACATCCGTTTCATTTTCGTCAGTTCAAGGAGGAAAGTGTATTCTGGCTATAGGACGATCGGACGGAACCTTGGTGCTCAAGTCCACTTATGACGCCCTCCCTCGCTTCCAGGTGCAACAACCCTTCCCGGTGTCTTGCGTGAGCTGGAGGCCGATAACCACCCTGAGGCCTTCCAGAAACCCATTCAACCCTGGAATCGCTGTTCAGACCGAGGACTTGGTCATTAGTGATGACACTGGCGTGATATACTACTACGTGGTAGAGTGGCCAATGGGCTGGGAGGTTACACGAGATACCTGGCCGGGGACCATATATCTTATCGCCAAAGTTTCACTTCACAGCCAGCAAATATGCGGCCTGTCTTGGTCGCCCAACGGAAGATTCTTCGCTTCTGGTGGAAACGATAACTTGTGCTGTCTCTTTGATACAGACAGCGTGCTTATCGAGAAGCAAGAGTCTGCTCAAAACAGCGCACAATGGTCAGGATGGCACTTGGCCAACGGCTGCACCAAAGAAGGCTTGCTTGGCCAAACAAGATGCCCCTTGCCCCCAGGACGCCTGCTCAAGCAAAATCATGCCATTAACTAGGAGAATGCAGCCAGCGTTCGACCTGCCAGGCCATCATCCGTGGCGATTCGGAGGTTGGGCCCCGGATCCGAGAAACATCGCTGGATACACAAAGCTGCAGTCAAGGCCATTGCATTCTGCCCATGGCGCGAAGGACTGGTTGCAACGGGTGGTGGGTCTAATAATAAATGCATCCACTTCTTCCATACAACTTCAGGCTCAGCTTTGGCTACAATCGCAGTTTCAGCTCAGGTAACGGCCCTCATATGGTCGTCGACCAGGCGCGAAATTGCTGCTACTTTTGGTTATACAGAGCCCGAACATCCCTATCGGATAGCCGTATTTAGCTGGCCGGAATGCAGGCAAGTGGCGGCGATCCCATGGGACGGAGATCTTCGAGCATTGTATGCCATCTCGTATCCTCGGTGGCCGGCCAATACGAAGGCCATGAAGCACGATCAGAAACTTCGCGAGGGATGCATTATTGTTGCCTCGAGCGACAAGAGTGTCAAATTCCACGAAATCTGGGGTAACGAGGGCAAGATGCCAGGGGGAGGAACAGGGATGCTAGGAGGCAGCAGCATTCTCGAAAGTCTTGAGGGTATTGACAAAGAGGGTGATGTGATTCGTTGATGGCTCTTCAGCGTCTTTCGTGAGAATTCTAGATTGCAAGACCAATAATCATACCTATTTATATAGTAGTACATCCACTCCGGATGAAAACACACCTAGGTTGTGGAAAAAAAAAAAACCATAAAAATAAAATCCTATATAAACATATATGGTGATTATCGGTGCCAGAGATCTAGGAAATTAGGTGTGCGCCGTACACAAGCATCCCAAAAATCGCAACCAGAAGAAGGCAGAAAGCCTCAACGCCAACGCCAGCCTTGTATGTTAACCCAGCACTTACTTATGTCTTGTCAACTCATTTCAAAATAGCAATCAATAGCACAAGAATAACAATGAGGATGAAGATGATTGCCATCTGCTTGTTGTCCGATGCGCTCCTCGCAACTTTTCCCAAAGCTCTCTTTGCCCGATCTAAACGGCTTTGATGGCGACCAGTGGCATGGTCAACTTCATCCAGAAGTTCCATGTGGCTCTCTAGTTCATCTCCGATTTGCATGCTGAGCTCCCGCTGCCGGCCGATGGATGCCCCTAGGCGATCAAGATGGTCGTCTTGCTCCTGTAAGATTTGGTGATGGTATTCGTGGATTTGCTGATTTGATAGGCCATTGGCATGGTCGCTATATCCCGTTGACTCTGAGGAGGCGTTCGGATCGTCGGTGTAGCGTCCGTATAGCTGTTGGTTTGGTGATGGGGGCGCTTCGCTGAATCGTACCGTCTTTGATTTGCGGTTGGATCTGTTGGCCGGGTCTGCCTCTTCGCTGGCGTCTTGGTCGGATGGCGGGTTGGAGGATGGGTTGGAGAGCGACTGGTACTGAGATATTAACTCGTCGAACTGCTTGTGCAGCGCCGGAAGAGAGTCCGTAATAGTTTGTGCGGCACTGCTTTAAGAATTAGTAAAAAGGGGGCAACTATATAATTCAAGGGGGAAAACGGACGCTTCATCGCCAGCTTGTTGGAGGCGAGCGCTCTCCTGGTCTAACGAAGCAATGCCATTACGAAGCTGGTCAAACGAGCGCGAGATGTCACCGCTGAGGGAGGTGTCGTCGGGATTCAAGGACTGGGCGCGCTGCCACTCAAGCAGGGAGAGCTTGATGTGGTCGGCGAGCAGGAAGAGCTGCGATGGGTTGGACATGTTGCGAGGGGTTTTTGGATATTGTTGGAAAGCATCAAACAAAAAAGTTTGAGGGGCCGGTTTTGCTTTGCGAGAGAGGGCATCGCCGGGGAGGTACAAAGGTACTTTTGGTGTTCAGTGTGTCCGCTTTGAGATGGAGGCAGAGTTGCGACGCAGCGAGGCGCTAAGCGGGCTACCTCGGTACTTGCGGCGTGTTGTAAGATTGGGTGTGCATTCAAGTACCTCTTGTGAAATATAAACCTTGGGTAATTTAAATTTCATAACACGAGTCTTTCTGTATTCAATTAGTTACTAGCTAATTTACCTTTTACCTGATGATTTACTTTTGAAGTGGGAGATGTAGAGTTTGTATGTAAAGTATAACTTGAAGATATTGACCCCAATGTACCTAGACCAGTGTACCTGAGGTATGCGGAGCACGGACCTCCAGTGCTTTGCAGCACCCTACCACTAAACTAAGCTCTAATAACGCGCCATGATTTGGTTGGCCTGTCGCAACGTCATCTGGATTCACTCATGAACCTGCGCATTTATCATGCTTGCCATCGCAATCCTCGAGCTTACATCTGGACAACCTTTCGCTAGCCTACTGGACCCTCGTCTTCCAGTAGCATGAGCATCGTCCTGCCGGGTAAGCCGCAGTCAAGACTCCAAGGTCTGGCTATTGGTTATTGGAACAACTTACACCTGAATGTAAGATTGTCTTATCCCTGAAGCTCGGAGCTCCAAGCTCGAGACCTCTCGATACAGCAGCAGCTTGCTTACCATGTGCTCTTCCAACCACAAAGGCATACATTACCGGGAATGCATTTACCATCCTCGATGGGTTGCAGACGATCCTTCAAACGATATACGACGACAATGACGAACCGCTGCAGGCAATAGCCATTGACGAATTGACGGGCAAAATCGCGACGAGCACGGCGACGCAAGTTCGAATCTATAAACCATTGGGAGGGCTACAGGAAGATGCAGTAAAGGTCACATCATCCTGATCATTTGCAGTGTATGAGATATGAACTCACATTTCAACAGTGGGCGCTCCAAGTCACCTTCGACGTACCTCAGGATGGCGCTGGAACAACATGCGCATTGTCTTGGGGCAGCTCAGAGGAGCTTTTAGTTGCAGGCAACTACCTGTCTCTATACTGCACTGGGGAGCACCCCGGGCGCTCGTGGGAGCACTGGCTTCCTAGCCCTGCGAAAGCCGCGACACTATCGTATGACTCGGCCTATATTGCCTCTATCGCTGACCACGACTACTTCACCAAAGTTTGGCGCCGCTTGACCTATGGCTCTAATGACGTTCGATTTGACTTGGCCTACCTGTCTCACCCAGATGTTGTTACAAGCATCAGATGGCGCAAGCCCTTCCATGTTGAACAGACGTCGGGCAATGTCTTGTACACCAGCTGCTTAGATGGCCATGTACGTGTGTGGATTCCAGTCGATACGGCAAATGGTTGGCAATGGCAACTTTGGGGGAAAATCAACGTCACCGAATCAATGCCAAGCGGTACCCTTCCGCAAGAGCCATGGCTGGCTTGTATTATCGATGGGCGAGATTTCACAGCTTCCGTGGAAAGGGCCATAGAACAGCGAATGGCAGATGACAGCAGCACTGATGATGTAGCTTTGGATCATTTGGTAGCCATTGCGAACAGGGGCCCTGAGATATGCCTCGCCATGAATCGGTCAGGCTTCCTGACTGCTTGGGCTCTGGAGAACGTCGGTAGTACGTTGGCGGACGATCGCCAAATTTTCAACATTGCGCAGACAATATCACCAGGACTGGAAAACCTTTCTAGCCTTCTACCCTCGAGCGACTTATCTCATGTGGAAATCCAGACGTATTGTAATCGAAAGAATGGACAGTTGCGGATACTACTTCACGTTTTTGATGGCAGGATAGCCATATTTGAATGCAGCGCTGCAGATTTATTTGATCCTACTACCAATGATAAACGACTGCTGCTTCAATCGATATGGTCCGGCCACTCTGCATCAATCAGAAAGATAGTGCGCAATTTCAGCGGCCGAGCGGCGGTATCGAGAACAAGGGATGGCGAAACCGTCGTGTGGGATCACTCGCCAACAAATACGGTTGGATCCTCACATGGGTTCCTCAATTTCCGTCGCCGCAGCGTTATTCCCGAAGCCGGCCATATTCACCGCATTTGCGTTCTCCGTCAAGGTCGATTTGTCGTTTTACACAGGAAGAATGTTATATCACTTTGGGATTGTCGTCATGGAAAGGGTAGTATACTCGCCGAGTGTACGTATGAGGCACCGGGCAACCCTCTTTGCCTTATAATTCTGCCTAAGCCACAGGATGCAAACTATAGAACTGCACATATGGCCATGATAACGTCCAAGGGGCATGGGATTGTCTGGCAGCTCAGTCTTCCAAACTATGCTAAGGATTCAACAAGTACCCTAGGAGCGGGCATTGAACAGTTTTGCCAGTTTGATATCAAGTCTGATGAAGACTTGAAGTATGTTCTTCCTGTTGATCCTGCGGGTTCTGGTCCTATAACATCTGGATTTCTGGACGTCTTTGCCCGGGATATCGCCATATCCTGTACTCATACCGGCCGAATCGACCTCTGGACAGCTCGTGTTGATTTGGAACGCAAGAGCGTTGGATGGCTGTCAACGTGTAATGCTGAAACGGGATTCTCGGAACCAGCATTGACTAGCGGCAGTATGCTCAAAAAGGTTGCAATAGTAAAGTCAAATAGGTCGACTCTTGCTATATGGGATGTTGGTGGATCCCGTCTCGAATTCGATGAGGACTATCATTCGCAAGATGCTATCCAGGATCTTGATTGGACTTCAACTCCCGACGCTCAATCGATCTTGGCTGTTGGGTTTCAGTATCGTGTTCTTCTCTTGTCTCAAATGCGATTTGATTACTTAAATAAGGGCGCCGCTTGGGCACCAATTCGCGAGATTAGCATCCGTGAACTGACACCCCATCCGATCGGAGACTCAACATGGCTTGGTCATGGCCATCTACTTATCGGAGCGGGCAACCAGCTATTCGTCTATGATCGACGTGTCCGTGCTGAAGAATCACTTACCACTGATCTTAGACTGCCCCATCGTCAGGATGGAACATGGGATCTCTTCGAGGCTGTACAGAGATTTAACGGACCTCTCCCTGTTTTCCACCCGCAGTTTCTTAGTCAATGCATCCTCGCAGGAAGGAACAAGCTCGTGCGACGAATCCTTGTGGAGCTTCACAAGACATTGAAATTTCTTGTTCCAGGAGAATCTGTGGATAATCATCTGGGAATTGACTTGCAAGAGTTTTATCTACCCGCAGTTGTATGATACATCCGTTCTCATTTATGCATATATAGATATTCAGCTTACCATTTGTACAGGAAAATAGCAGCCAAGCATTCCATACGGGGCTCAGCTATTTAGATTCAACCGCAAAGGAAGAAGACGAAGAAGTTTTCACCGAGGAGATTGCCACTTCAATCAACGAAAGGCTTACGCAGCTAGGTATCCCCCAACTCTCAGGCCATGAGCAGATTCAATTAGTAGGCATAATTGAGTGTGTAGCATTGGTGGAGAGAGAGCGTCGCTCGATAGACGAGAATGGAGCCCGTTTTATGCTATTTTTCCGACAGCACGCACTTCGAAAGGGGCGCACCAATGAGATACAGCTTTCTTGGAGAGAGATTAACTGGGCGTATCATTCCGACAGCCAGGACATCCTGTCGGAGTTTGTGTCTCGACAGAACCATAACGTTTTGCTTTGGGAGAACGCTCGAGAAAGCGGTATATTTATGTGGCTTACTGACATGCAGCAATTGGTATGTGAATTGACGTAACGAATCATGGCTGAAGTACTAACATTGAGTAGCAAAAAACATTCGAGGCCGTCGCAAGAAATGAATACACCAAGAACGGGAATAGAAGCCCCGTGGAATGCAGCCTGTTCTACATTGCGCTTCGTAAGAAGACGATACTGCAGGGACTTTGGCGAATGGCTGCCGGAGACAAAGAGCAAGCCACAACTCAGAAGTTCTTGGGTCACGACTTCGAGGAACCCAGATGGCGTACAGCTGCGTTGAAGAATGCGTATGCGCTATTGAGCAAGCGACGGTTTAGTAGGTTGAATCACCAAGACTTTGAGGGGGTACTTTCTAACAAGCAACAGAATATGCGGCTGCCTTCTTTTTATTGGCCGACCAGCTGGAGAATGCTGTTGAGGTCTGTCTTCGTCAATTAAGAGACCTACAGCTGGCTATTGCAATCACCCGCGTATACGAGGGCAATGATGGGCCCGTACTACGAAAACTACTGCACGAAGAAGTATTGACAGTCGCATCGCGTGAGGGCAACCGCTGGCTCGCATCTTGGGCATTCTGGATGTTGGGCAGAAAGGATATGGCAGTGAGAGCGCTTGTTGTGAGTATTATCGATCGAAAAGAATGACTTGCAGTTTACGAAGCGGTACAAAGACTAACGGATATATACACTAGACTCCCATATATACCCTCCTTGAGACACCTTCCTCGCCGGATTTAAAATCTCGGTCTTTCTTAACGGATGATCCCGCTTTAGTCGTGCTTTATTCTCAGCTGCGACAGCAAACGCTGCAAACGTTACGAGGGGCGTCCAAAGTATCGCCAAAAGTGGAGTGGGAATTTGTTCTTCATAGCGCAAAGCTTTACGATCGTATGGGTTGCGATCTTCTTGGCCTTAGCCTAGGTACAACACATCTTCCTCTTCTTTATTCATAATCTAGCCGGATAGCTGACAGGGTATTACTAGTTCGAACGTGGGAGTTCCAACAGCAAACAACGACTGGACTCGGAGGCGACATGAACCCATTGACGCTCCTGAGACGAAGAAGCTCGCTCGTTGTCAATGATCTCCACACATCGGAGTTACACGCAAAGATAATGACTGAGCGTGAACAGGTCACGCGTCCGGTGGCGCCGCCCTCGGCTTTTCACGAGCCAGATGCTGCGTCATTGCTTGATAGTTTTGGCTTGTAGAGCAAAGTAATTGTATATACACGAAGGGTTCAATGGAGAAAAATTTTGGTATGGCGGGGTGGGAATAAGTATCACTGATCTTGTCTCAATAAGCATGTTTCTTGTATCCGTCGTAATGATATCCTGGGCTGGAACTCTGCTCACTAGAACTAGCCTGTTTCCGTATTGGCCAAGCCCCCTGTTTTATGAACGTTCCACGTTCATGTGAATATTGTCGTCCAAGTCGATAAAAATAATTAATCAACAGATTTGTTGGCCATACTAGGGAATGCAAGACTTTAGTCGACATAATCATCCTCCCCATCTCCACCCTTGCCATTGGCATCCTTGCGAATGGGAATCTTGATGCCCTGAGCAGCAAACGTCTTGCTCAAAGGCGTGCTTTCGCAGACTCCGGGGAATTTCTTCGCGGAATAAACATTAAACACCTCGCTAAAACATGATGCCAATATCGGAGCCCTTCCTGTATTGACCTTGCCAGCCCCTCCGGGAGCGCCAACGTTGACAAAAGAGAATCGTAGACTATGCAGGCACGTTAGCATCTCCGCTTGTATGAGCTGCGCCAAGAAACCGCCTTACCGAAATGGTCCTTCTGTTCGGACACTCAGATCTTGCAGGACAAACCAAATACCGAGATGGTCCGTTGTATCGGTTAGGCGAAAGGCGCTCGCGGCCAAGCTGCCTATGAGATTCCGTGTGAACATGCCCTGAGGCTGGCCACCGACCACGGCCATTTTCGTCAGGGAGTTTGGATCCATATATCCTCCAAAAGCCGTTCCAGGGAGCCCCGCATCCGAGCCATACGTTTGATGCCGTGGAAAATACTGTGTCGGGGGGCCGTATGTGGTAGGTTGATACGCTGCAGAGCCTGCAAATTTTTGATTAGAATGGTCTGCAAATTATCAATACAAGATGGACAGTCTTCGCGACAAGTACCTTGGGTGTTGTAAGTAGACTGGGGAGGCTGAGGAGGCTGAGTCTGGTATTCCGGGGGGTAGTTTGCAGTGTGTGGCAGACTATAAGTGGCGTCACGACTCGGGGGAGGGATATTTTGGCCGTATGTCGAGTGCGAGCTATCTGCAATTGTGATGGATGCATATGGATACGATACTGCGGTTGCTGATTGACTGCTTGTGGAAGAGCGAACGAGGTTGACCTCGCGTGTGCCCTCTTCGTTCCATAGATCAACGTTGAGTACAAACATGGAATGGTCAATATCACTGAGATTGAATAGGTTAGAATGAGCCTAAACTCGTCGACATATCAGACCGCACTAGGCTGTACATACTTGCAGTCTATCTCCTTTCCGGTAGCGAGATCGGTGATGACAAGCCGTACGCAGGGCGGTGGTGTAATTGGCCGTCGATCCTATGGGGCTGTGAGCAGTCTGGTGGAAGTCGATGCATGAGGGATGACCAAGAGCAACTGACCTTGTCACCGAAGCCGCACATGCGGGCTCGTCGAGGCTGCTGGACTACATCAAGGCTTGGAAGCTGGATTAGCTGCGTTCGATCAAAAGGATAGCAGCGCGTTGAGGCAAACTAACTGGTACTTGCGACCCGTAAGCTCGTCGCTCTTTGAGAATGGAACGAGCATACTTGCCGACCCAACCTGCTGTCCCTCGGCGTGGATCAAGGCACTGAACGATTCGCGAGATCCGGATTGGCGTTCGAGGACATGCTGAGGAGGAAGAGAAGGAGGAGGAGGAGGAGGCTGCTGATCCCTCTGCTCGTTGGACGCAGGGTCCAGCACCCGCGGTGGCAAAGGCTCATGCTGGTGTTGCTGGGGGTGTGTGTTGTAGGCGTTGATGGGTGGCGGCAGCTGGTGGTCTCGTTCCTGGTGATGATGGCCCTGGACCTGGCCCTGGCCCTGGTGAGGTTGAAAGTGAGGCTGCAGGTGTGGAGGAGCTTGACTCTGGATTGGAGAATGGGGTCCAGCTCCAGCACCAGTAGGAAGTGGATGGCGCGGCTGGTGATGGTACAGATGGTCCAGAGACGCGGAGTTTGACGCCGAGCTGGGACTTACAACTGGAGGGAGAGACGGCACAGAGCCATGGCCTCCGATAGGCGCCTGCCGGGGCGCATCCGAAGAGCCATAGGCCGAGTTCATGGTTTCGAGGTCGGATGGTCAACCGAAGCTGGCATTACCTGTGGATATTCTCAGACAAAGTGACAGACACGGAGCATACAAGTCAGGTAAGGATGCAGGACTCTAGCGGCCTGCCTAGCCCTGAAGCGGGATAGCAGTATCCCACTCGAGGCTGTCTTGTCTTGGGTTAAAGAGATGAAGGTGTTTAGTGGGAACCTGGCGCGTGCTTGGTTGGGATGGAGTTTATGTTGGAATTCATATATTACCTTGCTCGGAAAGGGCTTAGTCGTATCGACGCGTGCGGGCAAGACTAAGATATTCGTAGATGACTAATAACCATTCTAATTTAGAACCAGGTGTATTTTGTATTTTGTTTTTAAAGTGTAGCATGTGGAATATTTGTTAATAAAGAAGGTTATTTAAAAATAATTCTAAAATTTGATATATTACGCATTCTATAACCATTACCTATATAGTTAAAACAGGTAAACTTAAAAGTATAAATTCCAGCCGTCGTCTTGAAAACAAAATATAATAATAACAAAAAAAAAATAAGGATAAAAATATAAAAAACAAAAGTCTAACCAATTACCATACAGCATTCCCATAATTCGAAACCCCAACACTAGCAAGAAATCCCCCCGCATAGCACCGGCACCATGTCTCATACCTGTAGCCGTCTAGGTCGCCTGACCGCACCGCGCAGCCCCATGACACAGACACATGAAGGCATCATCTCTTCCCAATCGATAAACATCATAACAGTCATACGGAAGTCAAGGCAAAAATCACTGCCCCAAGTCTCAAGACTTCTCCTGCTTCCGACGCTGCGGCTCTGAGCCCCTAGAGATTCCAGAGACAACCGAGGACAAGTCCACTTCAGCTTCTGTAACCGTCTCGTGCTTCTCGTTCTCGTGCTTCTCGTTCGGCTGGAATCGTTTAAGAACAGCCGATATCATCATAATAAACCAGTAAAAGTTGAGAAAGTTGAGAGTGAGATTTGACACGAGATATGACGTTGCAAGCCAAGAGGGAACAGTGGTCTCTGACGTCGCATAAATCATGACGGGCGATTGAGAAAACGCCTTTGCTGGGTGAGCATTGACAGCAGAGAATATGTCTCTAAATATGCAAAACGATTGGAAGGTGCCATAGATGAGTCGGCAAGAGAAGAAGCTGAAGAGCAGAAGAATGCCGTTGTACAGCTGAGGGCGGGATCCGGTCATGTTGACCTTGTCAAAAAACCAATGAATGTTGAGGAAGGGCGTGGAAAGCTCCCATAAGATGAAGGTAGGTCCGTAGTAGTTGACAAAGGGACGCTGGTGAATAGTTAGTAGGAAACATCAATGCATCTTTGGAGAAACAACATACAAATCCAAGAGTGTAGACCAGCAGAGCTGCGATCGCGTGCGCAAGTGTTCCGAGCCCAAACACATCCAGGTTCAAGCTGGTCACAAACAGATCCCATACAAAATAGCCAGCCGCCAAGGCCTGGACCATACCTAAAGCACCGGTATATCCCCATACCCTCTCTTCCTGATCCATATTGCCTCTCTCTTGATCTACTGCCATGACCCAGAGTGCAATGATGTTGATCAAGGTGCTTTGGATAAAAGACACCACGTGAGCATCCCAGTTGAGTCGTCGCTTGCGAGGTAACTTGGAATAGTGTTGAGGAGCTATTAATCTTGACAAAATCGGCGAAATGGGCCAGAAAATGAGTGAATAGAATATAGCAGACAGAAGCACTTCGTGGATGTGCAGTGGCAGCGAAGGGAGATTGTATCGGTCACTGAACGGCTGCACCAGCTCGGACAGCCATGGTATTGGCGGGATGAAGAAGGGATCCTTCATTGTAGAATATCTCGAGATCGATCGCAGAGGGAGAGGTTTCGTCTATGGCGGGGATATGTAAAGGTAGAAGTTGTTGAGCTTTGTTGGAGTTGCAGGTGTCGGGGTGTAAGTAGTACTTTAGGTAGGCAAGCAGGCAGGGAAACTTTATTAGGGGCGGAACAATAGCTAAGGGACCTAGCCTAAGGAGGGGCTCGCTCACATGAGGGTCCCTACAAGCTGGAGGTCTAGGTAGCAGTACTAAGGCAATAAGGGTAGCATATGTATGAAGATAAGCGATAACACAAGTACATCCTTGCAGGGAATCACTACCACAGATTCCACTACTAAACGTGTATATGCCAAGTACTTTGAGCTCTGTTCTTTGTAAACGAAATGCGTACCTACCTTACGTATGTATGTGGAGCATTGAATCTGGGCTGTGCATCATAAAAAGATGTAATTATACATATGAAATAGGCTCATGCAGATAAATGCTATTTATGCCTTTTCTTCTTCTTCTTTTTTTTTTTTTGCTTTTCCTCTTCTTTCCCTCTCCCTGTCTGTGTATGAGTACCTACCTGGGTACTGCAACCAAGTACATACGAGCTCCGTGCTGCCTGACCTGAGCTGTGCTAGTACAAGGTAATATTATTTTATACACATGTTAGATTGAATATGGAGCATCTCTTACTCCTTTAGGAGATTTCGTAAGGCCGCTGGCTACTTGCTGCTACGTACCTGGGATTATGCACTAGATGAAGGGAGGGCCGAATCCACTGCATTAAGGACTCTTGAGCTAAGAGGCGACTTAGCACACGGTTGCCCGTGCCTTGCTGCGGCTACTGTACGAGTACTTGTTTATTCGTCACCCTGTTTCATACAGTAGGGAGTCCACCATCCCCAAGGAGCATCCTGTGCTCCTTGACCGTCACGATGAATGGGGACCTGAGTCTCTCTCAGGCTCTCGGAGGACTTCGAATCGCCAATCCCGACGATGCTACTGATGCTGTCCACGACGACCCGAAGCCGTCGGCACCCCCAGACGATGTCGAAGCTTACAGGAACGCTTCGCAGCCCCAATCTCAATTTCAATCCCAACCTCAACGCACCCTACACTCCTCCGACGGCTTGCGGGTGACGCTTTCCGATGCAACAGCAGGATCCGACGTCGTGTCTGGTCCAGGGGCGCAATACCTTGGCCGAGAACCCAGCCAAAGGGCGCCTTCACGCTACCATCACCCACCCCAGCCCGCGATTTCACGACAGCCGTCCCAGCGCGAGGGTAGTGCTGCCTCGAGTGCCAAATCTCAGGCATTCGCCGGCGATGCCCCCGTCCCAACAACCAGCGAAGAATGGAAGGACCGCGGCGCTGCCGTTGGTGTACGCCGGGAGCTCGACAAAAGCGGCCGTCCGGTCGTTCGACAGATCAAAAAAGGAGTTCGAGACTTCTCCTTTGGACGGGTGCTCGGAGAGGGCTCATACAGCACCGTATATCTAGCGACCGACCGCCAGACGCTCAAGGAGTACGCCATCAAAGTTTTAGAAAAGAGACACATCATCAAGGAGAAGAAGATCAAATACGTCAATATCGAGAAGAACACATTAAATCGCTTGACCGAGCACCCTGGCATTGTTCGTCTGTACTACACGTTCCAAGACGAGACGTCCCTTTACTACGTGCTTGATCTATGCAATGGCGGCGAGCTGCTCGGCGTGCTGAAGAGGACCGGCACGTTTGATGTTGAATGTACAAGATACTATGGGGCCCAGATTCTCGACGCCATTGACTACATGCACTCTCGAGGAGTTATACACCGTGACTTGAAACCAGAAAACGTACTACTTGACGACCAGATGCACGTCAAGATTACAGATTTCGGCACTGCCAGGCTCCTCAACGACCCCCGAACCACTCAGGACGGCAACGCCGATGGTGGCGATGGACTCGACACGGATAATCGTAATGACGACGGCCGTGCGGCATCTTTTGTTGGTACGGCCGAATACGTGAGCCCCGAGCTGCTTACGCACAAGAATGCTTGCAAGGCTAGCGACCTTTGGGCTTTTGGGTGTATCATCTATCAGCTACTGGCTGGACGGCCACCCTTCAAGGCCGGCAGCGAATACCTGACTTTTCAGAAGATTGTCAACTTGGAATACGAGTTTCCTCAAGGATTTCCTCCTTTGGCACGGGACTTAGTGGAGCGATGCCTTGTTCTTGACCCAGCTAGGAGACTCACCATCGAGCATATCAAGAATCATGAGTTCTTCAGCGGCCAGCCTTTTGGAAGATCTTTGTGGAGGTCTAAAGCTCCACGACTGCGTCCTTATGTCCCACCCGCCCAGGAACCAAACATCATCCAGCTCAACAACTTTTCAACAAGCCCTAGCCCGAACACCCGAGCACAGCCACCAAACAGTTCGCAAGGCAATCCAGTGAACGGCAATAACCGACCTGCCCGTATCATCACGGAGTTGCCACCCCCGACGCAGCTGGACATTGAGTGGTCGCCGGTGCTTACACGAAATAACGAACGCATCTTGAAGCTTGGCGATATGATGGTTCTTTCTACGCCAATACCCAATGGATCCAACGGGAAGGGGTCTGACGAGGGCCATAGGAAACTGGCTCGATTCTTTGGTGGAAGCACGACCAAAAAACGGCAGAGGCTCGTCATGGTCACTTCAAGCGGCCGCATCTTGTTGGCTCCAGCTGGTGGTGAAGAGAAAAGAGCAAAGCAGGAGCTGTCGCTTCTGGCACCCGATACAACGTGGAAAACTCATCAGGATGCCAAGGGCCAGTACGTATGGTGTCTCGATACGGTAAGACCATCTAACCCCCTTTTCGTTTACTTATTTTCTTGGTCATCATGAATCTCATAAATTGAATAGGGTGGCCAACATTTCACATTTGAAGAAACAAAGACTGCATCCAGTTCAGGGGGCGACCATGCCTTTGCTGAAGAGTGGGTGGAAAGCCTAGAGAGAGCCAGAGACATGGCATTGTCACAACAGACGCTGGCAGCTGATGCCGGCTTCGGCGAGATGTCGTCAACAGTATCAACACCATCCAGCACTCTAGTTGGCAGGGGGAACACTTCAGATGGGTTTGCAGGCAGCGACCGATCTGGGCGTAACCATTTGAGCAAAGGCCAAGGCAGCATTGAAGACTCCGCGCCGGCAAAAAGGAACCGCTTCAGCAAGAGACAATCACGCAATGGTCTAGGACCTGCATTCTAACCCCAACCCCAAGTTCAAAATACAAATTGATGTTGGGAAGCTAATCGAAGTGGAAGAATTGTCCCACGTCTTAGCAAATGACTTGACTTCAGACATTTTACTTGACAGGGTGTTTTTATCACATTGAGTACAATGGCAACATGAAGAGCGCAGCGCATCATTGCCTTGTTGATTTTCGTCTTTTAGAGCGAGACTTAGTCGCAGCGCACATGTCTTTTCTTATTGTTTTCTCTCTCTCTAGCATTGGATGGTAGAATGGTTCAGGGCGAGGAGCCCCCTACTGCGCGGCAGCAGAAGCAAGCAGCAGCAGACAGAAGATGATGGCTGGTATACCGGCATTTTTGTCGTCATAAGAAAGGGGACTCGAGGGACTCATTTCCTCCCTCCCGCCGTTTTTGTCTGTATAGTGTCTTGTCTTTAGGGATGTAGACCCGGTATAGTAGACGGCGCAAAAAGTTCCTTGGGGCACGATATAAATACGGCTATAAAGCGCGCCGATACATGGAGGTATGTTTTTGCCTGGTATATATAGGTTTAGCACTGGTTGATATACAAGTAATAAACGTTGCACAATAAGATGATTGACAACTTGTTATTAATATTAATATGGTTACATAATAATTGACATTCGATTCATTCTCTATAACATATTAACATTCACAAGGTACTCAGCTCATAGCAGCGCAATGCGAGCTTCCAACATCATTGTATAGGACAAGCAAGGTGCTAAGAAAGATGGACGAGCGGCTTGTTGGTTGGTGTAGCGCTAGATTCGCCGTGCAGTAGCTTCATAGCCTACCATCACTGACATGTGGCAGATTGGGGGCTTATTAGAGGCAAGTACACCATATGAATCTACAAAGTATTCTATATCGCGTTTTACATACCATTTGCGGACTTATCGAGGTATGCTGCTACATGTCCGATACTTGACACCTAATAGGTGGAGTTGGAATGTCTTGCTGGGTTCAGAAATATCAAGTAAAACCCAATGGATGACTTGCATGGATACATGCTGGTGCGCTTTTTGGTACCGGTTTCGGAGGGCCCCGAAAGACTCAAAGAAACGAATTCCGTTGTTAGCGCTTTTTTGCGCATGTAACGACTCGAGTGGCTTTCTGGCAGAGAATCGGATCCGTTCCGTCATTTTCAATTGTATGACTCGAGTCGCAAAAAGACAGTCCCACTTGCTTTGACGACTTACTTTGTACTTTTCTTCCCACCCCTCCATCGACAAAGGCCATTGGCGACATTGTTTCTCTCTTGTCACTTTCGTCGTCGTTTGTCGCAACAATGGATCTCGTTAACAGGTGAGTCTTGCAGGCAATTATATGGCGTTGGCCGGAAATTCATTCGTTTCGCTGTTCGAGGAAACAAAAGATGCTAACTGTTCTCTCGTCTTAGTCTCAACGGACGCTTGCTCTTTGCGGTGCCAAAAAGTTAGTAGTTTCCTTGATCGCAACAGCATTTCCTCCATATCCTATGATTGGCGCTGACTTTCTTTCTGCAGAGGGCCGATTGAACCAGGCTACCTTGAATCTCCTCGAAGGCGCCGACATCCAGTTCCGCAGAGAAAACCGCCTCGACATTGCCCTCGTCAAGAACCTCCCGATAGCCCTCATCTTCCTGCCCGCCGCCGACATCCCGACATTCGTTGGCCAGGGCCGCGTCGACTTGGGAATCACCGGATGGGATCAGGTCAAGGAGCACGATGCTGGCGTCAATGCCTCTGCGGCCACCGCGGGAGCTGCGGGCACTGAGAGCATCATGGAACTCGAGTTTGGCTCATGCAAGCTCCAGGTCCAGGTTCCTGAGAAGGGCGTGTACGCTACCAGTGCAGACCTCATTGGCCGCACCATTGGTACGAGCTTCGTGAACCTGACTGCAGAGTACTTTGCTCAGC